TTTTAATCTTTACTGGAGAGAGAGAGAGAAATATACCCAAACCTGACAACTCTATTTCGGGGGGGGGGGGGGGGGGAGGGGACCTGTTTCCACCAATCAAGGCCAGATTGTTTATTCCCAGTGGAAGAGAGATTATTTATTTTCAGGATTTTCAAGGATTATTTCCAAAATCTGCCCCCTTCAGAATCAAATTGTCATCCCCTTATGATGTTTGCGCGGCGTTCAACGATTGTGACGTCAAAACAAAAATCATTACTTTTAATTAACCTTTTGACCTCCCCGTCCGTGTTATGGTGTCATGAATGTCAAAGCTTTCAACACACTTTATCGGAAAACTACGTATGAAATATACATGTATACAACTGTTGTCTTAATGTAAATGCAGTGGCATCGGCGCATTTCATGTACTTTTCACATATTAACAAAATTTTTCGTAACTGTTATTTTGAGTTACAGTTTGAAACATTTTATGCATTAAAACCAAAATTAACCTAATTTTTCCTTAGTATTTATATCATAGCGATGTTGAATTTATGCTAAAAATATCACTTTTTGTATATTTTGTAAAAGATAATTTCATTTGTCATATTTACAAGAAAAAGAAGGTATAACTGTAGAAAAGGAAATCATCAGAGCCATTCACTTGAACAGAACTAATAGTATATGGAAAACAGAGATATTTCGATTGCCATGCATCTAGCGTAGTAATGAATATGGTACTAAACGTATGACTGGAAATATGAGCTGTATATTGTATAAGCAAATAAATTTACATTGTTGCGAGCCAGGTATTTGTTGAAGTAGAATGGACACAAAAACCTTGGCTTTACGGCGACGATAAATTCATTACTTACTTTTGTCTTCTGTGTTTACAGTTTATGTTGGATGGGATGGGGTGCTATGCAAAAATAAAAATTTAATCAAATATCAGTTGTTTCAGTTGATATGATGTTATGAAAAACATTTGATCCGCACTCATTTTCCCTGATTTGCTGCCAGTAGAAGAAAAATGGACCGAGTCCGGTAAATAATTGCTAATTTAGCGCCATTTCTGCCCCTTGCTGAAATTGCTTTGAGACTCTGTAGCTGTGGGTGTTTAGCTGAGGATTCTGCGTGTATGACTTCGCTAGGATGATCTGCATGACCGTAAAGCCACCAGCTGGTGGCATCAACGCTATGAAATGACAACCAATGAACTGCTGAAACGAAGGGATGTTGGTACTCACAATACGTTTTGAGGTTTTGGTCAGAAAAATAGTTGTACCTCTTGGGGGTACCTACTCAGTTCAAAGGTAAATGTTTACCTTGTTGTTAGGTTAATTTAGGGTGGATAATATTTCTTTTGAAATTTAATTTTAAATGTTTAGCGAAAAAGTTTAGGAAGTTTAAGTTTAGGACAAAAACAAAAACACGGACCTCTGGAAACATCAGAAGTGGGATCAGGTGTCTAGGAGGAGTAAGCATACCCTATCGACCGGTTACTCACGCCGCGAGGCCTTGTATTGATCAGGTGAACGAAATAATCCGCAGTCAAAATTGTATAAAAACAAATGGTGGGAAGCATATGTTAATCATGTACGACGCAACGATAGGCTGTATTTGCAAACAAGGTCATTATAACGACCATAGAATTGGCGAAATGTTGATTTTATACAAGATAGTTGAAAACCCTGTAACATCTACTCATTTTTCAGTAGCTTGTCTCAGTTTAAAAATCCAGAACATGTTCTTGAGTATCGAATCAGCTGTGAGACATAAACACAAGCAGGTGATTGTAAAATATTACTATTTAAATAGGGAGAGTTGACGAGTGAAAACCCCTATTTAAAGGTATCGGTATCCGTTGCTTATTTGCGTCATATGTTAAATGCAAATATTTTAATGTTCATTCAGAGAAGTACACATCCTAGAGAAAGGTGTTGAGGGGGTAGAAGAGGACGGAATCACCTAAGCAGAGCCTGTGTTGCATTGGACACAGGTATTAAAAAAAGATATGATTTTAATGTTCACAAAAAGTCTTTTTTAATTGAAATTAAAAAAGAAATGCAAATAGGAACGCAAGCGCTGGACAGTGTGGTAAATGGAAAGATTTCTGCATGACATCGGCCGTTCTTTTCTATATTTAATCAAAAGTTTTAAATAGCATATTATTAATATCTGCCATGAAAATTGATTTCTTCATTTTATTAATATATCTTAAAATTAAGATGAATATTACAATTTCACTTTCAATTAATTCAAAAAGGAAGTTTTCATAATGCAACAAAATTATCATATCCAAATTCAATATTACCAGTAATATATTATCATTATTATTCTGCCTGTCGATTTTAACAACTAAAATACCAGGGCATAAATCTTACTTTTGAAAAGTTTAATGAATGAGATTTATATATATATATATATGTACGGTATATTAATATATAAGAAAATAACACGGAAAACCTACAAAGCACATATTTATGAAGTTTGATTGGGGAGGGAGAGAGAGAGAGAGAGTCAACTCGTACACTTTCTAACAAGGCGCAGAAATGGACTGGAATCGGATTAGTTATAATATATTCTACAAGGCCAAAATGAAATTATTGTTTGTTTGGAATTGCCTCCCGCCTCATTGAAATGACCCCTCCTGGAAAAAAAATTATTGACCAAAAATAAGATTTTTTTTATTCAATCAATTCTTGGCCTGTTATCACATGTGCTCAATTAAATAAGTGCCGGATCTAAACAAATCTGGGTTCCTGTTTGATGGGAGATACCCTTTACAAAAAGGCAGAAAATAATGTGTTCACTGCTTATTGAGATTTTTATCATCAATTTGGAAAAAAATTCCCTCCCTACCTCATGGGTCTGAAACCTCCCAGGCGGCAATTCCAAACAAACAATTTGTAAGGATGGCCTAAATGGTTATACGTTCGACAATTCATTACAATCCTTACTTTAAACACCGGAACTTAAACTCAAGTCAAACGCGTTTATAAGAGTTGATTTCTATCTTCTTTAAATTTATTATTAATCATGATTAGATGACACGTTATTGTTATGTGGAGTTATTGTAGGTGACAATTCGTGTGTATGATCTAAATCAATTATGCAAAATCAAACAAGAGGACCATGGGTCACATCGCTCACCTGAGCACATTGGTTAGGAAAAAGCAGAAATCAGTTCAGTATTGAAAAGTTTACGGGGGGAGGGGGGGGGGAGGGGCTTGAATTTACACCACCCCAGGATGCTTCCATATCAATACTACTAAACAACTAAACATGGCTTTGCTGTTCTTGAGCAGAAGAATTTTAAATATTTTTTTCCTGTGTATTCCTATTTAAAACTCCGATCGCTCATCGTGGCCCCACCCTAAATTTGAACAAATTTGAATCTACACTACCCGAGGATGCTTCTATAATAATATGATTAATCATGGGTTTGTTGTTCTTGAGCAAAAGATTTTTTCAAGATGATTCCTATATATTCTTATGTAAAACTGACCCTCTGTTGTGCCCCCCCCGGGGGGGGGGTGTCATAATTTGAACAAACTTGATTCTACAATACCTAAAGTTGCTTCTGTATAAATATGACTAATAATGGCTGACTTTTTCTTCAGAAGAAGATTTTTAAAGATATTTTCTATATATTCTTACGTAAAACTTTAACCCACTGTTGTGTCTGCGCCCAACCCCCAGAGGTCATGATTGGAACAAACTTGAATCTACACTACACTGAGGATACTACTATATATTAATATGACTAATAATGGCTTAGCTGTTCTTGAGAAGAATTAAGATTTTAAACGATATTTCCTATATATTCCTATGGTAAACTTTGACCCCCTGTTGTGGCCCTGCCCTGTCCCAGGGGTCATGACTGGAACAAACTTAAAGATGTTTAAAGACAATCTGTTTTCTTCCATGCTGTTCAGGTTTTCTTTTTCAGTTCCAAGTGTGTGTGTGTGTGTGTGGGGGGGGGGGGGGGGTGTATGTGTTTGTGTCTTGGTTGGATGGAATAGGGGGGGTTAATTAGAAATACACCAGTTTACACATGTGAGAACGTGTCATATTCAATTTCAAGTATAGAATCAAGTGGAAAGGGGGTCAGGGGTTCCCGGATCCCCCTTCCCCCTCTCATGGGATTTTCAGGTTAAATTTATGTAGTGAAATAACCAAAAATAGTCTGGGACACCCCTAGGGTACAAAGACCCCTTAAAAGTTAGTGTATATGACTTAGAAAATATTTCTTTTTTGGACAAAAAAAAAATCTTATTTTTACTAAAATATCATTTAACTCAAATAAAATATGTTATATTGGGAGGGGGTTTCAAATATCTTGCCAAAGTTCCACATAGGAATACATGCTGATAAAAAAGATATTTATAGAATTATATGTTATCACACCATAGTGATGGGAATGTATTCCATATATTTACTATATATTTTTTCACTTACGATTATAAAATCACCTTCAGTTAAACTCTTTTTTTTCAAAATAATAAATAATAATTGTAATGCCACCCATTGTGATGGCTTAATGTTCTCCAACATTCAGGATTGCCCAAATCTTATCTATCTAAACAAACATTAATTTTTTTAAAAAATAAAACTTGGGATAAATAATATAGTGATATCAAAGAAAATGTGGCCTTCACATTAAATAAATAAATAAATAAAGAAATAAATAAATGAATAAATAAATAAATAAATAAATAAATAAATAAATAAATAAATAAATAAATAAATAAATAAATAAATAAATAAATAAATAAATAAATATAAAGAAAGAAAGAAAGAAAGAAATAAGTAAATAAATGAATGAATGAATGAATGAATGAATGAATGAACGAATATTAATTAATTAATTTAATTAATTAATTAATCAATTAATTCATTGATTGATTGAATACAACATTTGGCCTCGCTTTTCTAGACTCGAAATGTATTTGGGCCGACATAATATTACCCGCTAAACCGGAAGTACCATGTGAGTCTCGTCTCTCGTCGACACTTTCCATATTTGAGTGGTAAACATTGTATCTATTTATAAACGACATGTATACGGTTAAACCATACTATGATGCCGATGTAACCATATCGGTGCCATCTAACATGTACAGACTGCAGAATGTACACCAAGCCGAGAAGGGTGTGTCAGTAAAGGTAAGAAACCAGCAGGTCAGGTGAACAGGTTGGGCACACCCCACCAAATGGTCATTTATCCCCCGTTTGGCGGACAATCTCCCATATTGGAGCCGAATTTTACTGACCAAATGGTGGACTTTTTTATTCTATTCCAAATTTTATTAAAAAAAAGCAAAAGCGCATTTACTTAGGCATTGGGGAATTTTAGTGAACATATTCCTCGCACAATAAACATAGTTCGGTCGATTTTCCATGTGCAATTTCTCCATAACTTCCTAAAAACGACACCCATAGTTGTCCGTAACAGCCGAACTTCTTGATCAATTGATAAAAAAAATTTTGATTGTGTCTAGTAGGATAAAAATTCTATTTTATCCAGTGGTGTAACTCTTGATAAGTTAAGTTTCAATCTCTTTTTGGATCTTCGTCAATATCTATTTCCATAAAATCCCGTTAAACATGAGCTCTTCATTACTTTACTGGTATGGTGGGCACATACTGCTATAAAGTTAAATTTTGCTAGACTTGAACGTAATATCTTTTGTTATTTTTCTTTTAGGATGAAGTTGCATATTCCATGCAACCTTTTGTGGTTTAATATGTATATTACTGATGAATTTAAAATATTTGATAAATAATTTTCAATAAAAGATTTACAAAGTGACTTTTGCAATTATTCTTGTTTTCGTTCAAAGTACATCATTTTAAAACAATAATTATATCATAATCTAACTTCATTTACTATTTTTATAAAGAACAAAACCATTACGTACAAAATAAAACAAAATAAAGGCGAAAACTTATTTTTCTTTTGATTTCCTAATTGAAAATTGACACAAATGTGCCTCCGTAGTAAAATCCGACTTTTGACCAGGTTAAAAAAAGATCATCGTTTTTATTTGTTTGCATTATTTGATTGGTTGCCTGGATAATCGAAATAGAAAGTAAAGAAAATGATTGACAGGTGCAGCATCGTTGGAGAAGGAGGGAATTTTCTTTTTAAGTAAAAACAGAGAAATGTTGCACTTGTTTACGTACGTGACATTTTTTGTCAAATTTTTGACCGACTCTGCGCAAATAATTACACGTTGAATTTCCGATTTTTTTCACTCAGAACACCGATAAATATCTATATTTTATTCCATGTGGTTTAAAATTATGCGCCATTTCACGCCATTCTATGGAATTGAACACAACCATTTTTCTCTCCCTAATGGTCAGTAAAATTTGTCTCCGATATGGGAGATTGTCCACCAAATGGGGGATAAATGACCATTTGGTGGGGTGTGCCCAACCTGGTGAATATAACCGGATACTGCACAACCTGTTCATTAAATTAAATAGCTTGAATTAGTTATTTAGCTCTAATTTGCTATTAAGAATAGCTTGTTTAAGCTATTCAAATATCTTTTTTTCATAAGTAAGCTTTTTTTTAAAAAAAAAATGAAATAGACATAAACAAAGTGGCAAGTATGTGACTACTCATATTTGTACTTAGTTGAATAAACTGTCTTCAGACAGGTCCTCACCTGTACTAGGGAGTATGTACAGTTATTTAGGGTATTCCGAATCACCCTGCATTTCGCAACTCTCAGTAATTAACCTTATCGCTGTACCTTGCTAGGGCTGGGACGATATATTGAGATATCGATAATATCGATTCAATGTGAGGATGATAAGCATATCGATACGTTTGAAGAAGTATCGCAAAAAATTTCTGACTTATGTTTTTTCTTTGTTTACTTAACATTTTGGGTTAAATATATAAAATAAATATGAAAAATATAAATATAAATATGAAATACATAATAATAAACACCATCTGTGTAAAAGAATTTTGTTTTACAACAGATATACAACTTCTTTGAATAAATTATTCTTAATTTTGTGAAGAAATATTGTATTCATTTCAATATAAAAATCGAAGTACTGTAAGTACTGATAGACGGTGGCATGAATGATTTTGTTTGTTTAACGTCCCTCTCGAGAATTTTTCACTCATATTGAGACATCACTATTGCCGTTGGTGGGCTGCAAATTTAGATCTATATTCAGCACTCCAGGCCATTGAGTAGTGAGGAATATTTTTCTTACCAGCACTTACTGCAACACGGGACCTTTGTTTAACTGTGTCCACGTCCTGCAGTGGGATTCGAACCCGCTACGTAAGGATCTACTCCTTCATGTTCGTGACTGTAGAGCAAACGCTAACCACTGTGCCTCACGGCGACTGGCATTGAATGAGATAAAATATTATAAGAATCTGTAAAATGATATGATGGAAATTATGAAAGTTTATTGCAATTTTCACGATACATGTTTTTAATAAGTAAATTTATATTTCCGTTGTATAATGAGGACATGTATTAATTGGAATTGTTAATTTATTGCACGAAATTTTCTACATTAGGTTTATTATAAAATAAGGATTGAATAAAAAAAACTATCCTGAAATGCCAGAAACGAAACTTCGATCATTTCAGGTTTTTTTTTTCTATATGTACTATTGTGGTGTACAGTCATAATTGCAAATTTAAGAATGAAAACATATTTAAGGATGATGGACAGATTGAAATTATATATTCAAATAATGGATTTTGGGATGTTTTAGTATTTTTCTCCATAAATTAATGCTTAATAAGTGTCAAAACCAGTTTACCCTAAATGTTAAATCATAAGGGAATCAAGGCTCCTAATGTACTCATGTAGTAACCGAACATTTCTATTCTAAGATGCATGTTTTAAAAAAATGTGTAATGAACTCATGGTGTTTTGAAGTTAGAAATTTTGACTTTATAATTTAAAATCTTTACTCAGTGATCAATAATCAAATTTTGCATCCCCCCCCCCCCCAAAAAAAAGTATATGGTATAAAGTATATGGTAAAAAGGGAAATGATGAATCACTTTTGGCCATGTACTGTAGATTGTGCGACATAAATCATATGCTGAAAGATAATGAAATAGACTTTATCCTTGGATTCCCATCTTTGCCAAATTCCCTGGCTGTAATCAATTAGGGAGTATCAAATTGGGAACGTCTCGTAATTACCGTTTGTCGCATACATGTAACTAAGAAACCACCATGCCTGTGTTTAGCAATTATAATTATTTGATTTCAAAGATAAAATATGACACCATTACTCTCAAATATTTTTCCCTTAAATATTCTGACTATTAATAAATATTATTTAAATTTACATTAACACAACGTTAAAAAAAAGCTGTGTGATTTCTGTAGTGTGCATACGAATATACGAGTCAGTCTGTGTATGAATTAGTTGTAGGTCAGCGTAATTTAATGAATATTCATGAAGCAAGAAATATCGGTAACGGCAAATATCAGGAATTAGGCTTTGTGTCCATCAACAAAATGTCTTTGAAATAACTTGAGAGTATTTGTTAACTATGTGCTTTTTATTTTCAAACATTGAATCAACCTTGTTTTCATTATTTTGACTCTGCAAAAATCGCCGTTACACTGTTGTTATTCATAACCCAAAAGCAGCAGCAATAGCCTGTGGCTATAAATAGCCACCGTCTAAAAACATTTTATAACTAATTCAACATATCGTGATACATATCGTATCATGCTTCAAATATCTTGATACGTATCGATATAGAAAATGTTGTATCATCCCAGCCCTATACCTTGCACAACACTTGCACATGTGTGACAATCAAAAAGTCATTAACAGCATGGTTTACATACAAATAATAAAGAAGTAAACGTAATGCATTAATTAAAAAAATAACAATTTGACTCTTGCTATCCTTTTCAAAGAAATACCAGTGTAGGAACGTTGCAGTCAAGTAATTTCCTCTAACCATTATTTTGTTCACTTGGTAATTGCTTTTCTGCATGATACAGAGGGGCCTTTAATAACTTTGAAATAAACAAGAACAATCAACAAGGAAAAAAATCTTTTTATTTTAAGACCCTTTTGGTTAAACAATACCAACTAATTCATTAATTATATTGTTGTTATCTGGCCGTTTTTTACCCGTTTACCAGGTGATTCGAATACCCGGAAGTGACCCACAATACACTAAAAAGGTGGTGTAAAAATAACTCCTGTCAAGGTCACTGTATTGAAGATAGACTTGCCCTGTAATGTAGATCTAATTTTCATAGAACTGGCTTTTCTTTAATACCAAACAACCAGTTATAAACTTGTTAAAGAAATCGTTGCAGTCAAATGTAAAAGGTGATTCGAAATATCCTAAATGACTGTATAAAGAGAAACCTAATAAAATCACATCTTGTGTGCAGTGAGGATGGATACTGAGTATTCTTCACATTGTGCTGAATTATTACCAATCAATGGCTTCCTTTACAATTCATTCAAGAAATAAATCAAACATTTCATATAGCCCCAAAACCTTTAGAACTTTGGTTGCAATTGCTCCTAAGGAAACACATTTTCAAAAGCATTTTTTCATGCATTGTTTTCAGAACAGCACAAAGCTTTAAAATATCACATCACCAAACTGGGACTTATTTTAAAAGCTGTGCAAATTGCACATTTAGAAAAAAAAAAGTATGAAGAAATAACTAAATCTATCTTTTTAATATTTTTGAATAGCTAATTTAATCTATAAAGCTAACATTACATTTGTGCCAGACCTAATACCGGTAAACTATAAACTGGGTCTTTGGACAGGTCCTCACCATTGTTAGAATAAGTCTGATTGACTGGCCAGGCACCCATGCTACCTCAAAATCTGTGATTGGATGTTTTTTATAACAAATATTGACTTAAGAATCAACCTCCTTTGTTTATGCAAAACGTATGATGTAAATGTATTTCATCAAGAAAAAATATTCAAGATTAGGTTATGGAGTGATTTATATGTATACCAAAGCTTTTGGGAATACATGTAGTACTGAGCAGATGAGTTGTTTTGTGTTCTACAGGATTGCAGTACAGATGACCTTGATCCAGTGACAGCACTAGAGAGAAGACAGGAAGTCATACTACAGAGGTTAGAAGGTCTGAAAAACGTTTTACAAGGATTGAAATCAAGGTATAAATCTCCAGATACTCCCAGCGCCAGCGTAACATCAAAGGCACCCAGTGCAAGCAAGAGGGCAGCAGGGAAACCGATGGATCTGGTATGAAATCATTACACTTAACACTATATCATTAAAAAATCAATCTGTGCATATCAAGTTGATTTATTTACTGGTATTGTATTTAAATTGCCTAAAAGGTATTAAAGGAAATGTATTAATTTTAACTTGCATTTCTATCAAATTTTTGTTAGCATTTACTCCCATTTGAAGTGTACTTACATGATATAATTAATGCAGCAAATGTGATAATAGAGTAATTTTATGTAGATTTTGTTGTCTAAATCTACTTTGTTTGACAGGGTGATGGAGTCCTTGATTTGGTTGTGAATGCTGACCCAGACCAGGTTCCATTTTCTTTGTTTGTTATGTTCAAACTCCTTCAAGAGAAGTTTCGAGTTCGAGGTGTTACACATGTTCACTCAAGTGTAACATCCAAATGTGCCACAAATCTGTTTCCCCCTAGTGATGGAAGATGTGACTACCAAATTATCCTTACACTGATATGGAAGAAAGGTCTGTATTAAAATTATAAATGCTCACTTTGTTGATGCTAAGGTTGTAGTTTTGGAAGATGATCTTCAGGTGAAAAAAAAAAAAACTTTGCCTATTTGTGTTGACTGTTTCATTGTGTTCATTGTATCCTCACTCCTCATTGTCAGTTCTATGCTTCACAATGTATTATGTATTATTATTAGGAATGTCAATTTTGTCAATAATTCATATTCGAATATTCAATGAAAGTATTCGAATATATTCGAATATTCGATAAAATAAATAAAATTTGTTTTTTTTTAAATATACATCATCCTACTCTCACGATTGGTTTACGTAGGTATACTTATATTGCAAGTAAATTGTATGAAGACTTTTGTAGTTGTACATTAAGAAATTCCATTTGATATATAATTTTATAATTTTAACAAATGAAACATATGTATTTATAGTAGCTCCAACTGAGGAATCAGTCGTCTTGCCAAAGGCAAGACATAGTAGTAACGGTATAGTGTTCAGATTTCAATACGTGTAATAAATTACAATTATCTGCCTAATAAGAGATACGATTATAATCTTTGATACAATGTTTTTAAAACATAAACAAATATTTCAATAGACAATTTTCTTAGGTAATTAATTAATTTCCCGATAATGAATATAAAATTCAGGATTATATACAACCCAAGATATAATCATTTAATCTGAAATTGAGCCCTTTAAAAAATTAATTACAGTGGACATTCATTTGAATGATCAATTAAATTTGTTTTGATAAGTATACTCTTCACATCTTTTAGACATTCTAAGAAGGTTTTCATTTTGTTGTCCTCGATTCTAGACCCGATCGTATCTAAGTAATAAAAACTATGAAAGTACGTTTTGTATTATACATAAAGCATTATTGTACAATTCTTTAACACCTTACTCAAAACAAAATCCATGTAATTTAGTAATTCTAAGATAAGAAAGTAGTGAAAGAAATCAGGCGATCGAAATTGATCGCTAGTAAATTAGACAGGGATAATTCCAGCACTGCTCTAATCAAAATTATTTATGAAATCTGAAAAACACCGAATATTCGAATCTTAAATTCATATTCGAATATCAACTCATCGAATGAATATTCGAATGTTCGAATATTCGTTGCCATCCCCAATTATTATACTTGGTATAAAAGGAAAGCATCCTTCAATCACTTGGGGGACCAAGAGTTGTCTTTCTTATATTAATCTTTATTCTGTTATCTTTGCAGTATCTAATGGTCCTGAATTGATGGTCAATCCTTTAAGACAGTCTGTCATACAAGGGGAAGTAAACATTGTCCGCTACTTAAGACGCCTTCTGGACCCTTCCGCAGAAACAGAAGATCCGGTTACCTTGGCAACTTGTGATGAACTTTTGGATTTAGTCCAGTCTCGATTAATTGATGGAAACAACAAAGAGAGAGATGCTGCCCTGAGAACACTCAATGCCAGACTCGGAAGGAGCTCATGGCTGGTTGGAGACTCACTGTCCTCTGCTGATATAGCAGCCTGGTCTGGCATTAATCAAAGTAAACTCTCCTCAGATCTGCCTGTAAATGTGAAGAAATGGTTCAAAGCCTGTGATAACAATGCCATGTTTCAGTCAGCCAGGCGAGTTCTACTGTAGGACATCTAACTCCTAATGAATGTGTGTGATAAATTATGATTGTTTGAAATAAATGTTTAACTTAATTGTCATGAAGTATGTTTATATGATTACACCTCTTATTCCTTACTTTTTGTAATGAACTTGTTACAGGAAATGGGAGTATAAAGCACACCAGATTGTCATTAAACTGGACCTCTTTACTCAGGTGCTCTACCAGTTGTGGTATCGGCAAATGAGAAAAAAATATTTGAGTACATTATTTCCTCTGGGTTGTTTTCTTTCTTGGTGCATTGCATTTTCTCTCTTATTGAATCTAATGTTAATATTAACAGTGAAATAGAGGAGATGAGTACCAGTACCTTGTAACTGTTTTATACATTACAGTAATAACGGAGAGGGACCGACACCCTCATTGCAAATAATGGATTTGGAATAATATTAGGGCTAGTCATTAAATAGTGAGACTTCTTCGATACAATAATTCTATAGTCCGAAAGAGGTATACTCTCAGACACTGATACAGTGCTGAACCTGTTGCAGAACGGTAATGGAAACGGGGTCCAGGTAAAAAAGAAATCAATTTAGGAATAAGAAAAAGTCACATGGTGATAAATCTGGTGAATAAGGAGGGTGATCCAGTTGCTAAATTCCATTATCATCATTCCATTAAAGAAGTCCTGTGAACTTGGCAATGTGTGCTGGGGCATTATCACGTAAAAGATTATATAATCCCTCTCTTAGATTATATAATCCCCCTCATTCCTGACTTCGGTCTTCTATTCCTGTAATGTTTTTGACAATATCATACGTAAACAACTTTAGTTACAATTCTGCAACAGCACTCGAGCGACTACCCTGTTAAAATGAAATAAAATCGCTTACAGAACTTTCCTTGTTGTCTTATCATGTTAATTAAGCAATCGTATGACGTTTGCTGTGTTTAGTGAGCCACTTTTTATTTCCAAATTTTCTTTTGGCCGGGTTCATAAAAATGCAACAGAGTTTCAATTTTATGTAGACATCTTTGATCATTGTGTCAATTAAACGCGTCCCGGAATTCATAGTTTCAATTATTTCCAGATAAAATAAGTTTTTATTATATTTCCGTGTGAAATGCTATAGCAAAATATAAGTCAGGATATTGTACAGAAAATTTGAGAAAATACCGTGTATATATTAACTTCAAATCTGTCTAGGCCCCGTTAAAGGTAAATCGGAAATAATGGAAATTGCTTCGTAAATAATTTCTGACTACGCGTCAATTCAATAGTATGGAAGATAATAAACAGAAATATTAAATCTAATCAAGTACAAAATTTAAATGGAGTATATTTAGTGTCAATATTAAATGAAATAAATATTAAATGGCCTTCAACAGCACAAAGATGTGGAAAGTTATCGAACTTTACGCGTTGGGTACATCCATTTGATATAATTGCCACCATGCAATCAAAGTCTGTTTTAATACTCTTAAATTACTTAAAGATGTATTTATATATAAAGAAAGGGGAAGGAGGGGGAATTTGGCAAGATGGTTTCCAGACATTTTTATTTTTTTCCAGGCAAACCCAATGAGGAAAGTTTGTTTAGAATACTCCTAATTCATGAATAGAAGGGATCAAGTTTGGTTCACAATGGGTTGATTGTATATGTTGACAAGGCTGGTTCACAGCTGGTTGATTGACTGTACATGTTTACTGGGCTGGTTCACAACGGACTGGTTGACTGTTGAAGGCAACATACCGGTATACAATATTGCCATCCATGCAGTACCCAAGGTATGGTGACTGGTATATAGGTCGTCGTATGAAACTTTTTCAACTAAATAAAATTCGTGAGAACTAAATAAAATTCGTGGCCACGAGTTTTTTTTTTCTTTTTTCAAGTATACATTGTGGGTTCAGCATTGCGTTTCCAACATTGTGCGTTTTACTGCAGGAAAAAAAGTTATTAACCGTTAAATTAAATTGCAACAACAACGATGTTTCCTTGATGCATTATACGTAATGTACTATCAACATTTAAAACTTGAAATTTACCCAGGCAAAAAAGTTTTTGGTTGATATAAATATATGTTGTATATACTAATATGATAACAATCTAATGCATAAAACCATACTAGACATTTTGAACAGCTGTGGACAAACCAGATATGTACTAAACAAATATAAATCATTATAAACATTTTTGGACTAGTATTTAATCAACATGCACGCATTTCAAATACTAGATCTTTATAACCTATTTAAAAATATATTGTTGAATTCAATACCATATCAATATATTATTCACATCAAATTTGCAGTATTTCATGATGTATCTATCATAAGGCTCGTAGCAAGAATGAAGAGAGGCATATGTTATTTTTGTCATTAAAACTAATGGATTAAATTTAAATAGTAAAAATATCAGTATATGTTTATAAAATTCGAAGTTTGATATATTAAATAGAGATTAAAATTACAGAAACTGACATGTGCATGCCTGGACTATACATCCCCAGGGGGATGAAAAAAAATGTAATTAGAGACTTGAAATCTAGTTATTTAAACAATTTTCTCTTTCGCAGGAGTTATTACAGAGCTTGCATGAATGGAGATTTAGTAACCGAGTTTGGGGAAAGTGGGTCAGCATCAATGATTCGGTGATTTTCTCGACCAATAGTTTACTGTAAAGCAAAACTGCGCAACTTAGGATATGTAAATCAGGCCCATATAGGAAGGAATTTTAAAAAAAAGTCCAGACCCGTAGTTAGGGGGTGGGGGGCCCTTTTTTCTGAAAATGATTTGATGTAGTTGTATTCCGTACAATTCCACACACACACACACTTTGAAAACGTTGCTACGGGCCTGAAAGTGATCAGAAATTAACAATTCTAATTATGTATTGTATATACTGGCAAAATATTACTGTTTAATTTGTTCGAAAGCTTTCACGAAATTTTGAATTACTGTCACTGAAATTCCATAATTTGCTCTAACAACCGTAGAGTACAAACTCCGATATAATTTACCAGGAAGTTCTAATCTGAAGGGGCCATTGAAACCTTTTGGACTTTCAATTTCTTGAGTAATGCACGATTTTTAATTAAAATCAAAATTTTATTATGTAAAGACACTTTACATAATTGCACTGGACATGAGGCACTATGCCTATATACTATATTTAATTTTCATAATTTTATTCACAAAAAGTGGATGGCTCTCCCTACAACAAGGTCAAGGTAAAGACACACTATACAGGTATAATACTATAATTATACAAACATTGTGGAAAAGAAACAAGGAAACAAGGGGGGGGGGGTTACAATGAAGTACCTGTTTGGAAATATTGACGAAAGTCATACATGCCAGTGTTCAAATAAAACGTTTTGTTGCTGCTGTGTAAGCATGTATTGCTTCAAATATTTGAATATTAATACAGAGTCCATGATCAGGACTACCAAATAATAATTCAAGTTCAGAGATCTGATCAAAATCAATAATATTTTGGATTGTTTGGAAGAGTACATCTCTAGAAGATTTATATTCTAAACAAGCAAAAAAGTAATGGTAAGCATCTTCAACAGAATAAATACAGTGTTCATACATTGGCGTTTCTGATAAACATTGCTTATATAAGTCTGTCATCAAATTACTTGCATTATTTCTTAACTGACAATAGTATTATATTATACTTTCTTATTCCAAAGTGAAAAAGTTGTTTACCTTTTTTTTACAAAAATAAGAATTAAAAAGACTCTTGAATGAATATATTCCAGAAGCATTTCTAATATAGTCTGGCAAGTAATTCCACTGTTTAACTGTTGGCAGGAAACTCTCCATGTATGATGTACTTCTAATGTGAGGAATTTTGAATTGTGTATCATTTGTTCTCTCTCAGGTTATACATGTAGGAGTGATTTGATGGACGATAAAGGTCGATCAAGTCATACAAGTATCGAGGTGAATAACCATTTATAATTTTATAAAATTGTATCAATTTATGAACCTTCCTCCTTGTTTGCACACAATTTTGATCGAGAGGAGTTGCATCTTAATCCAGTAATGATAATTCTACCTGCTTCAACTTGAATATCTTTTGAAAAGTGTAGTCTTTTTCGGAGCAATTGTTACAAACAACGTCAGAATATTCCAAACAGGTCTAATAAATACAAAATATATGTTTACAAGTGTTTTTCTCATAACCGTATATTTAAGCATTCTGAGGATATGTAATCTTTTTGTAGCTTTTTCATGAATTGATTGTATATTCAATGTCCAGGTAGCATCTCTTTGAAAATGTAAAACCTAAGTGGGTATGAGATATATTCTGAATAATGTGTGGGCCATGTTTCCCAAATTTAATAGGGGGATATATTACTTATGTTTTTTCGACTAAAAACAGTTTAGTTTGGATTAAAATCAACAAGCCTTTTTTTTACCATTTATCAGTAAGTTCTAGATCGCTAGAGAGCGACGGTGAATTGTGGCTTTGTTTTCTACAATAGCATATACGGAGGTGTCATCAGCAAAAAGGCACATATTATTATATAACTAAATTCATCACAAATATCGTTTATGTACAAAACGAATAGAAATGGTTCCAGAACAGAAACCTGAGGAACACCAGCATTTACTGTTTCATGGTTTGATGAAAAACAATCAATTACAACTTTTTGTTGTCTATCACACAAATAATTTTCAATCCAACCTAATATTTTACCACTAATACCATATTTTTTTTAGTTCATATAAAAACAACTCAATTCCAAACTTTATAAAATGCTTTTGAGATATCACAAAAAATAGATCTGACATCTTTTCCTTTGTCAAGACTGGAAATTATAGTAATGTATATTTCTACTAGTTGATCAACGGTTGAGTCCCCAGGTTGGAAACCTGACGGATACGCATTTGTAAATAACATTATTGTCATTCATGTTTAAACAATATTTTTCCATTATTTTACACGAGACACTTTATAAGGGATATTGGTCTATAATTTGATACTTCTTGCGCGCTGCCTTTATTATTAAATACGGGTGTAAACAGTGATAGTTTCCAAATATCTGGCAACTTTTTTTTCACTTAGTGACCTGTTAAAGAAATTTGCCAGAGGGTTTATAATTGAAGTAGCTATTTCTTTCAACACTCTTGGGGAAATACCATCAGGACCAGTTGGTTTACTGTTATCAATGATACTTAATTGATCATAGACTTCATTTTCAGTGAGACATATTTCAGATAAAGCACTATGCCATATAAGTCTCTCCAAGAGGATCAAGGTTACAGGGGTATAAATGCACAATTATAATGATGGAAATCCAAAATAACGTGTATATTAAAGATATTTGTTTTGACGGAGTCTTTATTGTAGTACTTTCACGATCGTGTTCTTCAGATATTATTGTACAATGTGAACATTTCAACCCAAAAGTGATTATAATTTCTAATAGATGTAGACCCCAGAAAGCGTACATTTCCTTTCTTCAATCATTAATGGTGGGTTTAAGGACAGCAGTGTTAATCTAATGATGAGTTTCCGACGATGACTGATTTTGACAGTTCCCAACTCTGTGTGTTATGTTACTTTGTCATTTTACAAAATGTAACCATACTAACTCTTGCACGACTGCCAATCCGTAATTTAAGTGTAAATGTATACATATTTTTCTTCTAGATACATGTAAATCTTTACCAGTTTAAAAACTACAAACTAAACTATTCGTGCAAATAGTAACAAATGACAAGGCATCGTAATATGCAAATGCACCGTATCTTATTTGAATGTTTAAAATCATATATAAAGCATCTGATAAATCGATTCAAATAAAAGACGGCACGAATGTCGCTCTTAACAAACGCAAGGAACAAATTGTAGACTGTCCAATTCTCTAAACATGCTGAAAGTAGTCGAAAAGAAATGTATATACCTTAATCGTGTCGTTTAGAATAAAGACCATCGAGTACATGTTGCCAAAAGGGTTCGAGTTTGTGATAATTAACCATATTTTCAACAATTGATTCCGCAATGCAGAAGTATGCCCTGAGCGGTTGTCGCATAAATAAGAAAAGTTTGGTATTTTGTTTTGATGGTGGACGAACCACTATTCAGATCAGCCAATCACTTGTGACACTCAGGGGGTAGTGGACCTTACACGAATCGCCAGGTGATTTACGGAAATCAATCTAGGTAAGCTGATCATGATATAAACTTGAGTTAAAATTTAATATACATTGATTATAGTGTGTGTCATTTTGATCGGTTAATTAATTAGCCTTTTGACACATATGTATGGTTTTAAAGAAGATGGAAACAAAGAAAAGAAGTGAAAAAATATTGAGTGATTTTAATACAATAATATTTGTGTAAATTATAAGAAAATAAAATGGCTTAGGACTAAATGTCGTAGCCACAGGTGCTGAGTTTGAGGAGATACAATCTATGTCTGAATTCACAGCAATAATAAAAGCATTGAAAAAACCCACTCCTGCGTGAATCATCTGTGGTCACGGAACAACTAAAATGTGTTTTGCAATCACTTACCATCTACATACCGTCGTATGACCCACCCTTATGCGTCGCACTGTTGGTTTAGAAACGAAAGATATCTTAGTTTATATGTGTAAATGCCATGTCACAAAAATCGGTCACAGGCTACTATGTTTATTCAAATACTGTCATATTGAATTGGAATTTGTATCCTGTCTCCTTTTTGTAGAGCTTTGATTCTATTTTTTTTTAAATATTCATTTATTTAAGCGTTTATTATATATATATATATATATATATATATATATATATATATATATATATATATATATATATATATATATATATATATATATAAATTCATTTTGTTCAAAACCTGGATTCGGAAGTTAGAACGCAATCATGCAGGAATCATGATCATGTGTAGTTATGTGCTAACGTTTTAACAAAAGAAACTTTGCTGAAGAATAATTTTACACATAATGTTACAAGGTTGCTTCGGACACTCTGTAAGGACACCATTAGTAATTGACCAGTAGTGATTGACCAGTAGAATAATTTCGGACACTGTCCCTTACCGCAGTGGCATCGCCCGATCATGGTCTCCCTATAAAGATGTCAATTTGCCGCCCTTCCCTTGGTCAGTTCGATGAATCGCCCAGGAAAGTGATCAGTTGATATTGACAGTGATAGGGAAATATTCAGGTTGGCTTTGTTGTTCTTGTCTGTTGGTGAATAACTCGTGTCATGAATCCTATTAATGCTTCTTAAATAGCCTTTCCATCTCTTAGTACTTAGTAAGGCCAACCACGACACGGACAGACATTTGTTGTCTTGTCCATTATACGCTATGTGAATATTTGCATGCCAGAAACATAACACTGAAAGCATTAAAAATATTATATCAGTAAAATTAGTAGAAAATAATTGGGTTACAGGTAATTGAATAATGTATGTTATTATTTAACTGTTACATGAGAGAGAGAGAGAGAGAGAGAGAGATTACGAAAAAATATATAATCTGAATGTACTTATTTCACTAGTTGGTAATAGAACATGTTGATTAAATGTTCATTGCTTAATTTTGTGGTTTACTCTGATGAATTGGTTGATCAGACATTCCATCTAATTTGATTGTTTCACCTTAACAGGTAAAGTCGTCTACAGAATGCAACCAGGATGCTTAACAAACGAAATATTCTAACTATCCCAGCAATAGTGGTCATCTGTGTATCGATAGTGTGGACAGAGACTCTTCAACTTAATGAGGCAGCAGGCACGGATGATGATAATGTATTGACGATAGGCGTCAACGCGACAGGAAATGATGACGACATATCACCGTCGATGTCTACCCACGACGGCGAGAGTACTGCAGATCCAACGTCTTTTACAACAACGGCTACCCTTGAGAGTCCAATAGGCAGCAAAAACGACGCTTCGCAGCTTGTTATTACAACAGAAAGCTCAAATGACAGTCCTTTGCCTGAAACTTCAACAGATGACCCCCAGCTCACAACTACAACGGACAATTCAAAAGATAACTCACGTACAGATCATCTGCATATATCTACAACGGACAGTTCCTTGGTTTTAACTACAGATAAAAATGACGACGCCATTTCTGAAATACAAAATAATACGGATTTTGTGCCACATTCGACGCATTTTGTGTCTACCGTTGACGACGATGCGTTCGTGACGAAAACAGATATGTCTACTGCATCTTCAACACTGAGCTTCTCATCAAGCACTGCGTCGTCCAAACCAACGACACTTCCTCAGTCTTCCATCATCATCCCATCCTCCACCTCTCCAACATTTATCCTAAGTTCTTCTTCTTCTTCCTCTCCCGTGACGGACGCAATAGAAATCTGCGAGTTCTGCAACTCTAACGGCGCATGCGCCCGGAATCAATCAGAATGCCTTTGTCTTCCCGGATTCTTTGGTAAGTTTTCAGATTAACATACATGTTTATATATGCATGATGTAATTAAACATTTTAAACAAAATATTTTTTGAAAGTTAACAGTTTTTCTCATACATTATCATTCTTACTCGAGGCTGAGGTATTTTCTGTATGCATGTATTTAGATTAAACAATATTATTTATATTATATACATATAGGATTGGGCAGAAGGCACACTGCCTATATAAGCCCTCTTCCATAGTAGAAATGTCGTCATACAGATAAAAATATTACAGGTATAATTAAACAAAAACAAAACACATAAATGGATGTTGGTTCTGTGGTTTGAAGATTTATGAAAAAAGCAGAATTATACAAATCAAACATCCTGCATGTTCAAGGTCAAAAACGTTTCTCGATTTTCTTTGCGGACTGTACAGAATTTAGTTATATTAATATATATTTAACCACCTCTCCTCAGTTCTACGTTATACTATTTATGAAGCGACGTCACATTAACTAACACATAATTAAAAAAATTGAATAGCAAGTTTAGTGCAAAAATTAATTATTTCAATGAAGAACATTTGTAATCATTTCGTGTTTCATATTTTATCCGATTAAATTGAATATGTTGGAGAGAAACCACTGAGAAATATAATATTGGTTTGAGTTATAAACACAATTCTCTTAAATGTCGACGGTGTGAAAATCTCACCAATAAGGGAATAATGTTAGGAAACCGACAGGTGAAGACGATAAAGCGATATTCAGGAGGAGCATTGAATTGTTTCATCTGTATTGATAAAACATTCTTCTATTGGAAAACAATGCCGTCTGATTAAAATTATTGTAAAGTAACTCTTGTTGGAACAAGGCAATGTATAAATGAAGGGGGATTGAGGGATTAAGTATACGTCTATAATATTGGATAAAGAAATGTTGTTTGCAGAAAGTTTTCTCTTTCACTAAAAAATTACGGCTTAATAAATCTACACAATGTCAGAGAAATTAGTAATTAAGAGAAATATATACTGTACTGTACCAATATTGACCAAAGAAATGTCTGCAGAAAGTTTCTCTTTCACTTCCAAATTACGACTTAAAAAATCAATACAATGTCATAGAAATCAAGACTGTACTGTACCAATTAAATATGTGCAGAATTTACACGCGTTTATTCCATAGCCTGTGGATAGAATAATCGTCTAGTAAGTGAGTGAGTATTCGTCCGGAGATCAATGTATTACTGATGTGGCCATGATATAAAGGGTGTAAATAAGTTTCGTGTAACTGGTGCCCAATTCAATGCTTAATGTCTTTGATGGAATTTTGTTTTATTCAATAATGAAGATTTCTATTTTTCCTTTCAGTATCACATTTTTCAGTTAGAAGCTAGACGCCTTGTAAGAAACAAAGCTTTTTGGGGAGGTGGGGCTTACTGAGAGTGCAGTAAAGTACACGAATCCAAATGGCATCTAATTGTTACATTAAAGTTTTGCAATTTAAGAAATTCTATAATAATCTATTTGTAACTTTAACTTCTAGACAACTTAGTCGATAGGAGTGACAGTTGAAACGATCCTTTTTGAAATTTGTTATCTCGACTCTTCTTGACTTTTGATTTTTTTTTTGGGGGGGGGGGGTTTGCTTTCTCTTGATTATTTTCTTATTCCAGAGTTTTGATTCATTGTTTCATGCCCTTTGTCTTGTCCTCATTTCGACCTGTTTAACTTTCAAGATCGAAATGTGACATATAATAGGGTGTCTTTCATAAATTGTAAAAAAGATAATCATAAATTCATTTTCACTTCATGAATTATTGTTCACAGGTGATGGCGTGTAGTTCCTGATCGTTCTTTGAATTTTTTAGGGTGACGACGAGAAAAGAAGAGTAAAATTTATTTATTTATTTATAATTTTGCAAAGAACGTTTTAAGGCCTAATACAATTTAGATATAAGTTATTGTTACATTCTACATTTTGTTACAATTTTTATGACCAAACATAAATATGACCGGGGCATATAGTATTTTCTCGTCCTTCCACCTGTCAATCCGTCACACTTTGTGTTTAGCTCAGTTTCAAAGAAACTGTCCCCTGTGACCTTGACCTGACTTTTCTTAATTTCATTTTGCTCAGTTTCAAAGTAACCATTCTAGATACCTTTATCAAAACTCTGATACATTTTGGTTCTATATAATTTTCTGACCTTGTCCTTCAATATTACCTTGACTTCACGATTACTTATTTTGCATGTAGCACAGAGTAGTGTAAGTGTTAACATGCATGTATTTTCATCAAACTGACAATCAAACTTCATACACTAATACATATTTGTGGGGATTAATCAATTGCCTCATAATTTTCCTGAACTTGACCTTCCCCATGACCCTGACGCATTATTTGTCATTTTGCATTTATCTTAGTTTAAAATAAACTGTATTTTCATCAAACTTCATTCAAAGATACAATTTTATTAGACTTACTCAACTGTGTCAACATGTTTGACCTTGATCTTCTTTATGACCTAGACCTCACTATTGATTGTTTTGCAATTAGCACAGTTTAGAAGAAACTGTTCTAACATTTTCATCAAACTTCATACACTTATACAAATTGGTGAAAACTATTCAACTGTGCCATAATTTTCTGACCTTGACCTTCCTTTTGACTTTGACCATTTCATGACCTTGGAGTTTACTGTTGAAGAATTTTTAACCAAACTTCATATATTAATAAATATGTACATATTAGTGAGAGCAATGCAACTGTGTCATCATTATCTTACCCTGACCTTTTTTATGACCTTGACTTCACTCTTCCTTCATTTTGCAGTTATATTGAAGTTTCAAAAAAGTGTTCAAGATATTTTCACCAAACGTTTGTACTGATACAAAGTGGTGAAAGTAATTATAGTGTGTCAAAATTTTATTGATCTTGACCTTCCGTATGACCTTGAATTTTACAATTAGCTTTTCAGCTTTTATTTCATCTTATTTAATTCCATAAAAGATTACTATAGAAAATCCTATGCATCGATAAAGCTCTGTAAAAGCATTTTTACCATATATACATAAGGGATCATATATAACTTTATTAAATGTGAAATAATGAAAGTAGTTTGAAATAATGAGGCTTTATGTAACTGTCATGAATCAATCTCAGACCAAAGAAGGAAGGTTCTTTTTTACCGTTGCAATACAAATGTACCTTGGGCGAGGCATTCATATCCTATGGACATATTTCTAGTCATGAACTTGTTAAGTATCGATAGATTTTCAACTGTTCTTCAATATTCCTACTACCAAGTTTGCTCACATACGTACATTGACTAGCATGCATCTATACTTGGATGTGCAAATCTCGTAGAATAAAAACCATTAAAAAAAGAGTGACTATATAGAGTGAAGCCTATAAAATTAAAAACTCTTTATTTTATGAACTTGTTCGTATCCTTGATTCAAATAACTAGTTCTTTGGTATAGGAATAATTTTGCAGGTGACAGGTGCGAGTTTGTGGACAACTGTGTAGTCGGCCCGTGCCCTGTAGGGATGGAGTGCATTCCGTTACCAAACCAGGAATACGAATGTCAAGACGGTATGTGTTCAGACCATATTCTTTGATCTAAAAACAAATACAAAATTTCCTTTCTAATAGAACTTGGATAATCAATTACGGAAGCAAAACAATACACCGTTACGTAACAATTATGAATAGCAAATTCTTCTCCATTTCAATGTATTAAAAGAATAATATCAATAAAAGCATTCCCGTACATTGTGAAAAAAAAAATAAATGGTACTAGTGGGGATGAAAAGCCTGGTGTATTCGGACCGAATATTTACCTTCCATGAATGAGAACTAGAGAGATGAATGGTGGTAATAAATTGACTCACCCAAACCCACAATAAATACATCGATTTTCCTTCTGTCACCTACTCCCTTTATTTAATGGCCTGTACTGGTCACTAAGGAATGGGGATGTCCTGTATAATGTCTCGTGTGTTTTATGGTTCTTTATCGTACTTCTGCCGATTATAGGCCAGATCCTAATTATAAAAATGTCCAGGTTTCATTGCCTTTTCATACTTCATTAATTACAGTTGTAATCAAACACGATGGCCCAATTATTCCTATATATACTATACGTTTTCGAAAATCAGTTTTGAAAATAAATATACAATTCCGTGAAATCTAATAATTAGTTCAAATGTATGTTTCAACCAAACGTAATTATTCTAACATTTCTGATATATTTAAAAAAATTGAAATTGATAGACTTTGTTTATAGGTAATTCTAGTACCTCCGTGGAACCTTCCTGTCCATTCTGTAACAGAAATGGGGACTGCATCCAAGCAAACGATACAGATGTGTTTTGTGACTGCTATCCCCCTTATCAAGGTGATTTTTTTTCTTCATTTTTTTTAAATTTAATAAAATATTGGGGAGGGGTAGGTAATATTTCTATTTGTAATGACAAGTTTCAGTGCTGTTTAACTCGAAAACTATATTTAGATAGGTATTTTCATGTTATCAACATTGGATTAAAGAAAAACACATATTTAATTGCTTTTAGGAGATTCCTAAAACTAATTTCCTTTGGATGCCTAGCAAACGGTTTTGGATCTGGAATGGATTAAAAAGGACCCCGCCACTCTCATCCTTAATGTTAAATGACCCTCTGCTCTAAATTTCACCGTTTTTTTTTTATTATTATCATCAACGTTGATTTTCATCACCAACAATAGTATTAGATTCAAATGAAAATAGTATGGAGTATGAAGCGGCTGCTTACTTTTTCAGAAATGCATTTTATGTCTAACTATGATATGAAGAAAATTTAACAAAGTAATTGGAGAGAGCGTTAATTTATTATTACAACATGAAATAAAAAATATGAGTTATATATGACAATAATATTTAGTGTCTAAATTCATATGAGTAAAAATAATAAAGTGCTGCTTTTTAAGTCGGAATATAGCATCTGTAGCTTAGTAGCCCATTGAACATGTACATGTGCAATGTATATCAAACCCTCCTTTCTTTTCTTGCTTACCGTGAATTTTTTAAAAATCTTTTGTAATCCATTGAGCTCATTTTTGTAAGTTTAAAAAAGTAAAAAAAAAAAGTTAAAAAAGTAAGTTTAAAAAATAGCGAAAAAACGCATAACTGAGAAAGATGCACATTTATTCGCTCATATTCTATATTCAGTTATGCAAAACAGAAACTTGTGCTGTGAATGAAGACCTGAATTTTACGACTTTCCTGTGCAAGATGAAGAGAAGAAAAAAAATGTAGTCACATAAATTATTTTCAGTGTCTTTAAATTTCACAAAACTGTGAAACTGTCATGTAAAAAAGTTTTTAAAAATGTATAATGAGTATCATTTTTCGGACATTTAAATATTTATTGTCATCCCAGTTATGATATCTCATACACGTAAAACATTCAAACTAGACGGCTTTCTGGTATACAAGTTCAACTCGACAGAAAAAAAGACGGCAGATCATAGAGCTATACATTTAATACTTTTGGACTTATTTTCCTAAAACGGCCTATCACAGAGTATAGAGTATTTAAGACATTTTACTACTGATGTTATCATTTTATTTTCCCAAGAAATTCGTCAAACTGCCTTCATCAGCAACGAAGGAGAAAGTACATTTTAAAATTCTTGCCGATCTACGATCGCCATTTTCACGTGTAAACGCAATCATTCTTCTTCACTTTCCGAGGTTATAAAAATCTCAAGAAAATTGACATCTTTTGTCCTAAGAATTTTTAATATTTTGCAAGAGTATAAAATCATCTTTTTTTAATAATCTTTTTTTTTCAATTTTCAACATATTTTAATATGCTCATTTTATTATCTTTATATGTATACATATGTAACCTAATTTTTGAAAATTGGTGGGTGGCGTGCTCCTCCTCTAAATTCCTCTAATTTCGCTGATGATATTATATATATACATGTATACGTATATATATCGTGTTGAAATATTTTTTGGGAAGTGGGTGGGGAGGGAGTTTGGTGGACTTGCAAAACCCTCAGTAGTGTATGGCGGATGAAAAGCAAATTATATAGCTGTATTAGATAATTTAGATAATTAAAAATATAAAAAAAATATAAATAAAGAGACAAGATATCTCTGCTTGAAGAAACAATTGCCATTACTGTTTTTAGTGAAATTTAAACATCAGGACACAGTTTGGCATTTTAACTGAAAGGTATAGTTGCAAAAAAAAGGGGGGGTATAAATTGAAAGTTACATGTTACAGTCCAAAAAATATGCGTTTATTTGTATATTTTTACTTAATATGAAAATAAGCTCAATAGGCTTTTATACTAATCTGATGTCCAAGCAACAAGTTGCAGGAAAAGGTCTTTATTTATGGGATATTTTTGTCCCTCTTTTTTAAGTTTTTATTAACATAAAATGTTTCAGATCATTAGGACCAATGATAATACTTACCCTCTTTGTGCCCACGGTGTTATTATAGGTTAACAACAGCAAAAACAAAAATCCTAAACAAAAACAATACCAAAAATAAACAAACTGAACAAATGAAACAAAAAACAATACACTGTAACTTTATGTAAGCTCTACATTTCAAGATTATTGTCATTTGGGCAGTGATCCCTTAACCTCAGCTTTATAAAATGATCATATTTTAAATGTTAGAATATTCCTCCAGGGATGTATTCTGAGAGTAACAGAGATTAGAAATGCTAATAATGATGAGGGAAGCAAGAGTTGTTATAGCTTGTGAAAATGAAGACATTACATTTCCCCAAAGATTTTTTACTGGATAATGTTTTGAAACATATTTGCAAGTTTTACGGATAAATTGCTGAATGATTTGATTGATTTGTGATATACAGGACCCAGCTGTTGGGAGGTAGAGGATTATTGCCAGCTAGGGATGTGTAGTACCAGGGACAGCTACTGTAATCCCACTAAAACAGACAGGGGCTTCCTCTGCAGGCACAGTAAGTATACAAAGTAATATGGGTCAAAATGACACCTAAAGAGGACACGTACAGTCTGTAACTATTTCATCAATCTGAGATAAATTGAATTTAGTACAATCAGGCCTCAGTAATCCGGAAACCAGTAACCCGGACACTTCCGCCATCTTGACCAAATTTGTTCATACTTTTCAGTTATATCTATCAATTAAAAAAGGTATGTTTCATTAATGCAGACATTCATTAGAATCCTGACAAATCTTTAATCCAAGCTTCTGAATTAACTGAGAAGCTTGACTGTTATGTTTCTTGAAACTCGATAAAACTATACAGCTTCTTCATCAAACTTTTAAACTTCATACTGGACACTAAGGTTTATGAAACATTATACAATCATTTTCATAAATATATATATATCATGATATTTACTAAATTGAAAACCTTAAATGATATTGTATGACATCATTCCAAAATTTATATGACTCAATAACTTCGGAAAAAATATTTTTATTTATTTATAGTACCGGGTATTCTTTTTTAAAATATTTCAAAGTTTCAAAGTTTTTGAGACATTCCTTTTTGTAATGTCTATATATCTTACTTATACTCTGACTAACATTTGATCTATCATGAGGTTTTTCAGATTTAGTGAAAATAAAATTTGGATTCAGATTGACAGTGATTTAATACATGAATATTATACATAATACCATCAAGTACGATTCCCTGTTTTCTCCAGTGTTTACATCAGTGATCACTCTTCGGTACAGTGTGTCATGTGACTACTGCTCAGGAATCGGAGATTGCATTATATCAAACAACACAACAAGATGCAAATGTCCCTACCCATACTTTGGTGAGTTCATTTCCTAACTGTCCCTTCAAACCAGATCATTAAAATTGTAAACATTTCAAATGCAAAATTGCTGGTACTTGCATGTCTAACTTTGATGCCAAAACTTTGTCTTACAAAAAATTGCCATTTGTAATATATATAATTTGTAAGATATTACTGTGATTTCTGTCTAGTTTGAGTGATTTAAATTGTATGTAATGTACCTGCTTCAGGGCTGAGATGTGAGAAGAGAGACCCATGTCTGGCTGACCCATGTGATACGAATGAGTTTTGTATCAGACTGGAGAATTCCACCAGAATATGTCTGTCAGGCTAGTGTTTTAACTAATATAAATCTCTATTATACAATATCTTAATAATCCAAAAAAGTTCCCTCTATTCTGCAATTCTTTTTTGTGCTATATTAAAACTTCATTTAATCATCATCTTAAGCCACTGTCCATAGTCTGCATAATACTCTCTCCTATACCTGGCTGTTTGATCACATAAAGAATCCTAGTCTTGAATAATCATACCCCAAATGTGTGACGTAATGTTAAACCAATTAAAATAATTGTTTTTATTGTTGTAACATTCAACGATATACAATGAATATATACATTATATATTGTAAACTGTGATTGGATATTGATGTTGCATCAAAGGTTATTTTCTGACTATGCTTTACTCGCATCGATCAATATTTTAATGAGCTATGGAATATTCTCTTCTCGTTCAACCATGGCCAGAATGGGACAGGATCGTGCATTTTGGCCATGATTTGCGACAATACAGTTAGTAATAAGTTTAAAAATTAAATTGCACAGAATAATTAATTTTCCTGACATTATTTTCATTTTCAGCCACTGCCAAGAATTGTTCCTTTTGCAACTTTCATGGAGACTGTTTCAATGATTCAAACTATCAAACCCAAAGTTGTCGCTGTATTCATCCATATCATGGTAATTAAACAATTGGATCATTATTGTCTTTCCAAAAAATTTCAAAGAGTACCCCAACTCAAATTTCTTTATATTTACAGTGACTAAATTTTTATTCTGTAAATCTATAAACTATAAAATGTATGCAAAATGAAAGAATTGCCTGAAGATGATATGAAATAGCCAAATACTTCTCTCAGCAAGATTCCCTTAATGTTTTATACAAATAAATTCTATTTTAAAGGTGAGCGATGTGAAAGGTATGTAGGCTGTGAGAAGAGGTGTGGATTAGGCAGTACCTGTGTGCAGATAGAACCCAGTCAAACACTCTGTGCTACGGATGGGCAGGGTAAGATAGAAATTGGAGTTAGACATGGCTTTTGAATGGTGTAGATTGAATTATTTTATTTAGAACTTTAAGTAAATATAATATTTCACTGAGCTTTACATTATTGTTGGTTGTTTTAATCAATCTCTCATTGTCTTAAAGATTGTTGATAAAATGACTGCTCTTACAGTATTTCAGAACTGCAGCTGGGCTTGTGACAAAAGCTGTGAGTTTAATCAGATGCAGTTTCAGTGTCTCTGTCCTCCAGGATACAGACCAGAGGGCAGGAAATGTGAGGATGTGAATGAGTGTCTGGACGGACATCACAACTGTTCTCAGTCTCTTTGTCAGAATCTCCCAGGAGGATACCATTGTGAGTGTCCAAAGGGATATGCAGAAAGAAATGGCAGCTGTGTGTGTCCAGCAGGATTTGTGGAAAGAAATAGCAGCTGTGTTTGTCCAGCAGGATTTGTGGATAGATATGGTAGCTGTGTGTGTCCAGCAGGATTTGTGGAAAGAAATAGCATCTGTGTTTGTCCAGCAGGATTTGTGGAAAGAAATGGTAGCTGTGAGTGTCCAGCAGGATTTGTGGAAAGAAATAGAAGCTGTGTTTGTCCAGCAGGATTTGTGGAAAGAAATGGTAGATGTGAGTGTCCAGCAGGATTTGTGGATAGAAGTGGCATCTGTGTGTGTCCAGCAGGATTTGTGGAAAGAAATAGCAGCTGTGTTTGTCCAGCAGGATTTGTGGAAAGAAATAGCAGCTGTGTTTGTCCAGCAGGATTTGTGGATAGAAATGGCAGCTGTGAGTGTCCAGCAGGATTTGTGGATAGATATGGTAGCTGTGTTTGTCCAGCAGGATTTGTGGAAAGAAATGGCAGCTGTGAGTGCCCAGCAGGATTTGTGGATAGATATGGTAGCTGTGTGTGTCCAGCAGGATTTGTGAATAAGAATGGAAGCTGTGCAGAAGTTGATTTTTGTGAGGTCGAAAAACCATGTAGTCAGAATTGTACCATGATAGATGGAAGCTATGTCTGTAGTTGTTGGAAGGGGTATGTACTGTCGGATGATAGAACGACTTGCAAAGATGTCAATGAATGTGACCAGGGTACACTGCATGGCTGTTCACAAAAATGTATCAATACACCTGGTAGTTTTGTTTGTGACTGCAAACCTGGATTCCAGCTTGATCAGGGTGGTTATTTCTGTGCAGATATTGATGAATGTTCTTATCCAGACTTAAATTACTGTACTCAAAGATGTGTAAATACACCTGGTAATTTTACCTGTAAATGTCACAGTGGATTTCAGCTCAGCCAGAATGGCTTTTCCTGTCTAGATATAGATGAATGTTCTACAACGTCTTTGCATAACTGCACTCAGAAATGTCTTAATTCAATTGGAAATTACACATGTAATTGTGAAGCAGGATATCAACTTGGCAAAGATAGCTTCACTTGTCTGGATATTGATGAATGTTCTACCCCAGCTCTGCACAACTGCACCCAGAAATGTGTGAATAAAGAGGGAAGTTATTTCTGTGACTGTGACTCTGGTTATACACTGGGATCAGACAACAGAACTTGTCAGGACTTCAATGAATGTCAAGGTTTTTCCTCTCACAACTGTTCTCAAAAATGTGTGAACCAAGATGGAAAATACAGTTGTGAGTGTTTTCAAGGATATCAATTGGATTCCAATGGCTACAGTTGTTTGGATGTTAATGAATGTGAAAATGGTCTCCATAACTGTTCACAGGGATGTGTGAACAAAGATGGAAGTTTTTACTGTGAATGTTACCCAGGGTATTCTCTATCAAGTGATAAAGTTAATTGTTTGGATGCTGATGAATGCAAGGACAGTGCCACTCACAATTGCTCACAGCTTTGTTTGAATACAGTTGGATCATACCATTGTGAATGTACTAGTGGTTTCTTTCTCTCTGAAGACAATTCCACATGTGAAGATGTGAATGAATGTAAGCAAAAGGAGCTGAACAATTGTTCTCAACTCTGTATAAACAGACATAGTGGATATGATTGCTCATGTACTGAGGGATACACATTAGGAAATGATAATAGAACATGTGAAGATATCAATGAATGTGACAGTAATTTGTTGAACAACTGTTCCCAAAAATGTCTGAATGCAGTTGGAAACTATACCTGTGATTGTGAAGCAGGATATCAACTTGACAAAGATGGCTTTTCTTGTCTGGATGTAGATGAATGTTCTACCCCAGCTCTGCACAACTGCACCCAGAAATGTGTGAATAAAGAGGGAAGTTATTTCTGTGAATGTGACTCTGGTTATACATTGGGATCAGACAACAGAACTTGTCAGGACTTCAATGAATGTCAAGGTTTTTCCTCTCACAACTGTTCTCAAAAATGTGTGAACCAAGATGGAAGATACAGTTGTGAGTGTTTTCATGGATACCAATTGGATTCCAATGGCTACAATTGTTTGGATGTTAATGAATGTGAAAATGGTCTCCATAACTGTTCACAGGGATGTGTGAACAAAGATGGAAGTTTTTACTGTGAATGTTACCCAGGGTATTCTCTATCAAGTGATGAAGTTAATTGTTTGGATGTTGATGAATGCAAGGACAGTGCCACTCACAATTGCTCACAGCTTTGTTTGAATACAGTTGGATCATACCATTGTGAATGTACTAGTGGTTTCTTTCTCTCTGAAGACAATTCCACATGTGAAGATGTGAATGAATGTAAGCAAAAGGAGCTGAACAATTGTTCTCAACTCTGTATAAACAGACATAGTGGATATGATTGCTCATGTACTGAGGGATACACATTAGGAAATGATAATAGAACATGTGAAGATATCAATGAATGTGACAGTAATTTGTTGAACAATTGTTCTCAAAAATGTCTGAATGCAGTTGGAAACTATACCTGTGATTGTGAAGCAGGATATCAACTTGACAAAGATGGCTTTTCTTGTCTGGATGTAGATGAATGTTCTACCCCAGCTCTGCACAACTGCACCCAGAAATGTGTGAATAAAGAGGGAAGTTATTTCTGTGACTGTGACTCTGGTTATACACTGGGATCAGACAACAGAACTTGTCAGGACTTCAATGAATGTCAAGGATTCTCCTCTCACAACTGTTCTCAAAAATGTGTGAACCAAGATGGAAGATACAGTTGTGAGTGTTTTCACGGATACCAATTGGATTCTAATGGCTACAATTGTTTGGATGTTAATGAATGTGAAAATGGTCTCCATAACTGTTCACAGGGATGTGTGAACAAAGATGGAAGTTTTTATTGTGAATGTTACCCAGGGTATTCTCTATCTACTGATGGAGTTACTTGTTTGGATGTTGATGAATGTTCTGAGAGAACAAATAACTGTTCAGATTTGTGTACAAATACAGCAGGGTCCTTTACCTGTCTTTGTTCTGATGGTTTCTACATAGACAAGGACAATATTACATGCAAAGATGTAAATGAATGTAATAGCAAAGACTTTAACAACTGTTCTCAAATTTGTGAAAACATTCCTGGAAGTTTCCTTTGCTCTTGTTTTGAAGGATACACAATGTCAACTGACAATAAAACTTGTTCTGATATTGATGAATGTTTGGATGATACATTAAATAATTGCTCACAGAAATGTCTGAATACACTAGGAAACTATACCTGTGATTGTGAAACAGGATATCAACTTGGCAAAGATGGCTTCTCTTGTCTGGATATAGATGAATGTTCTAACCCAGCTCTGCACAACTGCACCCAGAAATGTGTGAATAAAGAGGGAAGTTATTTCTGTGACTGTGACTCTGGTTATACACTGGGATCAGACAACAGAACTTGTCAGGACTTCAATGAATGTCAAGGATTCTCCTCTCATAACTGTTCTCAAAAATGTGTGAACCAAGATGGAAAATACAGTTGTGAGTGTTTTCATGGATACCAATTGGATTCCAATGGCTACAATTGTTTGGATGTTAATGAATGTGAAAATGGTCTCCATAACTGTTCACAGGGATGTGTGAACAAAGATGGAAGTTTTTACTGTGAATGTTACCCAGGGTATTCTCTATCAAGTGATGAAGTTAATTGTTTGGATGTTGATGAATGCAAGGACAGTGCAACTCACAATTGCTCACAGCTTTGTTTGAATACAGTTGGATCATACCATTGTGAATGTACTAGTGGTTTCTTTCTCTCTGAAGACAATTCCACATGTGAAGATGTGAATGAATGTAAGCAAAAGGAGCTGAACAATTGTTCTCAACTCTGTATAAACAGACATAGTGGATATGATTGCTCATGTACTGAGGGATACACATTAGGAAATGATAATAGAACATGTGAAGATATCAATGAATGTGACAGTAATTTGTTGAACAATTGTTCTCAAAAATGTCTGAATGCAGTTGGAAACTATACCTGTGATTGTGAAGCAGGATATCAACTTGACAGAGATGGCTTTTCTTGTCTGGATGTAGATGAATGTTCTACCCCAGCTCTGCACAACTGCACCCAGAAATGTGTGAATAAAGAGGGAAGTTATTTCTGTGACTGTGACTCTGGTTATACATTGGGATCAGACAACAGAACTTGTCAGGACTTCAATGAATGTCAAGGATTCTCCTCTCACAACTGTTCTCAAAAATGTGTGAACCAAGATGGAAGATACAGTTGTGAGTGTTTTCATGGATACCAATTGGATTCTAATGGCTACAATTGTTTGGATGTAAATGAATGTGAAAATGGTCTCCATAACTGTTCACAGGTATGTGTGAACAAAGATGGAAGCTTTTATTGTGAATGTTTCCCTGGGTACTCATTATCTACTGATGGAGTCACTTGTTTGGATGTTGATGAATGTAATGCCAAAAATGTTCATAATTGTTCACAAATCTGTGAGAATTCTAAAGGATCTTATATTTGTCAATGTCGTAAGGGATTCTTTTTGACAGCTGATAATGTCACATGTGAAGATGTGAATGAATGTGATCAAAATGAAACCAATGGTTGTTCACAGATATGTGAGAATAGTGATGGAGGGTTCTCTTGTTCCTGCAGAGATGGATTCACTCTTATGAAGGATGGGAAGACTTGTGTTGATATTGATGAGTGTACCAGCAGAAATTCCAATGGCTGTGATCAGAACTGTACCAACACTGTAGGAGGCTACACATGTAGCTGCCTTCCTGGTTATCGTCTGACCTCAGACAATGTCACATGTATGGACATTGATGAGTGTGACACAAATGAACTGAATTCCTGTGAGTACCAGTGCAATAATTCTATAGGAAGTTACAGCTGTGCCTGCCCCTCTGGATTTCTGCTGAAGGATGACATGAGAGGTTGCCAGGATATAGATGAATGTAAAGGCTTGCATAGCTGCTCACAGGGCTGTGTTAACAACATGGGCTCTTATTCGTGTGTTTGTGACCAGGGCTTCATTCTGGAACCAGACAACAGAACCTGTGTAGATTTTAATGAATGTACCAACCAGACCAAGAACATTTGTGACCAGGATTGTGAGAACACCAGAGGGAGCTTTGAGTGTAGTTGTAGAGCTGGCTACTGGCTAGGTCCTGATAAGAAATCTTGTCTGGACATCAATGAATGTGCAGATAAATTCAGGAACAACTGCAGCCAGTTATGTGTGAATTCAGATGGCAACTTCTCCTGTTCCTGCCAGAGTGGTTTCAGTCTTCTGGAGGATGGTGTGTCCTGTGTGGATGTAGATGAATGTCTGGATAAAAAGCTCTGTAATGGTTCCTGTGTCAATACAGAAGGGGCATACATCTGTAACTGTCCAAATGGCTATGAAGAGAGAGATGGGCTATGTAAAGGTAGGATTAAGTTTAAGACAGTCGAAAAAAAAATTACTCAACACTGGCAAAGAAATCCACCAAAAACTACCAAGAATGGCAGTATTAAGTCAAATTATTTAATATTTCTTTTCAAAAAATTGCAAATATCAGGTGATCTTTAAGAAAACAAATGATAAATGAAAGATGGGGTGGATATTTGTATATGTTAATCATTACATTTTTACTCATAAAATCTGTCACTGATGAAGCCACAGAGAGGGATGACCTCTTTTAAATGTCTTATATGAAGATTAAAATTCAACCATATATGTTATATTGCTGTCTAAATGAATGATTTGTGACATGTAATGCTAAATATCAATGTCATACCTTTCATGTTCAGGGATGAATAGGAAACTTGATTTTTTTATAAGCATGTCCCAAAACAAGTGCAAGATGGGTAGGCAGAGACTGTCAAAAGCAGAAAACAGATGTATGAAAATTAGTTGAATGAACATTAAAAACTGTTTCATCAAACACCTTTGCAATCTGTTTCACTGTGACTTACGACCTTAAATTTATTTTCATTTCCATGTTCTTCATATTGTGCAATCTGACACCTTGTTTATTCTGACACAAAATTTGTGTTCACTGTATGTATATTGAAACCATGACAGTTAAGTTTATTATACTCCCTGCTTGAAAAGCGGGGGTTGTAAAATGATGGGGGTGTCTGTCTGTCCATTTGTCTGTCCGTCCATCCATCCATTATGCATTGGGGTACACATCTCTTTTCCCAACTCCTCTTATACCACTGATAAAATTTAATGAGACTTTCACAGAATCTTTTTTACATAGTGCCATTGTGCACCTCCTACTTTACTTTTTGATTGGACACATATATTGGGTTTCCAATAGCACAACATAGAACACTGTCATTCTTTCTATAATATTGAGGGAATCCATCATTAATCTGCAACTCCTCCTATACCACAGAATAAAATTTAATGAAACTTTCACAGAATCTTTATTACATAGTGCCATTGTGCATCTCCTATTTTACTTTTTGATCAGACACTTATATCAGGCTCCCATAGCAAAACAAAGACACTGTCATTCTTTCTTTCATATTGAGGGGTACCCATCTCTTCTGCAACTCCTCCTATATCACTGAATAAAATTTAATGAGACATTCACAGAATCTTTATTATTTAGTGCATCTTTTATTTTATTTTTTGATTGTACATATATTTCGGTTTTCCAACAGCACAACATAGAACACTGCCATTTTTTCTATGATATTGAGGGGTCATCTCTTATCCCCAATTCCTTCTATACCACTGAAAAAAATTTAATGATACTTTCACAGAATAATTGTTATGTAGTGCTATAATGCACCTCCTATTTAACTCTTTGATCAGACACTTATATCGAGTCTCCTATAGCAAAACATTGGACTTAGCCATCATAAACATATGGGAGGTGGGGGGGGGGGGGTATCATTTGTGAGCTCAGTGCTCACAGTACCTCTAGTTTTACTTTGGAAAGGGAGTCTATGTTAAAAAAGAGAGGGAAATTTATCAGAAGAGAATTTTTCCCAATCACATACAACAGGATTTTATTTAAAACACAAGTAGGCCTAAGGAGGAAAGCTTGACTGTATATATGATAGACTTTAACATATTGATGTTTACAGTGATAGACTTTAACATATTGATGTTTACAGATATTGATGAGTGTGCAGATCCTAAGTCAAACAACTGTGTTCAGAGTTGTAGTAACACTGTAGGGGGATACCAGTGCCAATGCTGGGAGGGCTATAAAGAGAAAAATGGACAGTGTAGGCTTACATACACTACAGATCTGGGTAAGGGAAAATCTGACAATCTTCTGTAGCTATTTTTAGTCCTGGAACACAAGGTTATTGATAACTTGGATCTGTGTTGTTTTTTCTTTTTTCTTTTACCTCTTACAACAGTTAATGGTTATTGTATTGACCATGTTACTTACAGAAACCAAGTTCACAACCTTTGTGGTGTCAATAAAGATCAGATCACAAGAATGGCAAGAGAATCTGTTAAACCCTAGCTCTGATATTTATAGACAGGTGGCAGCACAGGTCACAGGAAATGTGAGTAATAAACAGTAAGGAAGTCACATGATTCTGTTCTACTTAAATGTGAAGAAGATTGATGCAATAAAAGATATGATTTTGTTTAAATTTTCATAGCTTTAAAAATGGCTTTGTTCATTCCTTAGGTATCCCAGGAATTAACTTCAGCAGGAATTCAGTTTAGAGAAATCCAGGTGGTGGGATTCAGGTATAAACCTATAATGAAGTGATATCTCTAATAACAAATTTCTGAATCCATATAAGTCAAAATGTATGAACATATGATATGTATATGAGTTATCTAAAGTGTAAAATATGGTATTTAATTAATCCTTCATATATATATATATATGATACATATGATCAATCATATCGTATCCTTCTATAAAGGACTTTTTATGTTACTGAATGTGGCTCAAATTTTCAGAGCAGAGAATTCTGAAGACAGGTAAAAATTGTGGTTTACCAGCATTCTGCATGATACCTGAAAAAATCTGACTTCAATAGAATTTACAAAGATACTGGAGAGTGTATTACGCTTAATGCTATATATAGCCATATATTGGTAGATAATTTTGTAGGCATTTCTCAAATTTCAATAAGTATTCCAAATGAAAATGGTGAAAATTTAGTGGATTGTAGCATTATATGGCACACAAAGTCCCCTTCCAATAGTCCTACAGATTGGAAAAGATAACATGTGTATCAACTCTAACATTCATTTCACACTCATAGCAATGGTTGCTGCACCATAATGGTGAAAAAGCAGATTTGAATAACTAGTTTTTTAATATGTGAAAAAGCTTTATATACTGACATTTTCTATATTTAGGAAGGGGAGTATTATAGCAGACATACTGGTACTGCAGAATGTCAAGGTCAAATCCTTACCAGCAATGGAGATCCTAGAAAAAGCTGTACAAAGTGGGAATCTGGGAGGACTCCTTGTGGAGCCCTCATTCTTTATCACCAAAGATGGAGGTATGTCTCTAAAAAATCCATGTAGAAAAACCTAGAAAAGAATTTTAAAAAAACCTACTGTGGTATAAGAAGATGGGAAATTATAATTTTCATAACACCCACAGAGTACTGAGGACATTTGGATCATTTATTCACTACTTTTCCTTTTCTCTCTTGGAACCACATTAGGATGCCACAAAAGGAGGAATTATTTGATTTTCCAAATAAATTTTGAAGAGAATCCAAAACATGCTACATTTGATATGAAAAAAAAAAAAATGAGACAACCATCTTATTATTAATGGTTATGTTATAGTGGGCTACATCAAGGGAATCAAAATGTACAAACCAGACAACTACATGATCCTGGGGAACCATGTGACAGTTTCCTGTCTGGTGTCTGCTGTATCCATGGATGGAGCTCTACAGATACGCTGGAGAATTAACGGTAGACTCGTGAAGCCGCTGGCCAGTTCCCGAATTCAGACAACACAGATCAACAGAGACAGTTATGACCCCACTCTGTACACCAGTAACCTGATCATTAATGGAATAAAAAAGGTGGACACAGGTAAAATAAAAAAATATTATCAAAAGGTGGGCTCCAGAAATTATGTCCATTCAAGTGTTTAATTGACAGAATTATTGGGAGAGTTATGAAGGCATCCATAAACATCTGACAATAGAGTGTTAATTCCTGTAAAGCAGGATTTGATGTTTTGTTCTTGTTTGCATTTTTTATATTTCCATATGTTTGTTCATGTCTCTGCCTGTCTGATTAATTCTGAAAAGGAAGAATTTTTGATGTTTGATAAATTACATATGAAAGACAGTTATAGGTACAATTGTCATGTATTAACTTTGATGAACCTGGTGTTTTATGTTTCAGAGGGAAAAGTTGAATGTGTTGCAGTTGTCGGTAAGGTCTCACTAAGTAACGACACCACGTTAAATATTTACACTGTGAATATGACGGCGCCACAGTCCGCGGTGCTGAGAGGGAGCCTTGCCCACATCACATGTACAATCACCCCCACCCCTCCTGCCAATGACGTCCTGACCCTCGTGTGGTGTCAGAATGGGGGGACATTATCCTCCTCCACACATAGTAGGTTCTTCATAATGAAAACATGATATACATTATGAGATAAGAATAATTTACAAGCCTTGTTTTACCTTTTAAAGGTAAAGATCTTTTATACTGGGTACTTAATTAAAACTATGTGAAGAAACCTTTGTAAAAAATCAGGTTATAGCCAATTTTTTGGTTTATTAAAGATTAATGTATACAGGGAAAATTTTGCCCCCATTTTATTTTCACCCCGTTCACCCTACTCACAGGTGGGTGAATTTAAACCAGGGTGAATTCAAAGAACACAGTATAATTTCTTAAACAGAACTGTGACTGGGTGAATTTAAAATGGGGCAATTTGTTTGCAAGTGTGAATGGGCAAAAATAACATGGGGCGAAAAAAAAAAACCCTGTATAGAGTATTCATATCGAAAAATAGGCATTTGGTGTAAGAAAGTTATTCAATTAATTTTGAGACAGCCCGTCACATGACCACGTCTATTAGTTAACCATCAGTCAATGCCTTAAAAGAAACTGTGTGTCTAGCGTCTTGGTCGAATCTATGCTAAAGAATGGAGTGCAGAAATTGCTTTGATCAAAAGGCACACAGAAATAAAAGATATCTGTGAAGCATTTTGAAATTTGTAATCTTTTGAAATTCATAACATGCATACAAACTACATTGTACTTTTATACATATGTCAATAGGATTACACTTGTTCTTTTCCTTAACCAAAAAAATTGTAGTTCCAGAAATGGCTGAGTAGTTATGATTGGAATAATGTTAGAATGTTTACTTCTGGAAATGACAGATTAATTCAGACCCTGTTAAATTCAGGCAATGTCCATCAGCTATAAATCTAATACAGTACTTTGATTCAGTCAGTTATAATATACTTCAAGTACATTGTACCATTTTGTTGTCTGTTGTTAGATGAGTACCAGATCTCAGCAGATTCTCCCTACTCAGAGACCATAAATATTGTGTCAGCTCAGCATTCCGAGACTTACAGCTGTGGTGTGAGATACGCAAAGTCTGAGGACAGGACGTGCTCTCAAACTGTTCAGCTCAATGTGTATAACTCAGGTAAGGCTGTCTGTATCAGTGTATAACTCAGGTAATGCTGTCTGTATCAGTGTATAGCTCAGGTAAGACTGTTTGTATCAGTGTATAACTCAAGTAAAGCTTCTATATCAGTGTATAACTCAGGTAAGGCTGTATCAGTGTATAACTCAGGTAAGACTGTATAAGTGTATAACTCAGGTAAGGCTGTATCAGTGTATAATTCAGGTAAGGCTGTATCAGTGTATAACTCAGGTAAGGCTGTATCAGTGTATAACTCAGGTAAGGCTGTATCAGTGTATAACTCAGGTAAGACTGTCTGTATCAGTGTATAACTCAGGTAAGACTGTCTGTATCAGTGTATAACTCAGGTAAGACTGTCTGTATTAGTGCAGAATTCAGATAAGGCTGACTGGTATCCTCCAGAATGAAAATGATCCAACTTGATCACTATGTTCAAATCTATGGTAACAGGAGGTTGACAGTCCATCTCAATGTTTGTCAGGTGAGAACTTGTACCACTGCTCTGCAGCTCAGTTCAGAGATATTGTAAGAGACATGCCTTTGGTTTCATATCAGTCATAACTCAACATGTACAATTCATGTTAGATGGTCCTATTTCGGGTTAGATATGGTGGTCTTATTCATCTTGAACACATCATTTGACCTAGTCTGGTTTAATGGGTTAGACATTGGTACATACAGCTCTGTTGATAGTCCAGTTCCCCATGCACTCTCAAAATTAGATAAAGTCTGATTAAATGTGTACAGTTCAGGTAGGATGGTTAGACTCGGTGTGTGCAAGTCCAATTCCATATGAAATCTCTGAATCAGAATGGTCTACCGAGATGAAATTTGATTTGTATAAATCAGGTGAGAATGTATCACATGCAGGTAAGGAGGTAGTATCAAACTCCACCTGTCCAGTTCCAGTACACTAGTACTATAGTCCAATAGGTAAAGCTCAGGAGAAAATGGTTCAAGCTCAGGTAAAATCTTCCAACTCTATAAGACTCAGTGTAACTGCACAGAATCTGGTATAAAACATGCACAGCTCAATTACTGTTGATTAACTTTTAAAAGTTGATATTGTAAATTGTTTATTTTCTAATCCCCTTGAAAAAAAAAAAATGATGGATACATAATCATGGCCAATCATAGAAGTGCTAACATGGCTCTAATTTTTACAATTCAGCTAATTTGATGTGTCCTCAGGAGGAGTTAGATGGAATAGTATGGGAAGCAGTTTATGCTACGTTGTCTGACTACAAGCCCTGCCCTGAAGGATACATAGGTCAGTACTTATGTACTTAAGAGTAAAAATTTATGTAACATTTTCATTTTTAGTTTTTGTCTAGTAATCTTTATAATTTAAAGCATGATATGTCTGTGAAATTCAAGTAGAATTGAAATATTACTAAACTAGGTATGATGGAGCGACGGTGTGGAGCTGATGGACAGTGGGAGGATCCGGATGTTTCCATGTGTATAAAGAGCAGTCTAGTCAGCATCTTTGTGGAGGCAAGTTAGGACTTATATTGAAAAAAAAACAACATACTTATATGCTCTTTTAAAAAAAAATTACTTACCTTTTTGAAACTTTATTTTTTCTACAGTAGATATTAGGAAAATATTATTTAAACTTAATGTCTATAATTAATTACTAAAATATACATACCTGTAATAAAAATGCTCTAACAGTTTTTTAACAATGCCAGATAAGTAATTTTTTTGCATTTAAAAGAAAATAATTCCTAATTAGCTGTTGAATTATTGTTTGATAATTAGCTCACCTCGACGAAGTCGAGATGAGCTTATGCTATACCCCCGGCATCGGCGTCCCGGTTAAAGTTTTAGGAGCAAGTCCATTCCCAAGTAACTATAAGCCCTACCTGGACCAAACTTGCATGGATGATGCATCTAGGGATGGACACTACCACACTTGCTTCGGATGCTGGATCTGACCTAGATTTTCCAGTTGAGTGACCAGGTTAAAGTTTTTGGAGCAGGTCCATTCCCAAGTAACTATAAGCTCTACCTTGAACAAACTTGCATGGATGATGCATCTAGGGATGAACACTACCACACTTGCTTCGGATGCTGGATTCGACCTAGATTTTCCACATGAGTGAATTTTAGCCATATTTTAACCAATACCATGGATGATGTAGCTAGGCATGGTCACTTCCAGACTTGCTTTGGATTCTGAATCTGACCTACATTTTCCAGATGAGTGACCAGGATAATTTTTTTGGAGTAGCTATATAACATTATGGCCTGTTATGATTAAACATGAATAGATGGTGCATCTAAGGATGAAAACTTCCAGACTTACTTTGGATGTTGGAACTGACCAAAATTTTCTTGATTAGTAAACAGGATAAACTTTTTTTGAACAGGTTTATTTCCAAGTAACTATAAGTCATACTTAAACCAAACTTGCATGGACTTTGATCTTGGGATGTACACTAAATAAAAAAAAATATGATGTGAAATTTGCCTTACTTAAAGATAACATTCGTCGAGGTGAGCTTCATAATCTTTGATTACTTACGTTTTTACTTCTAGAATTCTTTTTAAAAATCTGTTTTATTATTAGCAGATATTTTAAAAACAATTTGTAAGTATTAAATCTGTAAAATACCGAATCATCTTTACCTCTATAGTGCACTGCTCATAAAGGGAAATAACTCATAGATTCCCAAACTTAAAATAACCTACAACAATCTCAAAAATTCTGTAATTATATCAACCAACAGGTGACCCAGGTAAGGGACGGTTATGACACAAACAACATCACTGGTGTCCTGAAGGACTTCTCCGAGGAAACTGCCAGGATCACCAGTGATAAGAACATAACGTCAGGTGACCTATCTACCAGTGTTGACATTATCACCAAGGTAGCTGCAATCTCCGCGGGCAGGGATGACCTAGTTACTGAGTCAGATACACAGGTCAGGGCCTGACATGCTGCTAAGAATCTTTAAAATTGTCTTGCAATAATTTTTGTTTCTATAATGATTAAAATATCTTTCCTCTGTAACTTACATTTAAACAAAAAAAAAAAGATTATTTTCATTTGGGTATAATTACTTATTGTTATTGTTTTTCTTGCAGGAATTCCTGCTCTCTGTAAATAATGTTCTCAAGGAAGACATCAAGCCTGTATGGGACAATTTACAAATCAAGGTGAGAAATTCTTAGCAGAGTTTACTGAAATTTTACTGTTCACATTCAAGAGTTATCTTTCTTTAGCTGCACAGACTTTAGAGTAACTGAATACTTTACAGAGAGGTACAAACAAAGCTGCAGAACTAATGGATGCAGTGCATGAGTTTGGAAACAGCATTACAAAGAGACTCCCCCGGGGAGAGACAAAAACTCTAGCCCAGCAGAACATAGGTAATTACCCTCCCATTATCTTCCCACTCTGTCACCCAGAACTGCTGCCCTGTGTTAGATGTCTATGAGGTGCTGTTTTAGTATCACAATAATAAAATAAAGTTATCAAAAGATGATTTTCCTGTATCAAAAAAAGAGAAGATATTCTGATATTGATTTTGAGATATCAAAAAAATGACATCAAAAAATCTTTTTTTGATATCAAAAAACAAATGATTCATCTCAAGATTTTTTTTTATATTAGAAAATACCTATAAAATACCAAACTGGTGCCTTGTAGATATCATCTAGAACAAGTTTTTTAAAACATTTTTTTTCTCTAATTGTATCTATGCTTTTTAATTGAGAGGAGATAAATCTTGTCAGTGTACATACTTATTAATGCAAAGACATATATATATTGCAAATTATAGTATACATGTACATACAATGTTCATTAAGGAATGAATTTAATAGCTACCAAATTTGCACTATAACCAGGGTCTTATGCTTTATAAACTGTAGCTTTTAAATTCATTCCTTATTTTTAATTATAGTCATTTAGTTTAGAATATGTCAATTACCCTTGGAAAATGACTTCATATTGTCAAAAAAAAAAGTTAAATTTAACAATGTATTTATTTATTGGAACTAATTTAGTACAGAATAATTTTTTTTTTTTTTTACATTTTAAGGGACTATAAGTCATGCAGGTATGCATACAAATTGAATAAAGCTCAAAAAAACTTTATTTCACAGCTAAACATATGATATCAGAAATTATTTTGTAATCTTTTTTTCTCAAACAGTTACATGTAGTCATTGTCAGATCATATTTGCAATTGGTGGTTGGGGCTTTCAACTCACTTCAGCATCTCCATGATATCTAGTATGTTCAAGAAACTGAAGTTCAACTGTTTTTTTTTTTTTTTGCAGTTGTTGAGTATAAAAAGTCAGCAGTAGAAGATATTACTTTCCCTGCATCCAAACTCAACCCCAACACAGAGTTTAAGGGAATTATAGAGCTGAAGGAAGGTACACTGAGGAAAATTGTGTCAGGTGAGGACAAATAAGGATAAACCGTTCCAGAAATAATTCAGGGTGAGATCAAAGATTAAACTTGTTTAAACTTTTGTTTAATCATCAGTAGTAGTACATCAATGTACTGTAGATGACTGTACTAAGCACAGTTTTTTTCAGAGTATCTAAACCCTTCACAAGCAAATGTTCTGTAGTATAAAGAAATTCATGTGTATATCTGTAAAAGAACAGAAATTTTTTTCCAGTTTATTATGTTTATATCCCCCTCCCCTCTCCCACTCAATGCTACCTTGTATTATGTCCAAGATATTGAGTTGTCTTTCCTTTTATGTATTTGCATCCCATTTAAAATTAGCACAATTTCATAGAAAGAGTTCAAGATATTCCTATAATCACGCTTCATAATGGTATACACATTTCTGGAACATTTCAACTCTTTCAACATTTTCTGACCTTTCCATATGAACCTTACCCAACATTTTCTGACCTTTCCATATGAACCTTACCCAACATTTTCTGACCTTTCCATATGAACCTTACCCAACATTTTTGGCTTTTATGTTTGGCTTATTTACTTTACAAATAATAAACACATTTAGTGAAGCAGTCTGTGGACCTTGACCTATGCAGTAAGCTAACATTTTCTTAATTTGTATTATACTTATCTATAGAATACCCTTATTCAAATACATTCAACTTCTATGAAAATGAATTTTAGTAAGAGCATTCAACATTTCCAGAATGTTGTGACCTTGATATATATTTAATTTCCTTCTTTGAGCTTAACACTCATCTTTTCATATATTGTCTAAGATTGCTTTAAGAATGACATCATTAATGGCCATATCTCAGTGAGAACATTTAATAGTTCCAAAAATATTCTAATCTTGAAATTTTCTTTGACCTTGACCCTACATTGTTTTATTTGAAGGATTACTTCATATAACTTCTTATATGTTAGTCTATGACTTTGACCTCACTGTGTTTTCTTTTCAGCTTGATTTTTGAGTATTGAAAAGATTCATTCACATTATATGTCTTTTAGACAGATATATCTTACAAATTCTTGAAGAATTTGTTCTAGTTCAATTCTAAAAGTTTGATCATGACCATGATTTTCCCTTGGCCATAGCCCCAGAAGTCTTGATTTTCACTTAATGGCCATAGTCCCAGAAGTCTTGATTTTCAACGCAGTTGTGATATAAATTGTGGCATTCATGTCTTATGGACATACAGTGTATTACTAATGAAGTAAATGTAGATTGTTGATGGAGTAAATGATTTAACAGACATAGAACAAAGCTCTGACATTTTAGAGTTCCTAATGTACAGATGTATAAGTGTTCTTTTTTGTGACAGTAGTTTCATTTAAGGGAGTCAACAAGGTTTTTTTGTGTGTAAAAACTACAATAGGAAAACTCTTTACTTTTATACCATGTTTACCCTACACTGACTTCAGTCTACATGCAAAGTTGCAGGGAAATCTATCATGTGGGTATTTTTAGGGACCATCTCAAAGTAAAGTTACATTTACTATAGGATTGTGGTGAAATGCTTTTTTTTTCATAGCAAAATATAAAAATACTACAGTAGACTTTTTGATCAGTTTATAATATATGGTGAGTGATACTAAGTTATACATTATATGTAAGAAACACAAAGTTCTACTGTATGTTTTCCAGAGGAGGCATCTCAAGATATCAAATTTTATGAATTTTTCCTATTTTGAAGGAATGCACAAAAAAAGAGGACAGTTGCAATGAATTTGAACAAAAATAGCAAAAAGTAATAGCAATATATTCAAATTTCAGTGTTCAAAATTTCAATAGCATATATTCAATACTTTTTCTTTTACATCACATTTTTATGAGACCTCTTATAGATCTTTAGTTTGATCATTACATTACTAACACACTTAGATTACATTCATCTACTTATCAGTAGAAAAATCATTTAAAAAATTAAATCTTTAAAAAAGTAATTAATCTTTTTTATCTGTAAATTCTTAATTCTGTTAAATTTGATAAATTATGTTAAATTATGTAACAAAAATTGCTTTAAAAGTGTAAATACACTTTATTCACTAAATTGCTTTGTTTTTGTGTAATTGAAGCCAAGTTGTCCCCCTTAGGATAAGTGCTACATAATTTTTTTTAAATTTAATTTTATTTATTTATTTATTTATTTTGGCAGAAAATGACACAGTTGACTATGCAGCAACATATTACAAAACATTATCAGATCTGTTCCCAAAGAAAGCCTCTCAAAACAGGTGTGTATTATAGACTTAGTACTGAATTCTGCATTAAAGCTTTCTCAATCTCTGTGGAGACTTGTACTACTCCTAAGTTCATCCTTGTCTCTAAAAGTCTGTCAAAATTCCACAAGGTGTACATACATCACAGTACAATACTTGATCTCTCCATTCTAGTTTAACCCACATTAGTTTCATTGTGAATGTACTATGCAAGAGAGGATTCCAATCATACGGGTCAATAGTAGCAAATAATTTACATATGATAAACACCTGATAAATAGAAGGGCAGGAAAATGTTGGTGTGAACTAAAACTGTCGGTGTGATTGATGGGTTGTCTGCCCATTTCACAGATCATTAGCCCTAAACAGAATCTTTTATCAGTCTGTATTGTTCAGGGCCATACCACTGCTTAATAAGAACATGCTTGCTAAGTGTTATTCCACTTTTTTTCCTCTTTAATCTAATGAACTTAGAGAAATAGTCATTAGGATTCAAACTGCTAATAACAAATTTATTGCATAAATGGGGAATATCAATTATTGATACATGACTAGGAACATATGAGTGATTTTGCAAGTCTTACTAGAGCGACTGTCATTTTTGAAGTGTTATAACATCATTTTTTGTATGGGGGAAATGTTAGGCTTTACCAAGCCTATTCTACAGGGACTTAATGTACAAAACATCACTCTGTCAACAGAGGACTCTAGGGATCAGCTCTTATATTAAGATTCGAGGATCAGTCATTATTTTTAGATGTAGAAATATGTTTCAGCATCAAAATATAATTGATAAATTTCACATGTTAAAGTATTGTTACAGTAGTAGTATTATTACTTAAAGAGGAAATTTAGCAAAATACCCAAATATATTTTCCTGAAAGCATGTGGTTGTTTTTTCTCCAAACTGAATTGTCTACATAATCTTTTTGGTTGCCTACATTTTAACAAGTTCAAGGAGATATTAACAAAGAGATATGAACATAATTTTTTATTACCAGTATAACAAAATTAATTTGATTTTAATGCATATTGGTTCAAGTTTTTTTTTTTTGTACATGTAAATTCAATATTTAATGGCTGCATATACATCATACTATACATTACTATGATATGTAACTTCTATTTAGTAAGCAAGGTTACCATGGTGATAATAATGTCTGATGTACCCACGATGCCTTTTTAATTATGAATGTCATGGAATACAATTATTGCTACTAACATATTACCACAGAAGGTTTCTACAATGAAACAAAAAAATTACATCAAATCAGAAAAGTAAAATGATTTCTAAATAAGGGATTACACAATGCTCAGCATGTTTTGTGCAGATCTTGTGAAGACATCCCAAAACTAGTCAAAACTACGACCACACAGAATGGAATGGAATTGTTTTTGTATAATGACAATTATAGCAGAAAGGCTCTAATCTTGGTGTCGTCATAATTACCTTATTAGGTTAATCAGATTTGAAGGATTTCACGTGGCAGAAACACAAGTCATGTTAACTCCAGCCTATACCACAGTAAACTTGATTTATGATTAGAAAAAAATCAAATATTGATTGATTGATTGTTGTCAGTTTTACATCCATTGTAAAATTATTCTTGTTATTGATATAAAAGAAATGATTTACAAATACTGGTAATCAAATGATAGGTAAACATTTAATGAAAATTAATAAATATTCCCTTTTTCTAAGAATTAAAGGACACATGTATTATTTTTAAATATAAGCAACATCTTTACAGAAAAAGGAAAAGAAGAAAATTGAAGAAGCATGTTCATAAAGTGCTTAAAAAGATTGCTTTCTTTATTTTTAGCAACTTGATCAATACAGACATCATTGCATTTTCCCTTGCCACTGGAGAAACAGAGAAGTTAGATCCACCTCTAAAACTTGAGTTTTTACTACAAAAGGTATTTGTCATTTCATAAACCATGTTTATCTCAGGAGAAATTATATCAATAACCAAAGTTTTTGATGTGAAGACCATAAGATTTTAGTAATTTTCTAAATAAAATATTAATATACAGTTGAACTTCTGTATCTCGAACACGGATATCTCGAATACCATGGATATGTCCAAGTGATTTGAAAACCCCAATCGCTTATTCATGAAGTATTTTACCCTAGGTATCTCGAACCCTTGAATATCTCGGAAGAATTTTCTCAGTCCTATCTGGTTCCAGATAACGAGGTTTGACTGTATATTTGGGATAGCAATTTGTAACTGGTTAACCGATAACTTAGTTGGAACAGTGGTAATCAATTAGAAAATCTGTAATCGGTTAGTTAAATTAGAATTATGTATTCAAATTTAAAACAGCAAAATCATTTACAGGTGTGTTTGTGTGAGCATCACATGGAGTGAAAACAATCCTGTAAACAATATATACCATATATAATATACCTATTATCTTTCTGGATACTTCATTGGTAAAGGATGAAGGGTTCTACTTGTTCCTATTCATTTACTCAACTGTAGACCATATATTAAGGTGTATTCAGGCAGTTTATAATAAAACATATACATTTTGTTTTTCTGTGAAAATTATTTTACCCTGAAATTTCACATTTGTCAAACTTGATTCTTGCAAGACAGATTTATGTAAGAGAAGGGCATTCTTGTCATTTGGACTCATTTCCTTTTTTGAAAATCATTTAGACAAAACCTGGGTCCTGTTTACAAAAGAATTTATGAACAAGACCAAAATGTAATTGTGCAAATAACTTTCTTCTTGACATTACTTTCAAAATGGTAGTTATCTTTTTAAAAAGAGTTTTGAAGGATTATTTTTATGCAATCTATTTTTAACAGTCTGAGAGTTATAAATTTTCAGATTTATAATCAGTTAAGTTTTGGTCTTAGTCATAAGTTCTTTTGCACAGTGGGGCCCAGAAGAAGACTCTGACCTTCTCTATGACCTTGACTTTATTTCTTAATTCTGCATTATGGTCACTTTATTTTCATATTCTAAAAAATGTATATTTATGTTAAATGGACATATTTTTAGTTCAAACAGAAGATGTTGAAAAAAATTCTGATGTCATAAATTAGGTACATGTTTATCTAATGGTTTGATTTTGAGTAATGGAGAATTGTCTTGCTGTGGGTAACAAATACCAAAATATTTCAGTATCACTTTGTTTTAAATTTTGTCACCTTTATTCAGTGGATACAATTGTGCATGGTGCATGATTGAAGATATACATGTATTTTAAAACACTTTCATAACTTTTATTGTAGGATATTGGAGATGAAAATGCAATATGCAGTTACTGGGATTTTAACCAAAGGTGAGTTAACATTTTGAATCAAATATGAAGCTTCAGTAACCAACTCAAATTTGAATTCATCTTCACAAGCTGAGGGTTTTGAATTGAATATTAGTGTGTTTTGATAAATAAATGTACAGGATGATTTATCTACTTGTCCTAGAGAGGTTAAGGTAATTTGGGGAAAAAATGTGAAATATGTCCAAAAATTGGAAAATAAAGCTGATTTAAATATTTTTCCTCAAAATCAGATCGCATAATAATTAACACATGATCATAGGCAAAGAACATTTCAAATTACATGAAACAGAATCATGTATAGTCACCCTCCCATGTTCACTTAGAGATTGTAATTAAGTGTCCTATTTAGTTATCAAATCTTATACACCTATAGTTCAAGGTGGGCCTGGCCCTCCCACTTTTTTGGAGAAGTCTTTTTTGTAGTTTTAGTAGGAAAATGTTCAAAGACTGCTTCTCTTTTTTGTTTTTGTTTTTTTTTTAATTCCAGAGTGTTTGAACTCTGACAAATCCAAATTATAGCATTCAAACATCAAAATTACCGGTAGCTGAAAAGTAAGAAGAAGATAACATCCTACACTCCCCCCCCCCCCCCCCCCCCCCCAAAAAAAATAGGATTTTGGAGTTTGGGCAGTTTATAATTAGGGTTTTTTTTTTTGGCTTGTCCATTTTTTTAAGGCTTGCTCCCCATTTTTACAAACATTACTATGGGCCTGTTTTATACAAGACAAAGTCAGCAAAATTGTGTTAGATTATTTAGATTAAAAAACCCTTAATTACATGTACCAAGAACAATTTCTGACATTGATATAATTTAACCAGCTTAATACTTATACATGAAAATCAATCAGTCTGGTGCTACTTATTGTATACTCACTCATCAACTATCTGTATAGAAATAACAAAATGTTACATTTAATATTGATGTTAGATTTCATAACCCCCAGTTGAGACCTTTAAATTATTATCAAGTAAATAACATCATAAATTCTACTGGTGATCGAGCTAATTGTACTGTTTCCTTTCAGTGCATGGTCAGATCGAGGCTGTTATACCGTTTTTAAGAACGCTACCTGGGTCACATGTCACTGTAATCACATGACCAACTTTGCCGTTCTGATGAGTTCGGTAGAAGTGGTGAGACATTTTGATTACTTCAAGTCATCTATGAAGTATATTAATCATAATTAAGAACTTAACCTAGTAATGATTAATTTTGTGATGCAATAACTCATATATTTTTGAACCTATATACTTCATAAAAATATTTTGGTCAGTATTTAGAAATGCTTCTGATTTTCAAGAAAAAAAATTATTTGTAGTCAAGGGGCCTTAATTAGTTTTAGTCATAAAATCAACTCTTAGATTTGTAACAAGAAAAAAAAAGTTTGCGGAAAGCTTGTGTAAATACTGTATACAGGGTTATTTTCGCCCCGTCTTATTTTAGCTCTTTCACAATTGTAAACAATTTTGCCCCATTTTAAATTCGCCCACCTGTGAGTAGGGTGTAAGGAGCGAAAATAAAATGGGGGCAAAAATTTCCATGTAAACAGTACATATTAAAGGACTTATCGCATGATTTTTCAAAAATCTTAATTTTATAAAAAATATTATCTACAACCATGTTTATTAAAATACTGAATACAATAAACGTTGTTGAATGCGTATTTTAAGAGATATTGAGAGTTGAAATTCAAATACGGCAATATGCATATTTCAGTCGGATTTCGGCGAAATACTGCTCTGACGTCATAGGCGACAATTCAGTGATAGAGAGATGAGAAGTTGCACATATTATGGAGTTATCAAGAACAAATGCAGCTTAATTACGAAAAATGCTGAAAAAAAAATTCCTAACGTGCTTTTCAATTACTATAGAAACATTAACTAGTTCTAAGCTATAAGACTTTTGAGATATTTTCGTTTTTTATTCCAAATATTTAGCATCTGTAGGTCTGATTACGGCAATGTTTCGCCTTGATCGGAAAAAAAATTTCAAGACCGCCATCCTTTACAAAACATATGAAGGCATACTTGCATAAATTATTATGTTAAAAACGAAGAATAACAAAGTTATATAACATTAAATTTGTGAATCAAAAAAGTTCATACATGTGATAAGATGACAAATCAAATTGTATTGTGAAGGAGAGTTTCTTCGTATTCGCCGCGTCTCCCTCGCTATCGTCGCTGCTATTTTTACAATGTTAACAGATTTTTCAGATTTTTTCTTCATAACAATTCTAAAATATAAGGTTGGATATTCAAATTTATATCGATAAAATCAGTGATTTGGTCGTTCATAACGTATAAAATTCAGGTTGTATCACGTATATTTTAATAAGATTAACGCGAGGAACTGATCAGCCATTGTCGCCTTTGAGACGTCACAGGGTCACGTGATCATTATCTAATTAATTTAGATTTTTAATTCGGGGGGTTTCATTTGAGTCAATAATTGGTTAATTACCGCCATTTATCCGCTGTAAAAACACAAAATTTATAAGCTGTGGTCATAAGGAACGTTTTACACTTTTAATTTCAAATAATTTAGAAACATGCGATAAGTCCTTTAACATTACAAAAAATCTTGGTTATAGCAAAGTAATGGGGGCCTGTGAATTTACTTCGTTATATCCTTAATTGGCTAAATCGGTAACTTACATTTTTTTTAAGTATACATAGCAAATTCATAATATACAAGTTTTTCTTCATGTATGTCTTCATCTCTTTCAGGCTCAGTCTGAGAATTACATCCTTGGGTTAATCTCCATCATTGGTTGTACAATCTCCATTGCTGGACTCCTGGCTACAGCAGTTTGTCATCTCATGTTTTGGAGGTTTGTTGTCTCCCACTGTTTTTCCCTGGTTATGAATGTTTCTTTAATGCAATTTGAACTTTATTTATGAGAATTTATTTTGCTGCAAAAATGTGCTGTTATGATAATTTTATATATAACTCAAACCTTCATGATCAATTGCTGGTAGACTTTAACTAAGCATTGAATTTTATCATCAGAATTCTGTACTATGGAAAACAAATATGAAATGTGGAGATAACTGACAGTGATCATTCTCAAAAGTCCATTTAAACAATACATATTGTGAGCAGAGCCAATATAGACCTCTGAAAACAGAGGTGGGATCAGGTGCCATGTAGGAGTAAGCATCCCCTGCTGACAGGTGACACCCATCATGCTCCTTGTCATGATCGGTAAATTGAAAAGTCCATAGACAATTCAGTGTGAAAATAATGGCCTATCAATTTATATAAAAGACATCAGTCAACATTCAACATAATAACAGATTGTATTTGCAAACAAGGTCATTGTACTGACCATAGAATTTTTGAAATGTTGACTTAAAACAAGATTATTGAGATTGTTGATATCCTTGTATCATCAACTCAGTAACCTGCCTAGTTTTAGAAATTGCATACTTACATATGCTCTTGCATATCAAATCAACTGGGAGACATAAACTCCAGGTGATAATGGTATGTTGCTACATAAATAAGAGAAGTTGACAATAGGAAAGTTAAAGTTATCACGTTTATCTGACATAAAGTTTTGTTGTCAGTTTATAGTACTATATATCAGAAATCAATTTTTAGCTCACCTCAACGAAGTCAAGGGAAGCTTTTGTTATACCCTGGGCTTTGGCTTCCTGAGTTTAAATTTTTAGTGCAGTGTTCTCTCTAAGTACTACTATGCCTGATATTGATCCAAGTTGCATGGATGTTGTATCTAGCATGTTTCACTGTACTAGTCAGATGCTGCATTTTCAGCAAATATATTTAATAAGGATGACCAGGATAAAGATTTTGGAGAAGGTTGAAGTTTTTGGAGCAGGTCTTATTCCCAGGTAACTATACATCCTACCTGAACCAAACTTGCATGAATGATGTGCCTTAGGGATATATTCTAACAGAACATTTTCCAGATTAATGAACAGGGTAAAGTATTAGTAGCAGGTCTAATAAGTCCAATAGTGACTAAAACTGCACGGTTGATGCATCTAGGGATGCCCACTACCAGACTTGCCTTGGATGCTGGATCTGACATACTTTTCTAGATGAGTTAGCAGGTGAAAGTTTTTGGAGCAGGTGTCATTCCCAAGTATATCAACAGTAGTTTTTCCAATACACGAATGAATAACAAGTTTTTATACCTTAATTTTTTTCTGTCATTGAAATACTGTAGATTCCTTATTTTACACCAGGACTTAATGTATCAAAAAAGAGAGATGGATGTCAAATCAGAGAACCTGAAATCACAAGTGGACTGTTGATTGATTTACATGCATTTCAGCAAAATAATATTAAAACCTAGACATTTTTTTTCACAATGATGCTTGATGCTTTTCACAATGAAAGTACACAATACTAAATTCCTCACTTAAATCTAGGAATCTACAGTAGAAAACAATTTACAATTTTACAACAAAAATTTCCAAAGCATATCATTTTCCATTAAGCTCAAAGGAGCGTGTGGCTCATGTGACCATTGTGGCCCATAGGACTCTTATAATAAATGTCAATGCAAAGAGAGTACAATCCTTATTATTCTGGTCTTTATTTCAAAGGTATGTCAAATCAGACAAAAGCAAGATTTTGCTGAATCTCTGCTTGGCCCTGACAATAGCACTGACCATTTTCATCCTGGGTGTGGAACAGACACAACACAAGGTTAGACTTTGTCAAACTTCTCACTGGCTTTTCAGTCCATTCATTTATAATTTTTATTTTTCAACTGTGCGGTAAAATTTTTGTAAACTGAATTTTTATAAACTTTGAATTGCTGTAACCTTTCCTCATGACCTGTGACTTCATTCTTTACATGTATATTCATGTGTATTTACAGATCTTGTGTACAGCTATAGCTGTCCTTCTTCAGTATTTTTTTCTGGTGGCATTCTTCCTAATGTTAGCAGAAGGAATCACCATAGCTGTGTCTGTTATTCTAGTTTTCTGGAGCAATTCCAAGGTCAAGGTTCTACTGCCTCTAGCGTGGGGTGAGTACTCTTATCCTCTTAAGCTAAGCGTGGAGTGTGTGTAGTTGTTTTATACCTTTTGCTTGGAGTGATTTCAGTTGTCTCATGTCTTTTTAGCTCACCTCAATGAAGTTGGGGGAGCTTAAGTAATACCCTCAGCATTGGGGTCATTGTCCCAGATAAAAGTTTATTTAAGCAGATTTCTTTCCAAGTATTTCTTTGCCCTATATTGATCAAAGTTGCATGGATAATGAATCTAGTATGTTTCCTTATACTAGTCAGGTTTCACATGCTGCATTTTCAGCCCATATTTTCCATAAGAATGACCAAGTTAATGCTTCTGGAGGTTAACGGTTTTCGAGCAGGTCTCATTACAAAATAATTATAAGCTGTACCAAGCTTGCATGATGATACATCAAGGAATGCAAACTTGCTTTGGATGCTGGGTTGACCTACATTTTCCAGATGAGTGTCCAGATTAATGTTTTTGGAGCAGATCCATTTCAAAGTAACAATAAGCCCTAAGGTGACTAAACTTGCATGGATAATGCTTCTAGGGATGTACACTCCTAGACTTACTTATGATGCTAGATCTGACCTTATTTCTTTAGATAGGTGAAAAGGTTAAGTATTTGGAGCAGGTCCGATAATCAGCAACTATAAGTCCTACCTGGAACAAACTATTTTGTTCTTAACCTCTAGTTTTGGGTGAGTACTATTGTCCTACACCTTTAGCCTTGGATGAGAACTGTTCTCCTACACCTCTGTCTTTGGGATGAGTAATGTTATACTACAACCTCACAATGTTTTTGGCACATTTGTCCTACACCTCTGGCTGGGGGTGAGTACTGTTGTCCTACACCTCTAGCTTAGGGTGGGTGAGTAATGTTGTCCTACACCTCTAGCTTAGAGTGGGGAAGTACTGTTGTCCTACACCTATGGCTTAGGGTGGGTGAGTACTGTTGTCCTACATCTCCAGCTTGAGGTGGGTGAGTACTGTTGTCCTACACCTCTAGCTTAGGGTGGGTGAGTACTGTTGTCCTACGCCTAAGAGTGCAATGATAAACCGTTTGACGGTATATCGCGGTATATTTTTCCACGGTTCAATTCACGATACGCTAAACTGATATCACGGTTCGGTTCAATCGGTCCAAAATTATCCGAATTGTCCGTTTGTTTCCTCGTTTACAATTTCAAAATGGCTTCCGCGCAAAACATGAGATCGATGATAACGCAGAAACGGCAATTACACTCATCTCCATCATCTTACAGACCTCAGATTGAACAGGTTGAAGGACTTAATCTCATTCCAAATGTGATTTAAAGTTATAGATGTTAAGACAGGTGATAAATCCTTTAGATCTGTACGTATTTCCAACTTGTGGACTAGAACGTGATAACACGAGAAAATGTGACACTTAACTGGTTTTTTACGTAAATAAAAGGAATAAAAGAATGAACGTCTTCCTTTTTCATTCCAATTTAAAAGGAAGATTATGAGGAAAGGCCCCCTTCTATAAATAAGTCATATCTGAACTTTGAATCCCGGCTACCGTAGTTCCATGTAAATGTTCTTCATTGGTTTAGAATATTGTTACAACTCAAAGATATACCTATCAATCCAAATAAAGTTAACAAATTCATATTTTAATTATTAAAAAAATATGAACATTTGATATAACCCTGTTGAGTTTTAAAAAATATGACGAAAAACTTGAAAGACTACCTTGTCATGTATCGTGATACGTATCGTATCGTGAACTGAATACCGTGATACGTATCGTATCGTGAGGTTGGTGTATCGTTGCACCCCTACTTACACCTTTAACTTAAAGTGGGTGAGTACTGTTGTCCTATACCTATAGCTTAGGGTGGGTGAGTACTGTTGTCCTACACCTCTAGCTTAGGGTGGGTGAGTATTGTTGTCCTACGCCTTTAACTTAGGGTGGGTGAGTACTGTTGTCCTACACCTCTAACTTAGGGTGGGTGAGTACTGTTGTCCTACGCCTTTAACTTAGGGTGGGTGAGTACTGTTGTTATACACCTCTAGCTTAGGGTGGGTGAGTACTGTTGTCCTACGCCTTTAACTTAGGGTGGGTGAGTACTGTTGTTATACACCTCTAGCTTAGGGTGGGTGAGTACTGTTGTCCTATGCCTTTAACTTAGGGTGGGTGAGTACTGTTGTCCTATGCCTTTAACTTAGGGTGGGTGAGTACTGTTGTTATACACCTCTTGCTTGGGGTTGGTGAGTACTGCTGTCCTACACCTCTAGACTGGGGTTGGTGAGTACTGTTGTCCTACACCTCTATCTTGGGGGTCAGTAATGTTATGCAACACCTCTACATTGCATTTAGCACTATTGTTCTTCACCCTTAGCTTGGAGTTTGTACTGTACGTACACTTTTTGCCTCTGATAAGTACAAATATTTTACATCAGAGGCTTGTCAGAGTACCATTATCCTGCATCTCTTGCTTGACTATTGTCTTATTCCTCTAGCTTGGGATGATGGCAGTTGTCCTACATTTCTAGCTTTGGAATAAGTTATGTTGTCTAAACCTCTAGCTTGGGTGAATACTGATGTCCTACACCTCTAGCTTGGAGTGAGTACTTTTGTCTTACACCTTTTGCTTCAGATGATAACAGATTAAACCTGAAGCTTGTCTGAGGACTTTTGTCCTCCACATTTGGAGGGAGTACTATTGTTCATATGTAGCTTTGGTTGAGGACTGTTGACCTACACTTTTAGTTTGGGACAGTGGTCTTCAACCTTTGCCTGGGAGTGAGAACTTTTATCTTACACTGTTGCTTCAGATCAGTACAGTTATCTTAAACCCTAAAGCTTGCCTGTTAATTGTAGTCCTGGCCTTTAATTTTGGGTGAGGATGAACACTGTTCTCCTTCATTTCGTACTTTGAGTGAGTCCTGTTGTTTTACATCTCTCGTTTAGAGCTAGTACTATTGTCCTTAACTCTTAGATTAGAGTGAGTCTTGTTATCATCCTACACCTCTAGCTTTGGCTGAGGACTGTTGTCCTACAGCTCTTCCTTCGAGTGAATACTGATGTAATACACTTAATTTAGAGTGAATACAGTTGTCCTTCCCAGGGTTAGGTACAGTTGTCTTAAAACTCTAGCTTGGAGTGAGTATTGGCATCCTATACATCTAGCTTGGGGTGAGTATTGGTGTTCACACCTCTAGCTTGAGTTGAGTACTGTTGTCTTATACCTCTAGCTTGGGGTGGGTATTGGTGTTCACACCTCTAGCTTGAGTTGAGAACTGTTGTCTTATACCTCTACCTTGGGGTGAGTATTGGTGTTCACACCTATAGCTTGAGTTGAGAACTGTTGTCTTATACCTCTAGCTTGGGGTGAGTTTTGGTGTTCACACCTCTAGCTTGAATTGAGAACTGTTGTCTTAAACCTGTAGCTTGGAGTGAGTATTGTGTCCACACCTCTAGCTTGAGTTGAATACTATTGTCTTATACCTCTAGCTTGGGGTGAGTATTGGTGTTCACACCTCTAGCTTGAGTTGAGTACTGTTGTCTTATACCACTAGCTTGGGATGAGTATTGGTGTTCACACTTATAGCTTGAGTTGAGAACTGTTGTCTTATACCTCTAGCTTGGGGTGAGTTTTGGTGTTCACACCTATAGCTTGAGTTGAGAACTGTTGTCTTATACCTGTAGCTTGGAGTGAGTATTGTGTCCACACCTCTAGCTTGAGCTGAGTACTATTGTCTTATACCTCTAGCTTGGGGTGAGTATTGGTGTTCACACCTCTAGCTTGAGTTGAGTACTGTTTTCTTATACCTCTAGCTTGGGGTGAGTATTGGTGTTCACACCTATAGCTTGAGTTGAGAACTGTTGTCTTATACCCCTAGCTTAGGGTGAGTATTGGTGTTCAGACCTCTAGCTTGAGTTGAGAACTGTTGTCTTATACCTGTAGCTTGGAATGAGTATTGTGTCCACACCTCTAGCTTGAGTTGAGTACTGTTGTCTTATACCTCTAGCTTGGGGTGAGTATTGGTGTTCACACCTCTAGCTTGAGTTGAGAACTGTTGTCTTATACCTCTACCTTGGGGTGAGTATTGGTGTTCACACCTATAGCTTGAGTTGAGAACTGTTGTCATATACCTCTAGCTTGGGGTGAGTTTTGGTGTTCACACCTCTAGCTTGAGTTGAGAACTGTTGTCTTATACCTGTATCTTGGAGTGAGTATTGTGTCCACACCTCTAGCTTGAGTTGAGTACTATTGTCTTATACCTCTAGCTTGGGGTGAGTATTGGTGTTTACAACTCTAGCTTGAGTTGAGTACTATTGTCTTATACCTCTAGCTTGGAATGAGTATTGTGTCCACACCTCTAACTTGAGTTGAATACTGTTGTCTTGTACCTCTAGCTTGGGCTGAGTATTGGTGTTCACACGTCTAGCTTGAGTTGAGAACTGTTGTCTTAAACCTGTAGCTTAGAGTGAGTATTGTGTCTACACCTCTAGCTTGAGTTGAGTACTATTGTCTTATACCTCTACCTTGTGGTGAGTTATTGTCCTAAATTGCTGGCTTAGGGTGGTACTGTTGTCTTTTACCTCTAGCTTGGAGTGAGTGCTTGGTGTTACAAATAAGAAATTTTCAAAAATACACATCTTCATTTGTATGATAGAATTATAAAGAACTATATATGGTAAAGGCCTATTCCTGCCCCCAAAATACTGTAGATCACCAAATTTTGGTGATATCTTATTTTCAGGAGAAAGTTATTTGGTATTTAAAAGGGAGACAAAATTTTCACAAATTGAGTTAATTGTTAGATATAATCTTAAATAATATAAATATTCACAAGAATTAAATTTTCCTGACCAGGTGGTCTTGTGCAATAATGCGAAATTAAAGTTCTTGCAAATAAAAAGTGATTTACAGTACTTGAATTTTAAAATATCTTGGCATTCATGTCACACAGACACCTCTAGTTTGTCTTTGTGATGGCACAAACTATTGGGATTCCCTGTAACAATTTGAAAAAAAGAGACAAAATGCACAAGGTTTGTTTGATTTTTGACTTTATAGTATTAACAGAACACAAACTTGTTCAGGTACTGTATTCATATATTTGGTATTATCATTCTACATATATCAAAAGGTCAAGGACGAGCAGACCTGCACTCAATTATTTCCAATTGAAATATAGATGTAAAATGCACCATTTTCTTTCAAAATCATTGAAATTTTGAATTTACGACATTTTCTTGACGTCTAATCTAACTAATGATGTTATAGTTGATGAAAATATTTTATGATTAAAAGCCTGCCAATATCAATCTGGTTTAGAATGTATTATGAAAGATTTCTCCATCATAATTTAATTTTGGGGGCATGAATTGGCCATTACAGAATTAAGTCCTTTGCTAAAGGTTTCACAGCCACCTGAAAAAAATCAAACCACAATTGGTATACTGATTTGATGAAATTTACTCCCTCCCTCAATCCTCTCAAATGATTTACAAAATAATCTTAAAAGATTGGCAGTAAAAAACCAAAATTGAAGATGGGTTGCAAGTTTATTGTTGTATTATGCTAATCTGTTGTTACATTTTGTTTTAGGGATACCATTGGTAATTGTTGGCATATCAATGGGGGCCACTGAACTACAGGGATATGGGAATGACAAATTGTAAGTCTATCAGGGATCGACATTAACTTTCAGATTCAATTGCCCTTCGGGCAAGTGAACTCAAACTTTGACTCCTCCGAATGCAAAACTTGGTTGCCCAAAATTTAGAAAGAAGAGAACTGGTATCTTAATTTTTATTGTAAATAAAGTGAGATATTGCTTTATATTTGGCAAGTTAAGTGCCAGTAAAAAAATTGATCTGCTGCTCATGCTTCATTTTAAATATTTGTAAACTCACACTGCTATGCAGCAATATTTCCTTAAAAATAAAATTCATATTTTTGAAAATAATTTTTTATGCAATCTTTTTGTGCACTTTGATTCCCCCCCCCCCCAAAAAAAAAACTGAAGCAAAGCTAAAGGAAAATAGTTGCCATGTTTTGAAACATACATATCCTGATCAGAATACATCGTGCGCCAAGAATAACTGGTGTTCTTTATGTTCTGTGAGTTAATAAATAAACTTTTTCATAATATCTTATTTCATAAGAATGTAAAGAAAGTTGTCAGATGGAAAGCGTATTTTTGTCAACTAGCTACCACAAAAGAAAAACGGAATAACGAACCCGATTTTTTGATAAACTGTATGATCTAGGAATTTCTGAATGCAAAAACAATGTCATATTCCTGGTAGAAATCAAATGTTCAATTTATTGTTTTGTTTATAAACTCATGTAAGATTTTAAAAAATCTATCAGAAATATTCACTTGGCCGATCGGACAAGTACATCAGCAGTTTCACTTGCCCGGACTGAGAATTTACTTGCCCCGGGCAATCGGACAACCGTAAATGTCGATCCCTGTCTATACATGTGAACAGGGCACTTGTTTCAGATGCAACCCTTTATAAGGGAGGATTTTTCTTACATGGTTTCCTTTCTGTTACAGCTGCTGGCTGACCATTGAGGAAGGAGTTATTTATGCTTTTGTGATCCCAGCTTCTCTTATCATTGTGGTAAGGCATGTTTTCCAAGAAATATCCTTTAGAACTACTTTTATGCCCCGCCATGAATATATATATATATATATATATATATATATATATATATATATATATATATATATATATATATATATATATATATATATATATATATATATATGAATATAGAGTTTGTCATGTCCGTCTTCTGTCCCTCTGTCTCTCCTTCGGTAGCGCTCTGCATTTAGCTCAGTTCAAAGCTCAGTTTCAAAGAAACTTTTCAAGATATTTTTATCAAACTTCATATGCTGATACATACTGCTGAGAGCTACTCAACTGCATCAACATTTATTAACCTTGACCTTTCCTTTGACCTTGACCTCACTTTTCTTAAATTTGTGTTTAGCTCAGTTTTAAAGAAACCATTCATGATTTCTTTATCAAACTTCATATGCTAATACATACTGATGTAAACTTTTCAACTGCATCAACATTTTTTGACCTTAAGGTTTCTTTTGACCTTAACCTCACTTTTCTTAAATTAGCGTTTAGCTCAGTTTTAAATAAACCATTTAAGATATTTTTATCAAACTTAATATGCTAATATGTATTAGTGAGAGCTATTCAACTGCATCAAAAACTATTGACCTTGACCTTTCCTGTGACCTTGACCTCACTTTTAATAAATTTGCATTTTGCTTAGTTTTAAAGAAATTGTTTAAGATATTTTTATGTAAGCTTATGCACTTGTACATAATTTGGTGAGAATTTATCATCTTTATCCAATTTTTTAGATTTCAATTTTAATTGTAAAGAAACTATTCAAGATATTCTCATCAAACTTCATACACTAATACAAATTTTCATGTTGCATTACTGATATACCCTTGGTGGGGTATTCATGTCCTATGGAAATATTTCTAGTTGTTATACGTATTTCAAAAAACTAGTCCTATCTTATCTTTGAACATTTTCCAATTTACTACATGTATTTAGTTTGAAATGCACACAAAGTTTACTCCAGGGTAAAAGGCATTCAGTCACCAGTCCTCAGTCTTGCAGACAACATTCTTGTGTATAACCATCAAAGAGATTTTAATAAACTTATATGCTAACTCAAGTCTGACCTTTAATTTAACTAGCTTAACAATACACTAATGATGTTTCATTTGTTATGTGATATCTGCAAGTGTAATACTGTCTTCAGCAATAAATGTTACATGTCAGCATGTAATTTTCCAGTACCATTGCACTCAATAAGCCAACACAAGGGGGAGTATTGCCTCCCACAATGTCATTACACCCCCGATTTTATACTTATTTATTGTCCCATGTAGAATTTTGTTTTTTCTTTATATATGTACCTTTGATAAACACAGAGAAGTACATATAGCACAAGAGGATTTAAAAAAGGTCAAGGATAAATTCTGCACACCATTGGTTTTTAGTACAGAAATATACTGAATTATACTTATCCCCAAATTCTCTCTTTGCCATACTAACAATATAAAGGAATATTTAGATCCAGTTAATACTCTAAAATGAATTGGACATGGTTAAGTCCCTTTGATGATTGATTATCTCCCTTACAGGTAAATTTGATAATAACAGCTATAGTACTAAGAGCACTGTTTTCTACCAGGGCTGTCATGAGTAAATCACATCAGGACAAAGTCAGGTGAGAACTAGATTCCATCCATACAACTTTGCATTCCAATATTAGATCATAGGTAGCAAATTTTACCATTAGTCTTTATGCATCTGAGGCAGTGTTTGTCTAAATAAGTATGTTTTTGTATTGATTTTATAGGGCCGGTGTGCGCAGTGTAGCCGTCCTCGCCCCTATTCTGGGGATCTCATGGATTTTTGGAGTTCTGTCTGTGAACTCTAGTACTGTCATATTTCAGTACCTTTTCACAATATTTAACTCTTTACAGGTAAGAAATATCGTAGAATATACAATCAAACCTCGTTACAAGTGTATTCCAGTACAATTTGGATTTATAAAGTGTGTCTAAATAACTGAAATGTAATTTTTTAAATTGTATATATAAATATAAATTCTATACCCCACAAATTTCCTCCTAAAGGTGAAGCGTTGAGATAAATAAGACTCCAATGTCGCAAGATAATCCTTATTAAATGCAGCTTTTTGCATTTAGTTGTATAAAATAAATAAGATTGCAACAGGAGCAATTCTGATGTTATTAGTTAAGGTCAAGATCTAGTAAATGAAAAGAGCCTACAGATTTCTCAAACTTGAGAAATAAATTCCTTTTATGATGCTTTATAACTATAGCTCGGTCAAATAAGGTGTATCGGGGCATAATTTGCAAGAAAACAAGACGAAAAACCATCTTGTAAACTGTCATTTTCAATGAAAAATTAAGAAAGCTAGTCACGAATATGGGAGTTTTTTCCATATCAGACGAAGGAAATGTATTCAGATTGCCTACAGTCTCTCAGAAAACGGTAATTTGTATGTTCTTAGCCTCTTCTTTAAAATAATGTAAAATTGAATATAGGTATCGGGATTACTTTTCACATGATTACAAATTGAATGCCATGAAAATACTTTATTTTCTACATAATTCTATTGGAGCTGTAAAGTACGGGAAAAGGAAAGTTTAAATTGATTATGACGTCATAATGGATCTAGCACCGAAAAGATGGTCTAAAGTCATTTACTAGATCTTGACCTTAAGGTCAAGATCTAGTAAATGAAAGGTGCCTACGGATTTCTCAAATTTGAGAAATAAATTCCTTTAATGGTTCTTTATAAATTTAGCTTGGTCAGATAAGGTGTTTCGGGGCATAATTTGTAGATGAACAAGACGAAAAATCATATTTTAAACTGTCATTTTCCATGGAAAATTAAGAAAACTAGTCATGAATACGGGAGTTTTTTTCCATATCAGACAAAGAAATGCATCCGGATTGCCTACAGTCTCTCAGAAAATGGTAATTTGTATGTTCTTGGCCTCTTCTTTAAAATAATATTAAATTGAATATAGGTATCGGGATTACTTTTCACATGATTTCAAATTGAATTCTATGAAAGTACTTTATTTTCTACAAAATTCTACTAGAGCCGTAAAGTACGGGAAAAAGAAAGTTAAAATTGATTATGACGTCATAATGGATCTAGCACCAAAAAGTTAGTCTGAAGTCATTTACTAGATCTTGATCTTAAGATGTATCAGTACATTTTATTAAATGTAAATAAATAAATAAATAAATATATATATATATATATATATATATATATATATATATATATATATATATATATATATATATATATATATATATATATATATATATATATATATATATATATCATTGACAACTCTCTAGGGATGATCAGAATTTTCAGTTTCAATATACAGTGAATTTTATTTCCATTTTCTCTGATGGATGTTTTGTACAGATGATGGGTCATAAAATAATCTATTATTATAATGATAATAACTTTCTGAAAAAAAAATGTATTTGGAAATGTAAACTTATACAGGGGAAATGATTCTCTAGAGATATCTTGGAAAGTTTGTGTTTTTTTTCACTTAGTCTCCCCCTGGGTGCTGTAAATGCTAACATTTTACATTGATATTATCAATAAACTCACTTTTCATTCATGTTTTGGCATTCCATGCCTGTTATTAATCAATCAAATTTAAAACCTATATATTCTGGGATAAAAATTTCCAATAAATAATTCAGGACTATTTGGACTCTGTACAAAGAGACTTTTACATGTGTACTCTGAAACAATACTCTGTCTATACAATTAACATACCTATAAGATTATAAATTTATATTCAGGGAAGTTTTCAAATGAGAGACTTAAAGTTTTTGTATTATAGAGGGACATTTAAAATTAAGGAGGCTGGGGGGTCAACAAATTAACCATCAGATATAACTTAATTTTTTAGATATGGTATCTTAAGCTGTCAACTATCATATGGCAAACAAAAATTTCATACATTTTAGTTTAAAAATTTGATCATTTTTGTATATCTTTATATGGAGCTCTTCTTCTAAAGGAGATCAATATTGTCTGAAAATGGCCACAACCACCCAGCCCTCTAAAGATAATTACTAGGATGTTTTACTTTGCCAGTTAGCTAACCATTATACTGTCTTCAATTATTATTTAGTCTATAAACTGAAAGTCAGACAAATTGCTACCTCTTCTAAATCAGAAGAGCTTATGCATTTTGAATGTATTTGTCAGCTTGTTTTTATTGCACTGTTGCTAGAAATAAATTTTCTGTATACATATTAAAGAATAAGCAATCAAATCTATATATCCATATTGGCATTTTTATTTGCTTCAGTATACATGTATACATTTAATAATTCTGCAAATCTGGGGGGGGGGTGTCCCCCCCCCCTTCCTAGATCTGTACATGCTCTTCTTTTTTCCTTAAGTGGGGGACACAAATTCTCTGAATTAGCTTGTAATGCATTGATTTTCAATTTATTAAATTTAATTGTTACTTGTTGTTACTAAAAATAGTAAATCCTTTAGTAGTATTTCAAAGTCTCCGCTTCCAACAGTTTCTATCTGATTAAAATAGAAACTAACACAGTACTAGTAGTTCATTGAAAAAGGATACATATAGGTTTTGTTTATTGGCTGTATTTTTAGACAGCACTGTATTACATTTGTTGCAGAAAATATCAGAGTTTGTCACTATCACTATATACAAAATGCTACTCCTCTTAGAGTTTTTGATTAACTTGAAGGAAACTCTATAATTATACACTTAGACTACATATTGATACATTAGTATGTTACTTATTGCAAAAACTACCCATAAAATTATTTTAATATGTGCTGCTCCTGTTTGCTTAAAATGAAAATAAAAATGTTGATGCATCTTTTAGATCATAATGGAAATGTTATTGCATATAATTTCATGTTGAAACCAGTAGAGCTACAGTCTTATCAGAGACTTATGGTTTTGTTTTACAGGGTTTCTTTATATTTTTGTTCCACTGTGTGCTGAATAGATCAGTAAGTATGTCCATGGTTAATTTACATATATCTAAATAAACGTTTATTCAGACATGAAACAGACCAAAAAAAACAACTTTGAATGAATTCTCTTTATATATGAAAGACCTTTTTTAGAACAAAATTCTTTCTTTAAATACATCTGTTCTCTCTTAACTTTTTTTTTGCAGTGAATATCACATCAAAATATATAAAGTTACAATTTATTCAGTGCAGTATCTTAAATCTGTGAAATACATGTGCAATTGTGATTCATCTTTTTTCAAAGATTTTGGATGTAATAAGAAGAAAATGCCGTTGCCTTCGGAGTTATGATGAATCTTCAACAAAGAACAAAAACAAGAGTGAAACAAGTAATAAGGTATGCATGATCATAAGAAAATGTGATTATAGTCGTACATTAATGATTCTCTAATAATAACTCGGACAGATGCCAGTCAATTAAATACAATCAATTACTGCACATGGGGGTCCTCCCAAACAATAAAAAGGTATCAAAATAAGATGAACATAATGATGCACATTGCAGAAGGTAGAGGGAGACTGCAAGCCTTCGTCTTTGTATGAGAGAAAATAGAATTTTAACAGAGCTGATGAAATATGTATGATATTAGTAGCTGTTCTAATCTTAGAAACACAGTCTGTACTATAATAAGGAGGGAGGCTTCTGATGTTGACTTTGTCCAGATAAATGTTCTATAGTCATTCAAACTCCACATCAGATAAAACACTCACATGATCAGTTTTGTGGCATTGTTTGGTAAATGTAATTACCAGCTGTCGGTCTCTGGGTTAATTATTGTTATGGTCTCAATTCACCGTCAAAAACAATTAATAGTAGTAGTAATTAACAATAAGGAATTCAGATGTAGTAGTAATTAAAAATAAGGAATCCGAATGTAGTACCGTATATACTAGCCTATAAGTCGGTCCGCCTATAAGTTGATTGTATTTTTTAAGCTTAAATTATAGGATTGCCCCGCTGAAATACTGATCTTTTTTATAACTCGCATATAAGTCGGATAAAGAGTTTTGGACCAAAGTTTAACTCCCCAAAAAACCAACTTAGAGGGCAATATATATGGTAGTCATTGAAAATTATTTTTCCTTACCTTAATATGTTTTTTTCTGGAAAGGAGTCTTCCCATGTATAAAAATACAGTGCTACCAAGGTTAGGGAAATTGCAAAGCCATAGAGTCAGTTGCACTTGTTTGCTATTAAGGGTTATTTTGTTTAACCACAAATTTATAGGCATGCTGGCTATTAAAGTTTTAAGCCAAACAAAAACTACAGATTATAATGTTATGAACATTGATAATGTAAGTGAACTGATAATGTGGCCCAAGCCCAAATTAATCATCATGACAATTACTTCCTAATTTTTGGACAAAGTTTTCTCTTTTAATTTTTTATTCAGTCATATACATGCATGTTAAAATGCTTAATTCAGAAAGTGGATTTGAAATCTTTTTGCATTTAAGAAAAATCTTAGGTCATTTTTTTTAATTCTAGTTTAAATCTATGTTCATTTTCTGACTTGGTATCTGCAATACTATATTTCTTTTCAGTTTTCTACAGCAAATCCATTGTCAAATTGCACAAGGTCTTCACAGCTTTCAAATACTAGTACAGGTTAGTAAAATTCAGACAGCTATTACATGCAGAGAGTTTATTTTGATCCAGTCTCTTGTCTAACAAGTGGTGGACAATTTAAATATAAACAATAGGAATTAAAAAAAGTTACAAGAAATCAAGATTTTTTTATGTTTGACCCCCATCTGAATCTTCAAAATTTTGAACTGCAAAATCAATTATTAAAAATTCTGTCTAAATTCACCAAAAAAACAAACGATGCAAAAATGTCCAGAATTACTGTAAAAGAGTTTTTAAAAAGTGCTGATTTTTTTTTTTAATCATTTTATCATCATTTCACAATTTTCACAGGTTACCCTAATGGTGATCACAAGAATGGCGGTTACTTTACAAATAAAGCCTACAGCAACGACCAAGACACAGCTTATACGAAAACGTCAGGTATTAATGAGAAGAATATAGAACTCTCCATCAGCCCAGACCTTGGTGAAAAGAGACAAAATAGTCCCACAGGAAGTGTTAAAAGTGACCTACTCTTTGTCCAGTGGGCAGATGAACATAAACGGTCTATAGCATTTAACCCTTCCCCTGTAGGAAGCATCAAATCATCTAAAGCTCCATATTCTGCACCATTTAAATAACGCTGCAGTGGACGGAGCAACCACAGAGTCTACAGCTCATAATGAGAAAGCACCACCTGAATCAACAAAAGTTTGAATGCTAGGACGTATGCTCAGGAAAATGGATCTAAGGTCCAAAAATTGGTTGGTATCTAAAATAGCATCATACCATTAGTGTTTAATGCTGTTCCCAAACAATCAACAATTCATCAAAGAAGTTCAATAAGGGATTTTGGCAATGTATCCAGTGCACAGGTACAAGTATGGCAGATTGCACATTTTTCATTGTTAGTTTGTTTAAAACCCCAATTACATAGCCATGGCATTTCTATGTATTGCTGCATAAAATGTAATTGATTTGTTATCATCAAATGTCTTTCATGAAGTTATGATTCTGTGTTATAAAAGCATTTATGAAATTGTTCAATAAAATGTAATCCTTGTTTGTAATTTGTCTTATCACCTGCAAGAGAGAAAATGAGGTTCATAGGCCATTCATCTTATTTCCCTTCTTGGACAATAAATGTGTTGATAAATGAAAATTCTTACTGTGGCCATATAATTAAAGTCCTTTGTCTCAACAATTTTATTTCAAAGTATATTGGCAAAGCTTAAGTTTACAAACTGTAGCCTTGTTGTTCTTTACAAGTATATTTCTGCATTGAAATTGTATCCCTTCTGTGGCCTGTCTGTACAAAACTGTACAGTCATTCTTGCCCTGACCCTCTGAAAATGGCCCTTGTCTGTTAGTAGAGAAAGTGTCCTGTCTACACACAATATATGAAGAAATTGTACTTGTCACTTTCAGTGTCCCTACCACTGTCTATGGACAGAGAAATTGTAACGTTATACTAGACTACTTGTCCTATCAAGAAAATTGTAAAGTCATCCTAGACTGGCCTTAACTGTCTATAAGATATTGCAGCATTATTGTCTGAACTTCCCTTATTTGTGTAGGGATAAATGAATATACCATTATCACCTGCATATAGGGGTTTATGTTTCCCAGTTGATTTGATACCAAGAGCATGTTCCTCGTACAAACAATTTCTAAAACAGGACAGACTACTGACAAAGTTGATGATACAAGGTTATCTACAATCTCCTTTAAAGTCAACATTCTGCAAATTCCATTGCTCATACAATTACTTTGTTGGCAAATACAATCTGTCATTAGGTCAAATGCTTGAATTGACCACGGATTACTCCGTTTAGCCGATCAAGGCAAAGGGCACAAGCGGGTGTGACATGTCGACAGGGGATGCTGTGGTTCTATGGTCGATACAAAGACATTGTCAGCAAAAACAATCTATCATTAAGTCGAATCCTGACTGACGTTTTTCATACTAATTGTTAGGCCATTTTTAACACATTGAATTGTCTACAGATTTTTCCGTTTTCCCGATCTTGACAAGGAGCACACGGAGGGTGTGACCGGTCGGCAGAGGATGCTTACCTCTCCATGGCACCTGACCCCACCTCTGATGTTTTTAGAGGTCCGTGTTTGCTCTGCTCCTGATTTGTATTTTTTCTATGGACTTTTGAGCTTGATAACTGTTCGTTATCTCCATATTTGATACAGAATAACTATTGTCGCTTCTTTATTTATGACGGAAAGAACATATAAATGGGTTCTACCGTTTTATGACATGCATCTAGTTACGCCCTTACAAGAAACTTCGGGTTTATTCTTGTTATCTCGGCCCGCTCGCCCGTCTGTCTTCTCGATCTTGACAAGGAGCACACGTCTACTATGTACTTCTTCAAACCCCTCTACATTTTAAGCAGTAGCCAAATCATCTTTTCGGAACATGATTGGTTGTGTCCTGTTGATGTGCGTTAAGGTTTGGGAGTTTTCATTTTGGGCGTTGAAAAAGTTTACAAAATCCTGGTTCCCAAAACCTCTTACATTTTACTCAGTAGCCAGCCCACCCTTTGGAATATGATTGGTCTTTTCTTGCAGATGTGCAAAAATGAAACCATCGACCTAAGGATTAAGATAGTGTGTTAGAAGGACAGACAGACGGACGGACTGACCAGGATAACAAGAACAGAACAGAACTTTCTTGTGAGGGCATAACTAGATGCTGTCATAAGACAGTAAAACCCACATATAGGTGTTTACCTCTAAATGTACCCTCTGTCTTTCCTGAAGAAGCAACAGCAATTTTTCTATATACATTATCAAATTGTCACTCAAGTGTATGTTCAGCGATGGCCCCGTTGTTTTAGAGAAATGTAGTTTTTTGGCTCCTAACTGGACCTCAGGATGAAATTGAAAATTCTGAAACGTTATTGCACATCTACAGAACAGCACCAATACATGTATTCCAAAGGATGATTTAGCTACCGCTAAAATGATAAAGGAGTTCTGGAAACATGATTTTTAATAGAAAAACGTAGTTTTTCAACCCCAGATAGATTCCGATGAATATGAACATTCCGAGACCTTGCTGCACATCTATACAGGATGTGACAGGCGGACGGGCGGACCAGGATTGCACGAAATACCCCAACCTTCCTTAAACAATTCGGTATAATAAATTATAAAACATAATTTCATTTTTCTTTACAATTGTGCAAAACGCTTTCTTATGTACTTATGACTTGTTTTAATGTGACATAAGTCTACATGGGTTATTATGCTAAGCAGTGATATACAATAAATTATATTTATATATTTACTTAATATCATATTTTGATGTACGACTCTTGAATAAAAACGGCCCCGTGAATTCTGTGAATAATGAATTTGTTGTGGTGATTAAAGTTGTGGTATTCCTTGTCATTAGACAATATATTCCTTTTTTTCATTTTGAAAACTTTCAAGATGCCATAAGACGTCCATGACATGGCCGTAGGAAACGGGGGGGGGGGGGGGAGGGGGTGCCCCCCCCCATGATTTTGCCGAAATATAGAATATTATATTATAGCTACCATATGCTTTTGCCCGGGCCCTCAATAATTACGTCTGATGGCTTTTTTTTTGCTTGTCAAAGAATGTTTAGTAGTTGATAGTGCCCCCTTACTGAAAATATATTGTTGTGCCCCCCCCCCCTCCCCCAACTGAAATTGCTTCCTACGGGTCTGCATGAGCGAAAATGATTGGGGCTTTTCTAGTTTCAAACAAGATGTGTTTGTGAAACACTGATGCCCCCGTATGGCAGCTTATGGCGAAGGTTAAAGTTTCTCAAATGCAAGTCAAATTCCAGGCCAAAAGATAAAAAATGTTGATACCCAAAGAAAGATCTTGTTTCGAGGAATACACCTGTGAAATTTGAAAGACCTAGATACAACTGTTCAAAAGTTATGGCGAAGGTTAAAGTTTTTTAAATAAAAGTCAAACGTCAAGGTCAAAGTGGTTGGTATCCAAAAGAAGGTCTTGTCACAAGGATTACATATGTGAAGTATGAAAGCCCTAGCACCAACCATTCAAAAGTTATGGCCAAGGTTAAAGTTTTTCAAAAGTAGGTCAAACTCCTAGGTCAAGGTCAAAGGGTCAAAGTGGTTGGTATCCAAAGGAAGGTCTTGTCACAAGGATTACATATGTGAAGTATGAAAGCCCTAGCTCCAACCATTCGAAAGTTATGGCCAAGGTTAAAGTTTTTCAAAAGTAGGTCAAACTCCTAGGTCAAAGGGTCAAAGTGGTTGATATCCAGAGGAAGGTCTTGTCACAAGGAATACACATGTGAAGTTTGAAACCCTAAGCACCAACTGTTCAAAAGTTATGGCCAAGGTTAAAGTCTCATAAAATTTTGCAAAAGTGGGTCAAACTCCAAGGTCAAGGTCAAAAGGTCAAATATGATGGTACCCAAAGAAAGGTCTTGTCACAAGGAATACACATGTGAAATATGAAAGTCATAGCTCCAACCAATCAAAAGTTAAGGGCAAGGTTAAAGTTGACAACAGACAGACAAACGGACAAACAGACAAACAGATAAACAGACAAACAGACAGACAGGACAAAAACAATATACCCCCGGGATCTTTCGATCCGGGGGCATAAAAATCCTCAAGTTATGTGAATTTTGTGCCGTGCACTAAAATATTTCTTAAATTACTTTTAATTTCCAATTACATCTGAAAATAAATGCATGCCAGATAAAAATACACAATTTCTTTAACTTCTTCTGATAATACTATAAATATATTGAGGTTTACAAAATCATATTAAATGATTAATTATAAAAAACCCAAACACTTTTTCACTTTTTGCACAGTACCCACAAGTGTAGCTATTTTATTCATATTTTGTTTTCCCAGGGACAAAATATTAAATCTCTCTCTCTCTCTCATTATAGTTTTCAGTTGCAAGAAAGGCTAATTTCTTTGTCAAAAGACACTCATTGAAGAGTACGTTTTTTTCCCATTGCAGTGAAAAATAATGAGTTCTTTGAGATGCATGCGTTACAAAAAGGGTAAAGGGAAACTGGCCCTGGGGGAAATGCTTCTCTACATAACAAGATTTCACCCTCAAAAGAGACTGCGATTTCCGCTAGCGGAATTCCTCTAGAGCCATTTAATCCTACTCTAGTGTCGTTTTTTTTGGGGGGGGGGTGGGGGGGGGAGATGGGGTGGAGGGATACTCTATAAGACCGGTACTACACCTATACAGAAGTACTCTTTGTAAATTTATAGTGCACACATTACTTTATGCATCTAAGTGGTAGGTAGAAATGTGGCTTAGATCTTTATCTATGTAGATTATCAAAGTGCCATGTGGAAAGGCCTTCAAATGACGCAGGCCACACACTATGTATACTACCATGTCGAGATCAGAGCCTATACATGGGACTGTCTATCTAACGTCCCTATGGTATCGATTGTTGGTTTTTGCAATTTGTGTAGTCTTTTAAAAATGTGAGGTTTTGTTGCTCATTTGACAAGCAGCAATCAATGAAGCTGAATGAACAGAAAACCCTCCCTGGACCACGCCTCCTCCGAGAAAACCTGGTTAGAGCTAGGGCGTCCTTTTCAGGAACTCAGTATATAACCTAGATACAGAAGCAGAGAACTAAAAGCATGGGTATCGCAGCTATAGACAGGACATAAAATCGTTTTATTTACTATTATAATGGAATTCAGGTAAGCATTCCTGATTTCATACAATAAAACATTGAAAGATAATTAAAAATGTACAAGTATCATTTTTTTGTTGTTGTGGTAAATCTTAATCAAGTAAATGCCTTTTTTGTAGGTGCTTAACAATGACTGTGTTCTTTGCCATCACTGGTAAGAATTTTACATTAATATCTCTGTAAACAAAAAGTTAACTATTTTTTAACTCAAACTTGATTTCATCGAAAGGGCAAGAATTTACTGGTGTGTTGTAAGCCCCTCTCTCCCCATTTCGTACAGAATTCTTAAAACCTCTTTCAAATTTATCTTAAAAGCAATTTTTAATTCCGACACAAATCTTTATTTAGTTTTCTTCTATCACCTTTTTTATGATTAAAAGTTTTCAACATAAAATATGAGGTGTTTCAAAATTTTTAATACACGGAAAAAAATATTTTCACAGAGCAATTATTGCTAAACTCGTTGATAAATAAGTTCTCAATTAATTTCAGTTGAATTGATGTAGAAATCTATGTACATGTACACGTTCAAATAAAAGAAGAGATACATATATAAACACATTATCAATTTTAAACCGGTCTGACTTCTGTGAACTCGTTCTCACTCCTACTTAGTTATTGTAAAGTACAAAATATAAATATTTTCGCATGTTTTAATCGTGAGATGGTTACCAACAGGACAGATTATATATCTCCTATTATTTAACTTTTTCCTCGACGTAAAAAAGAGAAGTCACCTACATAGATATTATAAGTGTATTTAAGATTTACAACATATAGGGTTGACTTCGTTATTTCGCGGAACAAAGATTAAATGTGTTTTTATTTTTGAATTTCATGAAAATTTTCTTACAAATTTTAAGAATTTGCAGTCAATATTCGTGACGAAAAATACACGTGTTTTTAGTAATATAATGGACAGGCGTGAACCATTCCCTGACCCTAATTTAAATAAAAAAGTCTTTATGTGTGCAACGATTCTATAAATTATGGTCACTACAGTCTAATTCAAAAAACGATATTCAAAATATTGTAACTAGACCGACCATTAACTTTTTCTTCATTGGTCAATTCATAGAAAACAGGGGAGGTAACGTCAACAAGACTGGGGGTCTTCATTCCTTAAAAAAATCCCCTCTGTCCAAAATATGAACAATAGGGAGAGAAACTTGCAGAATTATATCAATGTCACAGAAATGAATCTATCACAGACTGCTTTCTTTTTTTCCTTCCGAATTAGCTTAGTTGATTTATTTTAATTTTATTCTTGGACTGAATATCTCCTTGTAAACCCTGTTCTTAGAGAGAGAGAGAGAAAGAGAGAGAGAGAGAATCGCCACCTTTTGATTCAAGTACATTTATTGATGAAATAAGACTACAAACCATCCTTACATTTTCGGTACACGAATCTATATTTGAAGAATTCTTCTCAAATGAAAATGTTGTCACCCAATACTTTATATGTACCAAAAGTACAAAATCAGTGTTACGTAGGACTATATTATAACAGGTGTCGGAATCAAAACGACCTATCGCCGCCCCTGTAAGATTTCACCTTTGACTCCCTCGTCTCTTGCTTTTACATCATGATACACATTTATCCGGAATCAAAGGCAATCAGTCTTTTGATACATATATGTGGTATACTATATCGATTCTGTCTCTTTATAATCACAACCTGCACTATTTGTCCTTTCATGGACTTTACTGTTGGGTAAAAGGAGTTTGGCAATAGATGAGGTATTAGTTCATCAGATTGCTCAGATCTAGCTCACATATAAAAAAATGTATTTTTTTAAATGCGAGACGGATCCTTGTATATCGTATTGTAAATATCATATATCACGACCATAACTTTTAAGTCGTATTGTAAATATCATATATCACGACCATAACTTTTAAGTCGTATTGTAAATATCATATCACGACCATAACTTTTAAGTCGTATTGTAAATATCATATCACGACCATAACTTTTAAGTTGCGATGAAACTTTACTTTAGGTTGATTTATGTATGAATTTGAAAAATTTAGTTTTCCAGAATAATGAATCCCAGTTTCAGTTACTAATTCTGTGTTGTATAATATTAAATAACTTATGATCCATGTTTTGCTGTGAGAGTTGTGGATGTAGTGTGCTTCATTCATTTTCCAGAAGACGATGCCGATTTGTCATCCTTAAATGACATATGTGTAAAAATTAATCATTCATATATTTGTTCCCTATCCATCATTCCTTTGTACGTGTGACATGTCTATAGTGTTGATAAAAACTTAATAATGCAGTATATATTTTTTAAATAAAGAACCAGAGTGCATTTGTTTTAATTATTCCCCTTCTCTTTGTGGTGGAGAAAAGTAAGTGAACTTTTAATGTGATCTAGGATATTTATGTTCACTTTTAATTTTTCAGTCAAAATGTATTGTTGGCATGTTGAAAACTCTTCGCTGGTGGGAGTAAATGATTGTATAAATATTGTACACTGTATAATAACACCCATATCGCTAGGGAGATACTTCACTCCTCGTTGCTGAAATGAGCATCCTTTTTTCATTGTGAATTCATATACCGGTATAACTTTTTGGTATACTAGTATTCGTGTTTAATATTGTGTATCAGTCATACTTTAGCAGAATATATTATTTAATTTATTCTGTTTAAACTATGGAACACATTTAATTCATTTTGTTGTTAAATTTCATGTAAGGCAAATTAAGTTTTAAGAACTTGTGCCCTATCACATTATTTATATTCATTACAATAAAATATGTTTTAATCAAACCTAGTAAGATCAAACCCTGTAACTGTGACAATATAGAGAGATCTAACAATATAATATACAATTATTATTAAGTAGTTTGAGATGACATTATCTGTACGCAATTTGATTAGAATTTCGTGCGATGGAATGCTAAGCTAAGACTGCTGTCATTTTTAACAGTGTATAATTTGTCAGTTTATATATTGTGCATTAATTCCAATGTTTGTTTTTTTTTTAATATATAAAAATGTAATTTATAAATTTGGAATACTTCTAATCGGCAAGGCACCCTATGAAAAAGTTCCGTTTATAATAACAAAATCAATTATAACAATACTGTCTCATTTCTCAAACGAACAAAACTCTAATATATACACAAAAGAGTAATTTCTCGCATGGTGGACTATAGTAAAAGGGAGGAATAATCCTCCTTCAAGTAAATTCGCCAATATTCTTTTTCTCAGCTTAATTCACTGTATATAGAAAGTTAGAAACCCCTATTTATGACACCTTTTAGTTATAATATTTTATAGTTTTCCTTCCATCGTGATTATTGTTTGGGGGGGGGGGAGGGGTACGTTCTTTTTGATGTTCTCTTCTACATTCTCTGGACCTGTGTCTGTATTTACCGATTTTCCCTTAAATAGGAAGCATAAAACCTCTTCAAAGTAACAGTGACAAAGCTTTATTTAATATATACAACCTGTTTTCAATTTTAGAGTTATTTATATAGCATTGTTTAGTACTGTTAATGAGAGATGTGTAATTAATTGATTTTTTCCTCTACAAAATTAAATAATATATATTTACAATATGTTTTAGAAGTCCTCTCTCTCAGACTATAAATCGAAATTTAATCCTTAATGAACTTCAGGCTTGTGTTAGCTTAGCTGCTTCCACAAAGGTTTATATAATCTTAGAAATTGTTTTCATAATTTACTGCTCTGTAATAAGATATTGAACACAATTTGCGATACAAGTCAAGAGGATCCGTCTGCCTTTTGTGGAAAATGTCCTTAATAACGAATTCTGTGGATTTTTTGTTATATCAGATGCGTAGTGTTTTGTTTTATATCATGTCCGTGGTGATCTTGGACTTTCATGCTATGTAATACAGCTCGCTGTGTAGTGCTTGTTAGCTTATTTCAACGAAGATGAGATAAGCTTATCCCCGGTGTTTGTGATGGGGTCTCGGAATGAAAGGTAAAAGACGAAGGTAACAAACAGTTGTTAATCTCTCAAGTAACCATAAGCCCTAACTGGACCAAATGCAGGACTTTTGCAAGGATGGATGCTAAGTACTATTTATTCATCATTTGTTGAATCTAAATAATATTTTTGACATAAGTGGCTAGGTTGGAATACTAGTAGAGCTTACGTGCACCTGATCTATATTAAAGCTGAACACGATTCGTAAAAGGGATGTGTCCGCCATATTCTTTTATGAAGTCGTTATATCCGAAGACCCCTATATAAGCTGTTCACTTAGTCGCTGTTCAGTGCAATCAGTTGTCACCTTTGTAGACAGACGTATGCTACATAGCTATTTAAAACACTCGGTTGCGACAAAAGTAACTGTGTACTTCGTCCACGACAGGAGAGAAAGGTACCACAGAAACTTACACAGTTGCACAGGTCAGTGCAGTATACAAACAAACACAAATACACTTAAACTGCAATAAAACGTAAATACATGTATAGGTAATGTAAGATAACCAGCACGAACACGTGCCGTCCATTCCACGCAGGTACCCATAACAAGAAAGCAGTCCGGTGTAACGAATGCGAAGGTTATTCCCCAGTGCTGATATCGGAGATAGTAAACATAATATGGCGTATGCCTATTCACGAGTCGTATTCAGCTTTAACAAGATTTCTTGAAGCTGGTCCATTTACAAACACATGTATACATGTAACAATGAATGTTACCTGTACCAAACTTGCATAAATGATTCATTCGGAATGCATATACTACTGCAACCTTTCTTCAGCTGCTGTTTATTTCTATCTTTTATTTAAACTTTGTATTGATGATATTGATTAATTCCTCTTATTGGACATTTAATTCATATGAGACTCTGGGTCGATCGGTTTCCGATACATTTATGAGACTTATGTGGCTTGGTCGGTTACCAGTCCATTTTTGCCGTGAGCTAGGTCGGTTACGGTAACGTTGAGGTCGGTTACCGGTACATTTGTTGAATAAGCTAGGTCGATTTCCGGTACATTTGTTGAAGTGAGTTATGTCGGTTATCTGCATAAATGTTGAGCTTAGTAAGATATATTTTTTGTTGCTATATTGCCTTCTATTGTTGTTACTTCTCGTTGAAAAACAAACGACCTTAGAAAGGCAATACTAGTATACTTAACTTCTGTTTACGTATTTATTTTAATTCTTTGTATTATCCGAATGTAACAAATTACACTGGCGACCTGTATATAATTTATTCTTGTTTTTTGTAGCCGTGGTTGGCACTTCCTTGACAAGAGACGAAGAATTTAATAACTTGATGGAACGATTACTGGACAAGCCCGACCCGTCCTCCCTGAAAGACATTGATAAGAGGGGTTGGGAACCCGTGCCATCCATGAGATACTTCGGGAAAAGACTGACATTATTAAAACGAGGCTGGGAGCCTTTGATGCCTCTGTATCGTCGTAGAAGACCATACTATAAGCGAGCCTGGGAGACACACATTGTAAAGTTGCCGAGGAAAAGGTCAAATTTATTGCCGTTCGTGGACTCGGACCGTTTTTCTGACTCTGTAGAGCCGGGCTGTTGTTCGGATTCCTCGGCTTGCTGTCCACTCTGTGATACCGGTGCACACAGATCCGTCATAGTCTTGGACCCATCGGATGACATTCGAGAACCGTGTCAGTGTTGTAACCTATCTGAAATCTGTACAACTTGTCCCGTTATGAAGAAGTAGACATCTGATATGTTCTTATCTTATGATGACACAATTGTTTTACAATTGTGAAATTCATTGCTTTTATAGAGTATGTAGCATCAACGGTATGTAGGTCCCACTACGGCATCAATCTACCATATACACATTATGAATCTTCTGTATTTCATGTTTTCATATTAGGAGCTTGACTTTTTACTTGAATGTTCTTAAATTTGACCTGTATTATTTTAAAACATTTTTTTGTAATTGGAGGAAGATAAAAGGTTTGAAAGTCTGCCTAAATATGATCAGAATTGGGACAAGACGGCTCATCTTTCTTGTTATACGGAATACTAACCAGTGGTACGTGTGGATCTGTGACCAAAGACTTTTGCTGCTGGTTTAGTGAATACAATCGTGTTCGAAGATTTTCATTTATTTGTTTTTAGCAAACCCCATCGCATTCCTTTTGATTTAGAATGAATTAAAAAGGAACAGTAGATTGAAACTACAATGTACTTTTTTTATTGGGAAATATGGGGATCAAACTGCGATAGAGTGAACAGTTTATTTACTAAGTACATTTGAACGTTTATATTCCTCCACTTTCATCCTGGTAATGTCTAGGTTCTGAGCTTTTTCGGAGTCCAGCGACGCCATTTTCATGTATACCTGTATTCCTAGCATTCCTCAGAACCATGAGCCAATGTCAAACGTACGCTATAAGAATGTGTTCTTATCTAGGTAAAAAGAAGAGTCGAATATGTTGAAGTGAAAGGCATGGTATCCCTGTAAGATGAAATAATTTAATGAAATATCGTCAAATTTAGATGGTCACAAAGTTTCACCTATGAATACAAGTTAGCTTTTGGGCCAGAAACGAGTAAGGCTAGGTTGCTACGTCTTGAGCACATGACCTTACTAAGACGGGTACATATTTACTGTGTCCGGGAGGTATAAAAAATATTGATAGAGCTAGCCAGTACGTTTTAGAATTGTTTGTTTCGGTTCAGTTTGATGGCGTCGTTGGATAGGTTATATAGGTGCAATTTCACGATTTAATGGCATCGTTGGGAAGTGCATGACTGATGGCGTCGTTGGGGTACAGTCAGTGTAGGTGGAATTTCAGTAATGGCGTCGTTGAGTACAGTGTGTAGGTGGAATTTCAGTAATGGCGTCGTTGGGTGTAGTGTGTAGGTGGAATTTCAGTAATGGCGTCGTTGTATATAGTGTGTAGGTGCTGGTGCGTTGGGTATAGTATGTAGGTGGAATTTCAGTAATACAGTGTGTAGGTGGAATTTCAGTAATGGCGTCGTTGTGTATAGTGTGTAGGTGGAATTTCAGTAATATAGTGTGTAGGTGGAACTTCAGTAATGGCGTCGTTGGGTATAGTGTGTAGGTGGAATTTCAGTGTGATGGTGCGCTGGGTATAGTGTGTAGGTGGAATTTCACAATCTGATGGCGTCGCTGGGTACAGTGTATAGGTGGAATTCACAGTTGGATGGCGTCGTTGGATTAGGTAAGGAATGGGTAAGGTTTGTAGGTGAAATTTCACACTTTGATGGCGTCTCTGGGTAGGGTTTTTAGGTAGAATTTCACACTTTGGTGGCGTTGTTTGGTATAGTATATAGGTGGAATTTCTCAATCTGATGGCGTCATTGTGTATAGTATGTAGGTGGAATTCTGATTGTGTCGTTGGGTGTAGTGTGTATAGGTGGAATTTCACAGTTTGGTGGCGTCGTTTTGTTGGGTATATGGGCGGATTGGGTAGGGTATGTAGGTGGAATTTCACAGTTTGGTGGCGTCGTTAGGTTGTGTATGAAGGTTGATTGGGTAGGGTATGTAGTTGGAATTTCACGTTTATTGAAGGAGTCTTATCAACTTTGGCCACAACGGAGAAAATGAAAAACGAAAAGATTTACATAGACCTATATGCAAACCGTCACAAGCTGACTTATGCAGTCAACAGGAAAGTCACGTGCATTTACTCTGCGGTGAAACCAGGCCTGGAGGTTATAAAACTTTCTGAGTATGTACTCCATGCTCAAACTCAAACTTCGTTCTTCAAAATTTATATACAAATTAGAGAGAAATTTTTAGCATGAGTATGGTTTTGGAGTACAGAGTTTGAGTTTGAGCACTGAGTTCATACTCAGAAAGTTTTATAACCTCCAGGCCAGAATTTGGCCATATTGGGGATAAAAGAAAGCTCTGTAAAATACGCCCACAAAACTAACAAATGAGACAGCACAAACATTAAATTATGGAGAGTTAAAAACTGATAAAATTTTCACAGCTTATTAAAGGCAAATGTAAATAAATCCATCTGCATTTAATTCATTACATTTACATTTTGTCAATTGTTGCTAAGATTGCACATTTATACAGTTCTTGCGTTAACTTTCTTAGTTGGGAGAGGAAAAGGATACAGCTCACAATAATACCCATTGTCGGATACCCAGGGGTGAGTAAATGACGAGATCACCCCTAGGTATCCGACGATGAATAATACCCACCAGTGTTTCTTTGAAAACATTTAAAGAAGATCGTAAAATAATAAAAAAAAAAGAATTACATAAGAAAAGAAAAATAATAATCAATTGTACATGAGGACATTCATAAGAATCTGAAGTCTCTTTAAAGAATTGTTTAAAGTTTAGCATAGAAATCAAGGCACCTTCAAGATATGCATGCTCTCTTTCGAAAAATCCAAAATAAAATACTAACGCACAAGTACTAGCGAAGAAGATGGGTGTATTTGGTGTCTAATCTGCAGGAATCGTAAGTACGAAAATGTCCAGTAAAGCAAACGATTTGGTCGGCTGACCACAGCTGGACAATGTTACATTGCAGTGGAACCTTGCCAAAATATTGTAATATATCATAGCTTTCGCTCTCAGTGCAAAACGTTCAAAATTTAACTTTATTTTAAATTAAAAAAAAAAAAAAATGACAAACTACTTGATTGTTTAACAAAAATAATAATAATGCTCCCTGGATCGAACCCATATGTCCAAAATTATCGATTCCTCACCGTCAGAGCCATATAACGTACCGCGGTATACCACTGTGCAATCGTCGCCATTAACATACTGATCAATATGAGGTTTTAAGCAAAAAATGAAGCAGCGTATTTACACAATGTCATTTTCTTTAAAACTCAACATCGGGAAAATGTTTCCCTTTCCCATATCACAGGAACCCGATATGTAAATTATATACCGGTATTCAGAAATTACTAAAATATTGTAACGGCCGGATTAATTCTTTTTTTAAAGTGCGCCCAGATTCCTGCCGAATCTAAATAAAATGCGCCCTCATTCTTTAAAACGTTTTTAACGGTTATAGTCGACTATAGTTAGAATTTAATATATAGTATCCTTAGAGCCCCCCCCCCCCCACCCCCATCTTCGCAAGCCAGGGGTTTTCGGTCCGCTTCGCTCTCCACAAACTTTTGTGGAGAACGAAGTGGACCGAAAACCCTTGGCTTGCAAAGATGCCCCCCCCCCCAACTCCAGAACCTCTGCTGACATTGAGGCCTTGAATTTCACTGATTATTAGGTAGGGGTATTTTTTTTTTATTAAAAGAAAAATAAGGAACGTCAGGTGCCTGTGTTAAAATGATATTCAGTGCCTTAGGGCTTGTTCCCCGTATGAATTTAATTTAAAAAAAATCATATATCAAATACTAAAACACAGTGCTGTTGTTGGAAAATGATTTAAAAAAAAACAGATTTGTTTATAATGCTGAGAACCGAGCAACTTGAGGTCCTGTGATTTAATTAATGGAAAAATTCATGTACATTTTGACATTTTCAGAAAATCGAGGTACATCAAGTATAAAATTAATAAATTACCAAAAAAAAAAAAACAAAAAAAAAAAAACAAAAAAGCAACAAAAAACCCCCAAAACAAAACAAAACATCAATTAAAAAAAGTATCCTTGCGGTTTTAAAAAGTTTTTGCATATTATGAAATGTAGGACACATAAAAATTTCGTGATCCGCCCAAAGTTCATCATGATCGCACAAACGCTTGAAAAGAGTCGAGGAAATTCTGGCCATATCTGCTTTCGCGGATCGTCAGATTTTGAGACTCAGAGTTGTGAATTATTATTAGGAAAATAATTGAAGATACGATAACAGTTTTTTGCAACTTATAGTTTTTTAAAATACATTTTCTAAATACATTTATATAGCCATATGCTGTCGTTCTAGGATCAAAATAGGTACAGTGTACAGTATATTGCTTTTGTTGTCGTTTATTGTCATAATTGTTTCAGTATATCTGTTTATTGAATATTGAATATCGCTTAATGCAAGAGCGACATGTAATTTGTTCAGAATCATGATAATTCAGATAGGTCGGCCCTTTATATAAGAGATTAAAAAGAAGATTGCTAATTAAGTGAGACAGTGTCATGTGCAATATCACACACACTGTGCTAAATAAAGTTGGTAAAAACTGCTGTTTGATAATCTAAGTCATATGGTTATTTACCACTTAAGACAAACAACATCCTTTAATGTGTCTAGGAAAAAGGAGCTGAAAAGTTTTTGCTGAACCAGGTTCTCTGTATCGGATGTCAAAAGGCTCAAAATATTATCATTGTTGAATGAAAGTGGATGATTTAAATTTTTTGAAATTAATATTCAGAAAATATGATTTTGTATTATGAGCACTATTGTGAACTTATAATTTATCACAAGAGAGTGTACAATAGTGTCAGAAAGCTGTTAGACTGAAGAAGAAATAAGTTATAATGCTTATTTGATATCAGTTTCATATCTGCTCTGTATTCTTTGCAGCAAAGATAAGGATTATCAATGATGTATTAGCATTACCCAAGGGATGACGGGGGTTTTTGGGTGGGGCAGTAGTCATGATGGACAGTTGTCTATCGGGGCTACAGATGAGGGCAATGTTCTCTCCCCGAAGGAGATCCCCAGCCTACAGAAACTGGAGATTAAAGAAATTGCCTGTGGGGAGAAGCATACTCTAATTGTCACAAAAGGAGGGGAGCTGTACTCATGTGGTAGCAATGAACATGGAGAACTAGGTCACAGTAAGCCTAGGTCAAAAGCAGGTAGGTATAACATTTACAGCTATGTCCAGTCTCTAGTCTGACAGCAAAAGTTATTTGATTAAAAATATAAACATAGCCTGCTGCCTCTTTGTAGATGGTGGTTTTCTTGAAATACAAGTGTGAGGTATATGTGGGATATCATTTATTTCAAAAGGCTAGAAATGTTTATAATACTTATACATTAAAAAAAAGAAAAAGACTTATCAGTAATATGCCAGTCTTAGAAATTTAGAATTGGAAGCTGCTCTAGTTGACTACATCAGTGATTACATTACAGAGTTGGTGACCTCACTGAGCAGTATGCATGTGACACAAGCCAAAGCCGGATCAGGATACAGTGTGGTTATAACAACTGCCGGGGAAGTGTTCAGCTGGGGGAGAAATGACACCGGGCAGCTTGGGAGGGGGAAACTATCCAATGAGGAGCAACGAAAACCAAAGTATGAGTCTTAAATATGATACCTGAATGAGTGAATTTTCATATATTTGAATTAGTTTTGTTATGATTAGAATGTTTGAAATAAGTCAGAATGAAACACATTTTTACAGGCTGATAAAAACCCTCGCTGTTTATACAGTAGTTCAAATATCTTGTGGATCCAGTCACTGTCTAGCCCTGACAGATGGTAACTATTGTGTAGTGATATTAGTTGGTGTTGAGAAATAAATTATGAGCAATAATTTTAAAAAAGAACTACCTACTTGATAAAGATTTATAAGACACCAGATTTTTTATTATGCATTGCCATTCTGAGGGTTAGCAAGAAGTGAAATGTGTGTGCCAAAAAAATTTAATGAAATTGATTTTTCAGATGGTCGCCTGTTTTCATGGGGTTGTAATAAATATGGACAGCTAGGATTGGGTACCTCCAACTCTCATGACACGCCCCAACAAATCATCAGTCTGAAGGGAATCCCTGTGGCCCTTGTAGCTGTGGGAGGTAACCATAGTTTCATCCTCTCCTGCTCCGGGGCAGTGTTTGGGTGGGGCAAAAATAGGTAAGACAGCTAGTGAAATAGTCATAGGGTATGTTGTAAAAATCTCATTAAAAAAAACAAACATATATTTAAAGCAAACTTGTTTGTCATGGACAGTGACATATACTTTAAGTGATACATGTAATAATATTTATACTTTATTTAAAGTGATTTCATTTTGTCATCAATCACTGCAAATAGTGAAGTATAATTGTATGTATTGAATTTCAGATAGTTTAGTACAAAGTAGAATTGTCAATCTTAGGATGTATTCTGTATTCTTTTACACTGCATACTAAGACAATGAAAGTTCAAATGAAAATTTGGAGATGAAATTACAAAGTTTAATTTGTTTCAGTTTTGGGCAGCTTGGTTTAAATGATGAACTTGGTAAGAAGGATTTTCAATGAGTACTCTAATATAAATTCTGTATCACTTTCATGTATTACATATTAGTGATGATTTTCCTACAGTTTTTAGAATAACCGATCACATTTTTACATTCTAAACATAATTCTCTGATTCCTGTGTGTAGACAAGTATTTACAGTCTAAATATATGTCCTGTTTGTAGACAAGTACCATCCTACGCTATGTAAATCTCTGAGGAATCAGAAAGTGAAATATATGTCATGTGGGGAAGATCATACAGTGGCCCTTACAAAGGTCAGTAAACAACTGTGTAAGCCTAGGCTATTAAAGAACTTAGTAAACAACCAGTGTAAGCAAGGCATTAAAGAAATGAAATTATCATACCTCTGTTGAGTATACTCAAATTTTATTGAATAATGAGAAAATATCAAAACTTGATGAGACCTCAAAATACAACTATGGCATAAAAAATCCTGCAATGGAATCAGAGCACCGACACAAGATAATGCCTTGCCATTATTGAAAATGACCTGTTAATCAAAATTCGGTACGTATGAAGCATTGTAAAATGGTTTGTGCATGGACTGCTTCAAATCGATGAGGAATATGATAGATAGGTCATGTAATTTATTCTCTGTGAATTCTAAATTTCATTGAATGGTAAATTAGAAGAAAAGTGGTTTTTCTGTGAATATCTGCAGCATGTTAACATCTTAATCCCCGATTACTGTAAATGTGAATATCTGCAGCATGTTAACATCTTAATCCCCATTAACTGTAAATGTGAATATCTGCAGCATGTTAACATCTTAATCCCCAATTACTGTAAAAGTGAATATCTGCAGCATGTTAACATCTTAATCCCCAATTACTGTAAATGTGAATATCTGCAGCATGTTAACATCTTAATCCCCGATTACTGTAAATGTGAATATCTGCAGCATGTTAACATCTTAATCCCCGATTACTGTAAATGTGAATATCTGCAGCATGTTAACATCTTAATCCCCGATTACTGTAAATGTGAATATCTGCAGCATGTTAACATCTTAATCCCCGATTACTGTAAATGTGAATAAGAACACTAAAATTTACTGAAAATATGCTATTTAAAAAAAGTAATAAATCAGCAGTGCAAAAAATTTGCACAATTTATATGTGCCATTGTAAACAATTTTTGCAAATCATTTGGAATACAAGTATATAAATCCTTTCAGTGACGTTTGATATCAAATATCATATGGTATTCAACACATTTTTTTATCTGTGCTTTATGTATACCGGTACATTCATTCAGTATCTAAATTTTGCTAAAATGTTTTTTGCACAACAAAACAGATTAAAAAACTTGGAAATCAATTCATTTATGTATTAAGAAAATAATTTAAAAAATGAAATTGTGTTTTTTTGTATTGGTATAATAAAATGTTTACCATTCTGTGATCAACATGGTAAAATGAGGTCCCTTGACCTGACCCATAAGGGGACCTGACCTTGGCCGGAGGCCTCAGTAAGCTCAGGTCACCTTATGAATCAGGTCTCTGGTGCTCATTTTACCATGTTGACATCATAAGGGATAATTGATTATATAATAAGAGACATACAAGTACATGTAAATCATTTAAATTATAACCACAAAACTATGTCATGGTGTTAACATGTTGTAATAAACTATTTAACACAAGTGTAGATTATTTGTGTGTAACAGGATGAGAAAGCTTTCACATTTGGTTGTTTTTAATAGGATGGAGGAGTTTTCACATTTGGTGCTGGGGGCTTTGGACAGTTGGGACACAGCTCCATGCAGAATGAGATTTTACCAAAGCGGGTAATGGAGCTCATGGGAAGTGTCATCACTCAGGTCATCTGTGGAAGGTAAAGACCCGGCTTTTTTATCGTTATACCAGAAGGTTATGAAACTGCATTTATGCTAATAATGAAGCACCTGTTCTAGATTTTTTTGGTCAGATACATGTAAAACTCTCTGAAAGTTAATAAGGAGACCATGATACAAATATCTTTTAGGATCAGACCTTCTCCTTAATTGTCCTGATGAGGGCTGGAGATGGCCTTTTTTCATGATCATATCTCAAGTTCAAGGTCATTTCTGATTCAGAATCCTTTTAAATGGATATTTTAAACATTTCTTGCAATTGAATGAAGGATATCTAATGCAGTTCATTAAAATAGTAAAATGCTTACAAGGCCAATATCATTCTTGTGTGAAATGTTGAAAAGCCCCCTTTCTTGTGACATTATGTGATCCTCCACCAGGGTACATTGTACATATACTTTATGTGTACATAAAAAAGTGGGCTTCATGTTTAAGTGGCTTTGGTGCAGACAACGGTGCGCTAATTCATGAATTCTGCTAAGAAATCATTTAAAAATACAATATACGGCACAGACATGTACACATACAGTACCTTCAGTATCAAGCTGGTGAATTTTTTCATATTGACATCTCATTAAATACACTGTCTCTTCTAGCTGTTTTTTTTTTAATTCATTTGCTTTTTTTCCCTATATTTCAATTTATGAATTTACTTGTCTGATTAGCTGTTAAAAGCAATTTTTGGGAAGTAGCCATTAGTATTTCTATTTATGTTGTTCATTTTTTTTATGTGTGTAAGTATGGATAAAATGTGAGATACTTCTCTACAGGCGACACACAATAGTGTTTTCTCCATCTAGTGGTAAGATGTATGCCTTTGGTTTAGGAGGGGCAGGACAGCTCGGACTGGGGGACACCGTCAGTCGAAACTCTCCATTTCCAATTCTGAGTCCGTACCTTCCTAGCTTGGGGCGTCGAGCCTCCCAGGTCATGGACCATGATGGTACTTTGTACACAGTTAAACATCTGTTTAGTAATGGTGACCATTGCTTCTTACTGGCTAACACTGCAGAGGTAGGTCACATAATAGTTAGAGAATTCTCTTTGGTAAAATAACAATGTCTTATTAATATCAGTGTATTTCTAAGGTGAAAAAATAATTACATCTATTAAAAAAAAAAAGGAATAGTGTATGTTGAGTTGTTCCTAAGGTGCAATAGATATAGCAAGAAAACTTTTATGAAAAAATGAATAAAAGCTTGTAGTAACAATAGTTCATAGACATGTACACTTGTTAGTTACATTTAGCATGTTTCATAAAGACTACACATACAATCTCATTAAAATCAGGTCTTTGTTATGCTCCAAAATTCTGATAGTCGCTGTGCAATGACTATAGTCGCTGTACAACGACTATCAGAATTTCGGAGCGTAACAAAGATCTGATTTTAATCAGATTGACTACACACACTGTATTTATTAATAAGTACAAGTTGATGAATATATATGTCAGATGTTTGAAGTTTCTTGCAATAAAATTACAGAGAGGGGGAGAACCAGATGATTTTAGGATCCCAGATCCCAGCACACAGATAACCACCCTCACCGCTGAGAAATGTGACGAGATTCGTAAACTCCAGCCTGATGTCATCACACCATCAGAACTGGTCGAGTAAGAAGTCGCAATGCTTCACACATTAAGTCATTAAAGATGTGATTAAGATCAGATTACAGTAAGAATGTCAAAGCAAAGAAAAAGGGAATAATACAATGAATTCATAGTATAGCTTATAAGTTATCAGTCCAAAAATTTTTTTTTTTATATATTACATAACGGAAAAGCCAGCTTTTGCCATGGAATATCTGCTGTGACATTACATGTAAAATATTATTGTGTTAGTTTAATTAGAATCATTATTATCTCTATAAATTACAAGTTCTTCAAATTCAGTACCCTTACTTGAAAAAAAAAATCTCCCAAGACCTGTAACATGCTGTCAACTTTCATTTCAGCGATGTTCTAAAAATCTTTTCAAGCTCTGCATGTCTGAATGCATCATTTTTGCTGAAGTAAGTACAAGTTTGTGTTTCTTAAGTACTCTGATATAAACAAAAGTAAACTCCATTGTTTCTAATGAAATGATTGACTTATATATTGACAGAAATGATGACCATTATGGCTGCAGCAGTAAAAATTGTGGGCTAGATATGGATGAAGTGAGGAGGCTGATGAACCGAATAGCTGATGCTAAAAATGTCAACATTACACAACAGGTATATTCATTGTAATGTAAAATGAACATTTGATTTGATTAGACAAGCAATGTCCTGGTTAACTGCAGAACTGTAGCTCTCTGGGAAAGAAATTTCAGACAGACACTACAGATCCACCCATTGTAAAAAGAAAAAACCTTGCAACTGCCATCCCAAGGCCACATAGGGTTGTTTAAAACCCTATTGTTGAAAGGTAAATGAAGTAAGAAAACTAGAAGTAAAATATATATTTAATTAACATATAACATGATTTAGGTAGGGGAATGCATATAATGTGAGAAATAATACCCGAAGATTGCAATGAAAAAGTGTCTCTGTAAATTTAAAAATTTTAAATGGATGGATCTGTAACTCACCCGTATGCGTGTCCGAATGTTCTTTCCCAGCCGAGAGTTACAGTTCTGCACCTATGGCTTGGTTAACTGAATGTTTCAGTGGTTTATAATGATTGGTATAGATTACAGAAAGTATAGAGAACAACCTCCTGCGGTCCCTTCCTCCCTCCCCACCTGATGTGGAGGCTCTCAGGATTTACCTCATACTCCCAGAATTCCATCTGTTTGATGAACCCAAGTTCTTCTCTACTCTGATTGGACCTTTTGGAAAGTGTATAGTCAATTTGGAAAGGGCACCAGCTAGAATATTAGGTACAGATATTGCTAATTGGATCTTGTTAACTGTTTTTCTTCCTGTGTGAGCAATGTTTATTAGTTATCAAATCCAGAATATTCTCAAGTTATGCAAATTCTAGAAGGCAGATTTTTGTTGATTTCTGGGTTTCACAGACTTGTGCAAATTGATAAGGTTTTGCATTAAACTAATGTTTCATAGTTATTTAGGTTTTACATAGTTCAAAGTACATGTAAGAACCAATGGCTTAATTGTATGAAGGTGTAGAATATTCAGGTTTTTGCTTTTTTTTCTCAGATTTATGGTGGGGCTCTTTAAAACCAAGATTTTTTAAGAGGATTTTAGAGGTAAGTATTTTTAACTCTTCTCTACGGTCTTTTGGTCTTTATACCGCATATATAGGTACATGTTTTGTATGTACTTGCCAACCTGTGTACTTGCATGTAGAGATAATGAGATATTAAAATTTTATCTAAAAGTGATGTATCCTAAGCTTCACGAACATACACATATTTCAATATAGAAAAATATTTGAGAGAAAAGTGCATTTGTATTTCGTAGCCAAATTTTAGTTATGTTGCAGGGTTGTCCCTAAGACCTGGGGGCCAGGGAATTTCCCCGCCTATAATGACATAATCCCCAGGTTACTTTGGTATTCCTCCTCAATGCCCTGTTAGCAGAGGAACCCCAGATCCCCTTCTACCCTTTTAATGTCCCCTGCTATTTTAATTCTTAGGGACAACCCTGTTAATTCTGAAAATAAAACTTAAAATCTCAAATCTCATATGAAAAAGAGAAATAGAGTTAATTAAAATGTAGTATGGGGACCTGGTAATTAGTAGTCATGGGTAGAAGAAGAACATTATCTTCAGAACAACACTGTTTATAGCAATTCCTTCTGTATTTAAAACTGGGTTAACTGGGTTCACATGACACAAAAAATGTGGTCATCCTACAAGTTTCATCTGTTTGTCAACACAGTGTAACATGGATATTCATGCCTTTCAGTTAATTTTATTCCTGTAATTTTTGTTAACTATTTGTGAATTTCATCATATGCTGCAAATTTAATCTTAATTTGTAGATATTTTTTGATCCATCTGAAACATATTTTTTACTTGCATCACATTGTCAAAAATCTGCAAAATTTCAGACCTCATCACCATAATTTTTTAAAAAAAAAGAATATTTGAAATCCTATAGATATACAGGAACACAGCACTGTGGATTCTCCGACTACCAAACCTGAATGCATCTAGCCATATGGAGGTAAGTTCAGCCACAACTTTAAACCTTTGTAACAGAGATTATATTGATATTAAATATTCAATGATTATTAGGAATTACAATGTCCATCCATCCATCTGTCCATCCATCCATCTGTCTGTCCATCAAGACTTGTCGTGATGCCTTTCTGTCTGTCTGTTTTTCGTCCGTCCGTAAACTTTTCACATTTTTGACTTCTCAAGAACCACCAGGCCAATTTTAACCAAAATTGGCACAAAATCATTCTTGTGTAAAGGGAATTTTAAATTTTTCAAATGGAGGACGGAGCCCACTTCCATGTGGAGATAATCAAGAAAAGGCAAAAATATTGGTGGGTCATTAAAAAATCTTTTTCTCAAGAATCACTGGGCCAGAAAAACTGAAACTGATAAGGAAGCTTTCTTCAGAAGTGTAGATTCTAAATTGTACAAATTATGACCCTCAGAGTTAGGTTGGGGCCACAATAGGGTATGAAAGTTTTACATTGATATATATATAAAAAAAAATCTTTAAAAATCTTCTCAAGAACCACTGGACCAGAAAAGCTTAAACTTATGTTGAAGATTCCTGAGAAAGAATAGGTTGTAAATTGTTCAATTCATGACCCCCTTCTTCTCAAGAACCACTGGGCCAGAAAAGCTGAAACTTATGTTAAAGATTCCTGAGAAAGAATAGGTTGTAAATTCTTCAATTCATGCCCCCCGGGGTTAGGGTGGATCCAAAATAGGGGATGAAAGTTTTACATTAAAATATATAAGAAAAATGAAAATCTTCTCAAGAACCACTGAATTAGAAAAGATGAAATTTATGTGGAAGCTTCCTAAGGATGTGTAGATTCTAAATTGTTCAATCAAGACCCCAGGGTTAGGGTTGGGCCTTTTTAGGGGATCAAAATTTTGCATGGAATTATATAAGAAATGTTTTTAAAATCTTCTTTAGAAACACAATAGAAGCATTAATGTACAAACATTCCCATGTTGTGTTAATTTAATTTTCTTTTTTAAGTTATGGACCCCAGGTTAGAGTTTGCTTAAATCAGGATCAAACTTAACATAATGCATGTATGCCGGAAAAGAATTTTCTTCTGCATAACTGAAAGGCCATGTTAGTAATACTGATATTGAAGCATCCTCTTGATATATGGATTCAGAGACCCCTTTGGGTTAAGGTGGGGCAATAATATGGGTCACAATTTTTACAAGGAAATATAAAAATCTTTTAAAAATTTTCTGAAGAACAGCATGGCTAAATTAACTCAGGTGAGTGTTGTGGCCCATGGGCCTCTCGTTTACATTTTCCTGAGTGGGAAGCACGTAATGGCCAGGGCTCGACATTAACTTTTTTCCCTACTTGTCCATTCAGACAAGTGACCAAGACATTTACTTGTCCGAACTTCAACTTCACTTGTCCGAAAAATTTTTTCAATAAAGATCTAATACTGTCAACTGGAAAACTAAAATAAAGTCCATTACATGTGTGTGATGTTATTTATACCGGTAAATACAATAAACACATAAAACAAAATTTTATCTAGACTTTCTGTCCTGACAACATGAATGCTGTCAACATAAAACAGAATCCAAACTTCATAAATTCCATGCCTTTGCAGTAGTATGCAATTAGTGAACTTCGATCCTGATCAAGTGTGAACTCATTTTCATAGCGATCCATATCGGGATCAAAGTTCGGTTTTTATGTACTGTTTCTGTCTTTAAAGTACCGGTAAACTTTCAACAGTCGTTCTTTTTATTATTTGGAGACTTCTTTACATTAAAATGCACTTGTCCAATCGGACAAGTGCCCAGCAATATTCACTTGTCTGTAATTTTTTTTCACTGGTACCGGACAAGCGGACAAGCGTTAATGTCGAGCCCTGAATGGCTATTACAAGAGGCAAAGAATTTAAGTAACTCATCTTGTTTTATTCAACTGGAAGGATTAATTAAACTTTGGGATGTTCCTTCTTGTTTTATTCAACTGGAAGGATTAATTAAACTTTGAGATGTTCCTTCTTGTTTTACTCAACTGGAAGGATTAATTAAACTTTGGGATGTTCCTTCTTGTTTTATTCAACTGGAAGGATTAATTAAACTTTGGGATGTTCCTTCTTGTTTTATTCAACTGGAAGGATTAATTAAACTTTGGGATGTTCCTTCTTGTTTTATTCAACTGGAAGGATTAATTAAACTTTGGGATGTTCCTTCTTGTTTTATTCAACTGGAAGGATTAATTAAACTTTGGGATGTTCCTTCTTGTTTTATTCAACTGGAAGGATTAATTAAACTTTGGGATATTCTATCTTGTTTTATTCAACTGGAAGGATTAATTAAACTTTGAGATGTTCTATCTTGTTTTATTCAACTGGAAGGATTAATTAAACTTTGGGATGTTCCTTCTTGTTTTATTCAACTGGAAGGATTAATTAAACTTTGAGATGTTCCTTCTTGTTTTATTCAACTGGAAGGATTAATTAAACTTTGAGATGTTCTTTCTTGTTTTATTCAACTGGAAGGATTAATTAAACTTTGGGATGTTCCTTCTTGTTTTATTCAACTGGAAGGATTAATTAAACTTTGAGATGTTCCTTCTTGTTTTATTCAACTGGAAGGATTAATTAAACTTTGGGATGTTCCTTCTTGTTTTTTTTTTTTTTTTTTTTGGACAGGTTTTCAAAAATCAGTTTTACTATGATTCCAGAGGACTACATTAATTTTCATTGTTTTCTTTCTAGATGGTGATTCGATTAGAATGTTTAAAGTCTTCATTAGGAGTACTAAAGAAGCTAAACAGTGTTAATGATGCCAATGGTCAGATCATTCCATATGACAACTTTTACATATCAGAAGTTGCAGAAAAAATTGACATAAGGAAGGACTATGTGAACTGGGTTCACAGAGGAAAAATCCTCCCATCAGTAAGTACTGTCTGACAGAATCTTCCCATCAGCCAATATGTCTGATTGAATCCTCCCATCAATAAATATGTCTGACAGAATCCTCCCATCAGTAAGTACCAGTACTATAAATCAATATCCTCCCATCAGTAAGTAATATAAGCAGAATCCTCCCATCAATAATTACTGTAAGACAAAATCCTTAAATCAGTAAGTACTGTTATACAAAATCCTCCCATCAGAAAGTATTAACTTCTGTAAGACAGGATCCTTCCATCAACAGTTCTATCAGGAACCTCCCATCAATTGGTACTGTAAGACAGAATCCTCCCATTAGTAAGTACTGTAAGACAGAATCCTCCCAACAGTTATCACTGTAAGACAGAATCCTCCATCAATACAAACTGCAAGACAGAATCCTCATTCAATAAGTTCTGTAAGACAAATTCCTCCAGTCAGTAAGTCCCATCAGTTATCACTGTAAGACATAATCCTCCCATCAATAAGTATTTTAAAACAAAATCTTCCCATCAGTAAGTACTGTACGTGTACATAAATTGGCATATTCAAAATTTGGTGCAATCTTTTCTTAGCGGTATTCATAAATTAGCGCATCATTGTCTGGGCCAAAGCCACTAAAATATGAAGCCCGCTTTTTAAAGTAAACATACTGTACTTTAAGATGAATCCTTCCATCAGTAAGTACTGTAAGACAATCCTCCATCAGATAATATTGTTTGAATGAACTCTCTTATCTGTAATTACTAAAAAAAAAAAAACAAAACAAAAATCCCCCATCTGTAATGACTACATCAGAAATTCTGTTTTGTTTTGTTCACATATTATTCTTTTAAATGATTTGAAAGTAAATTTAAAAAATGATTGTGAAAAATAACATTATTTTTTTCAGCCCCAGATTCACTTCTGTGATTATCCATTCATCTTTGATGCCTCAGCTAAAAGTGTTCTACTCCAGACAGACGCATGTATGCAGATGCAGGTAATTAAATCAAAATATTATTTGTGGAGAATTAATCACCCTTTTTTCAGAATCCAGTAATTCTTTTGTGATATTTATGAACCAGTTGGATTAAATAAATGTTTACAATGCAGAAAAAGAGACTAGTAAACAGAAGTTATTTGTAATTTTGTAGTCTGCTTATGAAGAAGTCCAGAGACGAAATTTCCAGAATTTGTTTCTTCCAATTGATCCCATAAATCCTATGTTAGTATTACATGTGACACGGCATAATATTGTTACCGATACACTTCATCAATTGTCTCGACAAGGACCAGCTGATCTCAAGAAACCTCTCAAGGTAAATACAAAGGTCAAGGTCAGTCTCATTTTAGCTGTAATTATTTTTAAATTTAAAATATCCATCTTGTTTCTCTTTTTAAAGGTGATATTTTTAGGAGAGGAAGCAGTGGATGAAGGTGGAGTCAGAAAGGTGAGCATGTCATAAAGTAATTATTATACAAATGTATATAAACAACTATCTCTATGTTAAAAAGTGTACACTTGATTCAGCTCTCTTGAAAATGTCTGCCCACTGACACCCCCTCCCCCCCTTTTTTTCTGAAAGGTAATAAAACACTCCTCAAAAAAGCATAATGAATACTAAGAAAGTACTTTTTAGATTTGAAATAAAAACTTATTGTACTTGAATTGAAATATGTGTATGTACAATTCTGTGAGAAATAAATGTTTTAATATCAGTAGAAAACTTAAAAGCTCTAATTGAATTGCTTATCTTCAATGTACCAATTGAAGTTGTTACTGCTTACACAGATAAGCAGTTATGTAAATTATATGATTTATATTTGGTAGTATTCATGACATACTTCTGTTCAAAATGTTTTCATGATGTGTCAATCATTCTTAAATTTAAAAAACCTTAAAGTGACAGTACGGCGCATCTCATCAAAAAATGACTAGATAAAATTTTCCGACAAGCTTTGGCATTTTTTTACTACTCAGAAATGTAAAACTTTCAGAAAATTACAACTTTTACAATTAAATAATTTGGATTACTTCATTAAAATTAATAGTTATTTATGGGACGTAAATATATGCATCGCAACGTGTTCGGGGTTCCACATTCCATGCTATGCACGCATGCGTAGTTTTCATAAACAAAACAGCATGGTTAGAGAGGGAATCCCGGTAGGCCTGCTACATTGATAAAGTCGACTAAAAATAAAAAGAAACTGAAAATAGAACTTGAAAAAGCAACTTTCCTGACTAAAATTTAGTTTGGGGATTAATATAATCGCTGGATAAGGAAGAAACGGGAACTCGGCGACACTCAAGCAGGGCTCTCGAAGGTTCTATTCGACAGGTTTGTTGATACTTGTTATCATCAGTCTGGTCGAACCCCCGAACGGGGGTAAACGGAAATGGGAAATCCATACCCCCAAACGGGGGTACGAGCATGCGCAGATGCTTAAAAATGTGCGTATTTCACGCAAAAAGTAGGGGTTTACAAAAATCGCCTGTGCAAAGTAACGGATTATTTGGCAAATGTAAAACCACTCGGAAATGATAGATTAAAGGTGTTTTTAGAGTTTGTATTTTACAAAAATACAACTTTATTGTACAAATCGGGATTTATTCACTGGCAAAGTTGGCGATCTTTTGCTCCTTGACATGCAGGTATTTAAGATAAAACATTCGATAAACAGACATAAGCAACTAATGCTAAATTGAAATTATATAAAAAAAAATGTATTATTCTACATTATATCTTTTATTTTCATAATAAAATGCAAGAAAAAATGGTGCTAATATCGAATTGTTTATGATCGTGGGTTTCAGTCCGCGTTTCCTCTGACTAGCAATCAACGGTCTTTATTATCGATAATCATGCCCAGGAAGTGTAACAAAAATACATATAAAAATAAAATTCAAATGAAATCTATCGTATTTATTGTCTTTTATATCTTATAAGAATTAAATAAAATGTTTGGCAACATATTGTAGTTTTTTTTATATTAATAAATATGATTGTTTGAGAAAACACGATTGTATTTTATTTTATTTAAATCTAGGTTCTAAATTAATATTTTCCTCATTCTTAGAATATTTTTCCTTGTGTTTTAAATTCCACAATCTTAATTGAGACGTCCTACAAAATAATAAATAATTTCATGAAATGACGGAAAATATTTCGTTATTCCTACAGTATAAATTCAAACTATGGAAAACTTAACCTGTTAATTTTTTTTCTGTTGAAATTTTTACCAATTTCATAGCAGAAATAACATTATTATCGATCTTTTTCCTTAGATAAATGATATATAGGCAAGTTTGTTTATATTGGATACGGCAAGAGTTACTGTTCTTGCGCATTGCATGACGGGACGGAAAAACCCTCGTTTGGGGTATACCCCCGTTCGGGGGTTCGACTAGACTGATCATTTCTCATTTTTCCGTCGCTTTCAAAGAAAAAAATAGTTTAAACTCAACATAAAAAATACATCTTTGACTTATAAACATTGTTGCCATTTGAAATGCTAATTTTTTTTAACTGTGCAGAAAAATATTTTGTTTGACATTTGCCGCGATAACGTATGATTAGTTGGTTTTTCCTTTCTCGGACCCCAATACACAAAACGTCAACATTTGTACTTTTAATTCTGTTAAATTCGCCTGAATGCAGACTAAAATCTTTACGATTATTATTTTAGATTATTTTATCAGAAAGTTATGATAATTTGTGTTTTTGAAAATTGCTTTCAGCTAATATTCATTATAACTGTAAACTCTGTAGTGTAGGCACGTGCCGTTTTGGAATTCACGTGGTACAAATAAACAGATCTAAGATTGCTCCAGTTCGTACGACCCTTGATTTTCCGGCAGATTCTAATTACGTTAATTTTGTTTGAGTAGAGAATATTTCTGTTTCTCAAACTGCTTACATCAACTTTATACCTTATTTCTTAATGACATATTGGGTAAATTTGGATGAAAAAGCACACATTTTGCAGCCATACTGTCGCTTTAAGAGTTTGAAAAATCTTTAGAAAATATCAAATTTTGAAAAGTTTTTGGTATGCATTTTGTCTAGGAGTTCTTTTTGCTACTGATGAAAGAAATTCTTGATCCAAAGTATGGAATGTTTAAATTCTTTGAGGAATCCAGATTACAATGGTTTAACCCTACAGTAAGTTTGGCGACACTTTCTCTCTGATTAATTACCGAGTACTGATTAATTATATCAAACTTGCTTCTATGGTTTTCTCAACATCATGTTTTCAGTCGTTTGAGGACAAACAGATGTTTCACCTGATCGGGGCAGTGTGTGGACTCGCAATATACAACTCCACCATTATTGGTCTCAGTTTTCCTCTAGCTCTGTACAAAAAGTTGCTCAACAGGTACCGTCATCTTCCTCTCATTTAATTTAGAAAATTTAAATTTTTTAGCACCTACTTGAATTGCACTTCATTTTTATTTGACAGAAAGACAACATTGGATGATTTGATGGAATTGATGCCCTCTGTAGGACGGTAAGTGAATTATTGAAAGGGGGGGTAATTTTGAAGTAGCCTAAGACAACTTATTGATTGTTGGAGCCTAAGACAACTTATTGAGTGTTGCTGGTAAGTGCTACACAATATAAAAATAACATTGATATTTTATGACCAAGTTGTAAACTGTGTTATGTCTCTGTGCTGATTCAGCTATATAAGAGACATTTTCAGTTCTGCAGTAACTCTTTTGAAGTCGGACTACGTACACTTCAGTGTGTGTTGACTGTTCGTCTATTTTTCAGAGGCATGCATGACTTGTTAGATTATGAAGAAGACGATGTAGAAGATGTCTTCTGTTTAACTTTTGAGGTTTGCTTAATCTTTTATTATATACTCTGAGTTAAGTTAGATAAATTACCACAAATGTAATATTAAACTTGATTTGTATATTGCAGATTACAGTAGAGAGCTTTGGAGAAGTTCAGCATATTCCTTTAGTGGAGGGTGGATCAGAAAAATCTGTAACCAAAGATAATAGGTAAGTGTTGTAACTCCAATATTCTACAGACTTTTTTTGTGTAAAATTTATATACATATAACTATGATGGAAATTATTTTACAGGCAGGAATATATAGATGCTTATGTGGACTATGTGTTTAACAAGTCTGTGGAAGATCATTTCCGAGAATTCAGTAATGGCTTCCACAAAGTCTGTGGTGGAAAAGTCCTGGTGAGTATATAGAAACTTGAGTCTTTGGTGAAGGGTGAATGTTTTTACTATTTTTCATAAATTTGTATTGAAGACATAAGGCATTTAGTTTAGTCCTTATTACAGTTCTGTATTTTTATGGTTTTAGGAATTGTTTCATCCACAAGAGCTGCAGGCTATGGTTATAGGAAATGAAAACTACGATTTCCATGAATTTGAAGTGGTACTATATTTATTGTTTGATGAAGTGTAAAATAAAGAAGTAAACAGCTTTACAAAGTATTTCTTTAATAGTCCTAATGAACTGGTTTATCATGCTTCGCTTTCATGTTTGATTTGACAGAATGCTGAGTACAAAGGAGAATACTACAGACAACATCCCACAATTCAACTCTTCTGGAATGTTTTTCATGAGTTGCCCATTCAGCTCAAAAAGAAGTTCTTGTGTAAGTCAGAGTTTAGCAAGCCAGCCTTATAATCAATGAGTGTTCATTCAGAAATGTTGAATTAACGTTTGAAAATTTCCTTTATCACCTCCATTAATATTAAAAAAAGAAAACACTTGTTATACATGTATATAAATAACTATAGCCAAATTTCATTACTATAGTAATTGTATTTTGTACTATAAACTATCTTTTCTTCATTTATAACTATCCTCTTAAACAAAATGAAAATCTGAGAGGTTTAATTATACCTTGTGTTTTTGTTATCAGATTTTTCACGATATTTGTTCCTTGGTCATTGTTTTGCCTTTTTCAGTGTTTCTGACTGGGAGTGATCGGATTCCTATTTTGGGTATGAAAGCTGTTAAAATGATTATCCAGCCCACTCATGGTGGGAATGACTACCTCCCAGTGGCTCACACATGCTTCAATCTGCTGGATCTCCCCAAATACCAGGACTACCAAACAATGAAGGAGAAGTTACGTCTGGCCATAGAGCAGACAGAGGGATTCGGAATTGTGTAGCTACAACAATTAGGGGTTCAGGACAATGGGTTGGGGCCCATTGGAATTGTGTAGCTACAACAATTAGGGGGGTTCAGGAGAGTGGGTTGGGGCCCACTGGAATTGTGTAGCTACAACAATTAGGGGTTCATGACAATGGGTAAGGGCCCATTGGAATTGTGTAGCTACAACAATTAGGGGTTCAGGAGAGTGGGTTGGGGCCCATTGGAATTGTGTAGCTACAACAATTAGGGGTTCATGACAATGGGTTGGGGCCCACTGGAATTGTGTAGGTACAACTATTAGGGGTTCAGGACAATGGGTTGGGGCCCATTGGAATTGTGTAGCTACAACAATTAGGGGTTCAGGACAATGGGTTGGGGCCCACTGGAATTGTGTAGCTACAACAATTAGGGGTTCAGGACAATGGGTTGGGGCCCATTGGAATTGCATGTGTCTCAGAATCCCATACCTATTATGCAAGTTCCTCTGGATACAATGTCCAAAGTTCTGCTTTGTGCTCATGGAGTAAAACAGTTTATAAAAAACTTTACTTTTTAGTTTAAAGATAACGTTAAAAACAGCATGTATGGCTGCAATTGTACCTACAAGAATAAATGCTGATAAAATGACCATAACTGTAATGCTTCTGCAAGTTTGTTTGTGTGGATATACGTGTATTTTCTTTTTTACACCACTTGGCATTTGGTGTTTTATTAGAAAGAAGTTGTTTTAAATTGGAAAGTTATTAGGTTGTTATGGCAAATTTCTGTGATGATAAGAATTCAAAGACTATACATGATGCAAAATTATCTACATTGTACCTCCAAATTTTATATTACAATGTACAGTGTATGCGTTAATTTGATAATCAAAGATGTAATATATTTTATTGAGATCAAACATTTGGTTATTACTACTGGTATTATCTTATTGAGGAGCACTCTGGTACCCTCGAAGTTGCTTTTAACCAATACAGTGTATTGTGATATAATATGAGTTGAATTTAAACTTTTATGTGAACAGTTTTATATGATGCTTTCTGTATTAAGATTCCACATATTTTTTGTACATTGGTGTGAATTCAGGAATCTTTTGAGTCATATGCTTTTATGCTTTTGTAGTAAAGCATTTGACTTTTTTGACATTCTCCTTTGGACATTCTCTTAATTTTATTCATCTCTCTATCTTAAGTTACATGTTGCCAGCAGCTGTGTCAAGATTATATGATAATAATAAATGCCTGAACCTAGCTAGTATATGAACATGCAATAAATCCTGATTGATGAATTGTCATTTAGAGATTTGTTTAGTTTTCTTGAATTTCTGAAATAAAACTATGTATAAAATTTAAAGAAGTCAATAGAGTAATGAGTGTTCACATTTTAATGTGGATTTTATTTTTTGTAATAAAATTTCAAGTACCCTGGTAATGATCTCATTGTTTTCATTTACAGTGTGAATTGAATGGTGATAATGAATGATGAAAAATTAAAAAAAAAATCATGAAAAGTAAAACCAAATAGTAGACCAAAAAATAAAAAGACATTCTGAAGACAGGTGGCTTGTAAAAAAAATCTCTTCACAATGTTGTTTTGAAAGATGATGCTTTTATATACCTCTAACTTACAGTTTTGACCATTGTAACACTGTACTGTATAAGGTTGGGATATAATGATTTCCTTTAGGTATACCTCAATTCATGCATTCACACAAGTCTGTCCTGTCTATAGAATTTTTTGCATCAAATCTTTGCATTAAATTGATATAGCAAAATACATTTAAATTTCTGAGGTTAAAAAATTGTTATATGATTCAGCAGGATTTTTTAAATTAAGAATTTTACAAATACATGTATTACTGTTAGGTTTCATAAAAATAATGAACTCTCTCCATGCAGTCCTTGCTAGTAAAGTAATGTACCATTTTAATAAAAAGTCATTCACTGTTTTCAGATTTTTGTTGTTACAGTGATAAAGATGAGGATCACCAGTTCTGTCATTTATTTACAAATTTTGTACAAGAAATGGATTGATGTCACATGCACAATGTACTTGTACTCTTCCCACTGAAAATTTTCTGATGAGATGTTCTTAATCTAAATTATAATACCGTCAAATGTTCTTAGATAAAAAATCACCATACATTACCAGGAGTTTTGAACAGATATCAAATGATGAAAATCCTTGTGTTTTTTTAAAAAGAAAAATATAATTTTAGCTGGTATTTCCTCAAAATTTGATATAGAAATGGTTCACAGCATTAGCAGGCATCATAGAATCATTCAAAGATCCTCCAATAATTGAAACTCTTAAATTATACTAGGAATAAGAAAATAAAAGTTCAAAACTATGTTGCATATGTCCTCAGGTGTTAATATATAAATACTGCATGTAGTTGAGGGTAACACTGAAAATTTTCACCCCAAGAAACCGAGGAGCAGCACATTACAAAGATTTGTAATGTGCATGAATCTTAACATCTACTTTTGTTAAAATTAACTCTGATATAAATTATAAACAATTCATTTATGAAAAAAAAAATTACTGCAAATCCTCTCACTGATATTAATTAATTGTATATTGAAATAAAAAAGGTTTCTAATTGGTCTTAGATTTAGTAAATGTATAGTTTTAGTAAGCAAGGGTGCTTAGTTATAGTAAGCAAGGGTGCTTCTTTCAAAATTGTGAAATTTGTGACCCAAGGGTCAGCTAGGGTTTCTGGTGTTTGGGGGCCTCTATTCATTATATAGTGAAAGTGCATTATCTCTGAAAAAGTCTCTGCTTCTGGGTATTAAGCAAACAAAGTAAGTGTATAGTGATGATGAGCAAGGGTGTCTCTTCCAAAGTTGTAAATTTCATGGCCCCTGGGTCAGGGGTTTTGATGTTGGGTAGGACTCTCTATAGATCAGATATTGAGAATGCATTTAAATTCTCTAAATATCTGACTTCTCTGCTCCTGGGTTTTTAGGAGACAAACTTATTGCATGGTTATGATGAGCAAGAATGCTTCTTCCAAAATTATTAATTTCATATCCCCTGCATTTTCTAATAGTGTTCAAGCACTATTGTTTAGTTTGGTCAGAATGGTGATAGCGACTTACTGGGGCAAGTACAGGCAAGTAAACAGAACAACTTTAAGATTTGTTATTGAGTAGCAGACTAACTATTTTGTTGACCCCTGATCATCTTATTTTTCTTGCTTTTGGGCAGCATAACTTCATCTATGTTATTTTTTTTTTATTGTTATACCCTGGGAAACAAAGTTGGGGGTATATAGGAATCACCTTGTCAGTCTGTCTGTGCAATCTTATCCGGGCTATAACTTTGTAATGGAGAAACATTGTAAGCCCATACTTGGTACAGAGATTGTTTATGACCCCAGAATGTGTCATGACCTTAATGCAAGGTCATTTTTGGCAAGTTCAAGGTCACTGACAGAAAAAGTACTTAGTACAAAGATTGTTTATGACCTAAGGGTGTGTCTTGACCAAAATTCATTCAGGCAAGTTCAAGGTCACTGATGGAAAAAGTATAGAATTCTTGTTGGGACTATAACATTGTAATAGAGAATCATTGGAATCTCATACTTAGTACAGCGATTGTTAATGACCTAAGGATGTGTCTTGACCTTGACCAAATGTCATTCTTGCAAGTTAAAGTTCAGTGGCAGAAAAGGCATAAATTCTTAATCATTGGAAGCTCATACTTAGTACAAAAATTGTTTATGACCTGAGTGTGTGTCATAACAGTGGCAAATTCAAGGTCATTGATATAAAAAAAGTAAAAATTCATGTCGGGTGTAATTAATTTTCTAATGGAAAAATATTGGATGTCCATAGTTCATGAAAAGATTACTTATGAGCAGAGGATATGTAATTTTTTTAATCCAAGTCTTTTGGCAAGTTCAATGTCACATTTGCAAAATTTGAATGGGCACTTTAAAAAAAAGCAGCAGGAGGTATTACTTTGTGAGCTCGTCCACAGCAACTCCAGTTTTATACTTCTATATTGGATCAATTAATTACAATGTTTTATTACACTCAGGTTACCGTTAAGGCCCTTGGGCCTCTTTTTTCTTTTTTGCCCATCTTGACACATTTGGATTAGGGTCTATACCTATGCAGAGTTGTCTTCGTTCCTCTCTCCTGTCTGATATTAGCGGTGGTAGAGAGCGAAAAACGAATATTTTGTCGAACGACATAATATTGAAAGTGGGCGGAGTTTGATTAATTACGTAATTTTACCTCCCCCATGTTTCAGCATGTGACACTCTTAAAATGTATTGTATGTGCTTGTAAACAGAAATGGTGAAAGGAGAAACAAACTTTGTGATGAGGAGAGTGACCAGACTGCAAGAGAATGAATGAAATTAAGTGATAAGTTGCTCGATCTATACGATGTTCACCACGGTGGTCGTTTTGTTATTAATGTTATCGAGTGCACACTGTTTCAGAAAATGCGATCAGATGGTAACTAAAAAAGATTTGAATTCGGGTTTAATAAAGATAGCCGAGAAGCCTGTAGCATCAGATGAGCATGATGGTAAGTGTGAGAACATATTGTTAATTGTTCAAACAGTTGCATTGTACCACAGGGTACAATTTTATATACAGTAGTAAGGGGTACATGTAACTATTTAAAGAAGGCAAATATTTCGTGACAATTTCCACATGACCAGTAGTGATTAAATCATTATGTCAGTTGCTGAAGTTGGTAAAGTGAGGACCAGATGTTATCATGGTTTACCAAGAGATGTGAGACTGAGTTTTATTTAATATTCACTTCTTATACATATGTTATTTAAAAAAAAAAGTGTCTCGAGACACCATTTTATGATATAAAAAATCATTTTATTAAAAGAAAACAATGTTTTATGTCAAAAAATAATTCTTGATATCAAGAACTTAAATTTTTAATACTATATCAGAAAATCATTCTATTGATGATGTCAGAAAAAAAATCCTGTTATAATATTACAAATTAATTTTTTTATCAGGAAATATGTGCCAATCATACATGTAATAGAACAAACTTATAATCCCTGGGATATTATTTCTCTCTGTCATTTCCTAATCTTGCATTGAGGACAGTATATTGAACTTATACTGCCTCACTAATAAACTATAGCTTTTCTAGTAATGCAGTACGTACGTAGAGTCTCCCTCAATATTAGGCAAGTATTAAGGAATGGTGAGCCTATATATAGGCTTTGGACTGTTGGATAGGTGACACTTCAATGTTACAAAGTTTGTGGCTGCATAGGGACTTTCATCTCCACAATGTCAAGGTTTTGTGATATTGTTTTTTCATAAAAGTTGCTATTTAAAAGTTGGGCTAGAAAGCTACTACTTCATTTGTTCCTGATCTAGGACTGAAACCAATCAGAAAAAACCTAGTAAGTTTTGTAAACGAATATGACTTGTCTTTAAAATGGAAAATTAAGTGCCAATATTGTCAGAATTGTGACTAGTTACCTCAAATAAAATATCGGAGAATAATTTTTGGAAGATCATTCTCGTTACAATCACAAAAAATGAGCTATGGCTTTGAGCCATTTGAACACACTGGATTTGAAAGATATATTCTCATTGGTTGGTTTAAATTAACCATTACCTTGTATAACCACAAGCCCACCTTTCAAATAATGACTTTTGTCAAGGGTTTGTGAAGAGGAAAGATATCACAAAACCTTGACATTGTGAAGATGAGTGACTCTGGTCAGTGGTGTTTGGCGACCTAGTTCAGGAAGCTCTAGAGCTAGGATTTAGTGTCCATTTACAGACTGTGGATGGCATGGTTTGCCGCTACTAGAGAGGTTTCAGTCCTGCTTCGAGAGGCTCTAGGGGTAAGACTTTATGTCCATGTATAGACTTAGTGTCCCTGGATGGCATTGGTTGCTGTTACTGAAGAGGTCCCTGTCCTGTCACTCAGAGAAAATCCATATGCTAAGCTTCGGGTCGAAGCTTCTTTGAGCAGGGGAAAGTGTAGCAGGCAGTATATAGTTCACCAAACTTCATACAAACATGAGTGTCCATTTAAAAGAACTACTGTATTCAGCCTATGTCACTCTTTTTCATAAAATTTTGGTCACTGAATAGCATTTTCAAAAACTCACTACATGTTCTATCTGCATTTAATAGTTGTTGTTTAGTTGTTGTTGTTTTTCTTTTGGAGGAGGAAGGAATGCTGGAGAATAGCTTTGTTATATGCTCTATCTCTGAATACATGTACTTAATTTCCTAAACAAACTAGCTCATTTAGAATTTAACTACCTGCAATATTCCTAATAAATATGAATATTTATTTTTTGTAATCAGTACCTTTGATTAAAATACTACTTTGTATACTTACATACAGAAGAGAATTTCAAAGTTGATGTGTCAAACACAGGACCTGCTGTCATTTGGTCAGAGATCGATTTTCTTGCCGAGCTGTCTGCAGAATCTGTGGTCATCAATAAAAAGGAATTCCTGTACCATTGGATGAATGACGCTGACTATACTGACATACTGGAGACAACAGACAACTACAGAAGCAATATATCATCCTATATGTTTGACTCGGAACTCATCTTGCCAAACAAATACCAAATGAAAGTCTGTGTTTACAGACAGCATAAAGAAAACATAAGGGTTTACAGAAAGATTGCAGAGAACCATACTATATTTGAATTAACAGGTACTCAGCTGACAAAGCTCCCAATTTCTCCCATCAATGATGATAATCAGTGCATTTTTAGGTTAAATTGATTTTATTTTATTTTCAGCATCATTGAATGGAAAAGCTCACATTTTTCAAAATGTCACCCATGTAAATACTACCCAAGGCATATTTTCTACAAAAAGAATAATACAGCATAGTGTGAACTTAACTGACAAGTTTTCTTCGGCACATACGTACTGGTTTGAATGGTTCATAGATGGCCAGCGTGTGGAAACCAAAGAAAATGTCAATTTTTTTGAATTTATCCACAACAGAACTGGAATGTGTAACATTCGGGTACAAGTCACCATGGATTTAGTTGATGCACAGAAAAAACTAAAGGGAACCTGGTCCAAATCTATTTATTTGGAGGGTGAGTAGTGCTTATTAACAATTCAGTCTATAAGTTGCTCTACAGCCTGTGTTTATGCAGTGGTTAAGTGTTTAACTTTTTTTGTTCACTAAGTGTTCACTATTATTATTATAAAATTCATATAGCGCTAAATATAATTAAAATTACTCTAAAGTACTTGAAAATATATATAAAAATATACAATAATTAACACATAATTAAGAATCTGAAATAGACATAGATATTTAAAATAGACATAGATATTTAAAAATAATAATAATAAAATGATAAAAATTATTTAAAAATTAGATCCTAAAGTAGCTATAACTATATACATTATTGAATTGGGAGAAATAACCTTAAAACATAAAATAGAATATTAAACAGAGTCCATAAAGTATGTGTATAAACAAGAACATAAAATTTTAAATAGTTACTATATTAATAATGAAATGCCATTTTAAACAGGTGAGTCTTAAGACACTTTTTAAAACTATGTAAATTTTGTTTATGTCTCAAATCTGCCAGTAAGTTGTTTCCTTATTGTTCTCTGTTTTTTTTTTTAAATCATTTTAAAAGCTCGTTAGAAAATGGCCTTTGGATGTAAGAGTCCGAGGTATATAAGGAGCTTAGGGACGTTAACCAAGGCTCTTACTTGCAGGAGTATTTGTTCTCCATTCACTCACTGTACCCTCTCCATTCACTCATTGTGCCCTCTCCATTCACTCACTGTACCCTCTCCATTCACTCATTTTATCCTCTCCATTCACTCATTGTACCCTCTCCATTCACTCATTATACCCTCTCCATTCACTCATTGTACCCTCTCCATTCACTCATTGTACCCTCTCCATTCACTCATTGTACCCTAATCCATTCACTTATTGTACCCTCTCCATTCACTCATTGTATCCTCTCCATTCACTCACTGTACCCTAATCCATTCACTCACTGTACCCTCTCCATTCACTCATTGTACCCTCTCCATTCACTCACTGTACCCTCTCCATTCACTCATTGTACCCTCTCCATTCACTCATTGTACCCTCTCCATTCACTCATTGTATCCTCTTCATTCACTCACTGTACCCTCTCCATTCACTCATTGTATCCTCTCCATTCACTCATTGTATCCTCTCCATTCACTCATTGTACCCTCTCCATTCACTCATTTTATCCTCTCCATTCACTCACTGTACCCCCTCCATTCAGTCACTGTACCCTCTCCATTCAGTCACTGTACCCTCTCATTTACTCATTGTACCCTCTCCATTCACTCATTGTACCTTCTCCATTCACTCACTGTACCCTTTCCATTCACTCATTGTACCCTCTCCATTAACTCACTGTACCCTCTCCATTCACTCATTATACCCTTTCCTTTCACTCACTGTACCCTCTCCATTCACTCATTGTACCCTAATCCATTCACTCATTGTTCCCTCTCCATTCACTCATTGTACCCTAATCCATTCACTTATTGTACCCTCTCCATTCACTCACTGTACCCTCTCCATTCACTCATTGTACCCTCTCCATTCACTCATTTTATCCTCTCCATTCACTCACTGTACCCCCTCCATTCAGTCACTGTACCCTCTCATTTACTCATTGTACCCTCTCCATTCACTCATTGTACCCTCTCCATTCACTCACTGTACCCTCTCCATTCACTCTTTGTACCCTCTCCATTCACTCATTGTATCCTCTCCATTCACTCATTGTACCCTCTCCATTCACTCATTTTATCCTCTCCATTCACTCACTGTACCCCCTCCATTCAGTCACTGTAACCTCTCCATTCAATCACTGTACCCTCTCATTTACTCATTGTACCCTCTCCATTCACTCATTGTACCTTCTCCATTCACTCACTGTACCCTCTCCATTCACTCATTGTACCCTAATCCATTCACTCATTGTACACTCTCCATTCACTCATTGTACCCTAATCCATTCACTTATTGTACCCTCTCCATTCACTCACTGTACCCTCTCCATTCACTCATTGTACCCTCTCCATTCACTCATTGATCCTTTCCATTCATTCATTGTACCCTCTCCTTTCACTCATTGTATTCTCTCCACTTAGAGTCAGTAAACTTCTCATGGATTGTGCCTCTATAGTTCTAAAACTGTAGTGTATTCCCCAATGGTTTATGTTTCCTCTGATATTAAGTGTTAAATGTGTCTTAAAATCTCTAGGATTTCTTGACCTAAAATATGTGCATTCAGTTAAAGCAAAATCATCATTACCTTCATTTCCGTTGATGATTTCATCATGGAAAACACATCACACTAGTCTACTGCTCAGGAACTTATGACTTTTGATATTTCACTATTATTAAAAAAAATTGCTTTGTTTTAAAATGTTTTTTTATTTTTATTTTTGGTTGTTTTTTTTCATTGCTCTTCACAAAATGAATTATTGAGATTTTGAACTCTTTGATATAATCATGTTCACATAAATATCTCTAGATGTCACAAAGCAGAGTTTTATGGTTATAAGAGAAAAAAAATATATTGAGAGTTTTCCTAGCTCATATTATTTGCTATAGTTGAAATGGGTAGATTTTTCAACATTAGTTTAACTTATTGGACAACTTATTGGAGTTAGCAAAACTAAATGAACTGAAGCAGAACCATAACCGTAATCTTCATAGCATTATGGGGAAAGCTCATTGTCAAAACAAAAAATGTTTGAATATTAAAGATACAAAATGTCATACAATTCACTCTGACAGTATGCTACCTTCAAAAGTTGTACATGTTCCAGAATTCAATAACTGCTTTCATCTTATAGCCATTACAAATTTCATTTCATCTTATATCCTTTTGTAATTAATTTTATATAAAGTTGCTTTTCTTTTTTATGGCATCGAGCTCTTGAGCTCGAATGCCATTTAGTGGGCAACCAAACTTTACGCGACCAAATGTGTCAGTCCATACATCCGCAAAAGAAAATAGCAATAACAATCGACTTTTTTGAAAATATTCACAGTGAATAATAGCTTGAAAATAAAATTGCATCAATTATATCTACAAATAATTTGTCATATAACAAAGATACCCTGTTTTAATTTTTATTTTCACACAAGAAAAACGTGACAGTTCTTGCGGATGAATTTCTAAAGAAAGGCTGTGTTGAATTACATGAATAACATTTACAAAGGAGAACCATGTAAACACAAACAACTTATATTAATAGGCGGTAAAATAACCACAATATTAAATTAACACGAATGCTAGAAGACTAAAAGGATTGAATTTCCAAATGTAAACCTTACTATTACAATCTTATAACCAATTTTTTTCATAAAAACTGAAGCTATTACTGTATTTCACTATTTCTTCCATATCGCATTTTACCGTATAGGCCTACCAGTACCACGCCCGATCATATCTCGATCGTAGTCGTAACAGAGCGAGTTACGGTTGTTGTTTAGATGCACTAAAACAATGCTTAGACATTGACAATTAGAATAATATTCATAAAATCCTTGATATTTCTTTAGTTGATTGAAAAGATGAGTTTGATATCCAGCATGAACATGTTCGACAGTGTCTAGTCAATTCGAACCCTGCTCTATTCGGACCATGGCATAATGCCCCAGACTGTAAATTCGACATTTTGTTTTAAAAAAACTTAACATTTTCATTAGTCAATTACATGTATTTGACCTACTGCTATCTTTAAATTAAAAAAAATGTTTTGAAATTGTTTTTCGTGTTCGATGCCATTGAAGCCTTTCAGGCTTTTGATTTTCTGTATGAGAAGTACCCAATTTAACTAAGATTGAAATCCATGATTTGGAGGATGGGGCTTTATCAGATGTTAAGCCATGTGCCAGTATATTATGCAGTCCCACTATCTTATGAAATTATACAGTTACATCAAAACAATGAACATCTAGTATCTACCAGTATTTATCAAGCTTGGCCTTTATTTATATAGATAACCTTGTATCCTGTTGACCCTGTATGTGTTAATGTGAATCATAATACATTGTAACAATAATCTAATATGTACATATCTACATGTACATTGACCTATAGGTATATGTGGAGTGCCAAAATTAACATAAACTCATTTAGTTGAAGTTTTCATTGAATACTTGAAGATACACAGGAATTCAATGTTCAAATTCTCCTTCCTGTGTCTCTACTGAGGAAAGATCAACATGACAAGAAAAAAATCATATTTGTACCACTGAGAATCAATCCCGGTACCTTCATCTTACTAACTAAGCTATCAAAGCTGTTGACAGTCGATAAATTTTTAAATTTACTTTTTAACACTTTACTCGCCTTACTCTCTCTCTCTCTCTCTCTATACATATATATAATTAAAATTACTACTAATATGTTAAATATATATATATTACTGTGTATCTTTTATATATTTTTTATTACATATTAACAAACAATACCATTTAAAAAGGTGGATTTTAAGTGGGTTAATATACTCGTAGTGCTCCATTCCTTAAAAGCAATTTAAGGAATGGAGCGCTACTCATACATTAACCCTAACATATTGTCATTTATGTTGTCAGTACAAAGAGGTTATTAATAGGTTAAATACCAATAGATAATTATTTTATCTTTCATTGATATGGGTTTACATTGAAACCTTTGAGATAGTACGTGTAGTATATTCACAGTAAATGTTTATCTTTTACAGATGAGATACAGTATGTGAACATCCTATCTAGTTCAGAGACCATTATTGGAGAACCTATTAAACTCAATATCACCTTTGATGGCAGGTTATTATCCCTTTTTTTCTTGTTAGCTCACCTGAGCTGATAGCTCATGTGAGCTTTTCTGGTCATATTTTGTCCAGTGTCCATCTGTCTGTCTGTAAACTTTTTACATCATTTTTAGCTCACCTGAGCCGAAGGCTAAAGTGAGCTTTTCTGATCACATTTTGTCCGTCGTCCGTCTGTCCGTCTGTCTGTCCGTCTGTCTGTCTGTCTGTCCGTCCGTCTGTAAACTTTTCACATTTTTGACTTCTTCTCAAGAACCACTGGGCCAATTTTGACCAAACTTGGTACAAAGCATCCTTGGTTGAAGGGGAATTTAAATTGTTAAAATGAAGGGCCAAGTCCCCTCACAAGGGGAGATAATCAAGAGAAGACAAAAATAGGGTGGGGTCATTAAAAAATCTTCTTCTCAAGAACCACAGGGCCAGTAAAGCTGAAACTTATATGGAAGCATCCTGGGGTAGTGTAGATTCTAAATTGTTCAAATCATGACCCCCGGGGGTAGGGCAGGGCCACAATGTGGAATCAATGTTTTACATAGAAATATATAGGAAAAATCTTTAAAAATCTTCTTCTCAAGAACCACTGGGCCAGAAAAGCTGAAACTTATGTGGAAGCATCCTGGGGTAGTGTAGATTTTAAATTGTTCAAATCATGGCCCCGGGGGTAGGGCGGGGCCACAATAGGGAATCAAAGTTTTACGTTGAAATATATAGGCAAAATCTTTGAAAATCTTCTTCTTAAGAACCACTGGGCCAGAAAAGCTGAAACTTATGTGGAAGCATCCTGGGGTAGTGTAGATTTTAAATTGTTCAAATCATGGCCCCGGGGGTAGGGCGGGGCCACAATAGGGAATCAAAGTTTTACGTTGAAATATATAGGCAAAATCTTTGAAAATCTTCTTCTTAAGAACCACTGGGCCAGAAAAGCTGAAACTTATGTGGAAGCATCCTTGGGTAGTGAAGATTCTAAATTGTTCAAATCATAGCCCCCAGGGGTAGGGCGGGGCCACAATAAATATTACAAAGGGGAGGTCTTGTGAAGAACAGCAGGGCAAAAGTAACTCAGGTGAGCGTTCTGGCCCATGGGCCTCTTGTTCAACTTCTTCTCAAGAACCACTGGAACAATTTCAACCAAACTTGCCACAAAGCATCCTTGGGTGAAGAAGATTCAAGATGGGTATGGGAGTATTCTCTGGTATTGTAGATTCAGAATGTTTAATTAACATCTGGCCTAAGGCTGTGGCCACAAATAAGAGATCAAAGTTTTACACAGGAACATATAGGGAAAAAATACTTAGAAATCTTCTTCTCAAGAACAGCCAAGCTATGATAAGTCATATTAATATTGAAGCATCATCAGGTAGTTAAGATTAAAATTTGTTGAAATTATGGCCCCTGGGGATAGGAAGGGTCCACAATAGGAGATTAAGTGTTAAAAATATTTTTAAAAATCTTCCTCTTATAAACTGCTAAGCCATGATTAGTCATATTGGTGTGAAAGCATTCTCAAGTAGTTTTGATTCAAGTTTGTTCAGATTAGGGCCCCCAGGAATAGGTTGAGGCTATAATAGGGGATCAAAGTTTTACACAGGAGTATGTAGGAAGAAATCTTCTCAAGAATGGCAAGGTCACACTAAATCATATTAATTAATGAACAGAACACTCTTACGTATAAGTTGTGTGGATTCATTTTTAATTATGAACTCTGGTGTTAGGGTTCGGCTAAAATCAGAAATTCTGCATAGTGCATGTGTACAGGAAGAAAAATTTCCAGAACAGCAGGGCCATGTTAATCATATTGATATTGAGGCATCCCAATGTTGTGTTGATTCAACTTTGATTAAGTAATAGCTAGGGATGGGTATCGGCAAAAATTTCGTATCGTGATATATCACGATTTTTTCCCAAAAATATCACAATAAATCGTAATATTTTTACACACAATTTTTACTACAATTTCAAATGAATTTCCATAACATTTTTTAAAATATGCTATAAAAACATAACTTTACTTATTAAATTTTCATTTATTTAATATAAAGCATATTTTGATGCCGTTGTTTAACTGTTTTCAACCTTTTTTACACTTCCTATAATTGTCATTCAATAGTTTGAACAAATAAATGAATAATTTCTGGAATTTATAGGTATGTACCAAATACCGGTATTTTAGTCTCCGTATCACGATACGTATCACGCAGTGAAAAATCGCGATATACCGGTATACCGATAAAATCGTGCATCCCTAGTAATAGCCCCCATAGGGCTAAGTTTTTGTACTGCACAAAATATGGAGTCAGAATTTTTATGAAATTAAACAGGAGATTCTTTTTTAAACAAACAGCAGGACCATAGTGACTCAGGTGAGTGCTGTGGTCCATGGGTCCCTTTGTGAAGTGTAATTAACTAGTAAGAATTTCATTCATATATATATATTTTATGAATTATAACTCTTTCTAAACATCATCTTAGTGGGAAGTGTTTGGTGTTTTGTTGATAGTGACTCCTTAATGGTAACCACTTCCTGTATTTTTTTTTAATCTAGCGAAGTCATTGTATGTTGGAGGATATTGGATCTCAACAACAGTACAGTACACAACAGGTCATGTGATGAGCCCAAATCCAGGGGCTGGTTCCTCACCCCCGGGATTGTTCTGTCCCCAGGGCAATACATTGCAGAGGTCACTGTTACTAATGATGTCAGCTCTATCAGCCGTCAGAGTCAGGTCATGTCAGTATATAATGGTGGTAAGTGATCTAGTAGTCACATGGGACACATCAAGATAACCCTCTGGAATATGGAAAGCAAGAGGGTTCAAGACTCCTGGGCCCAGTTTTACAAAAGAAGTTATGACTAAAACCAGAATTTAATCCTGATCATAACTTTCTAATTTACACTAACACCCACATTTGAAAAATATGTGTTCAGAAAGAATTACAGAGTTTGAATTTTGAACCTGTTGGCTTTCCATACTGGAACAAAATTGTATGATGTGTATACTTGAGGAATCACTGTCTAGTTAGTAGAGTATGCCAGGGCATCAACGATAGTTGGAAACGTGGGATAATTTGCATAACGGGCGTTTCATTCATTGTGAAATAAAATTGTAAATTTAGATTTTAAAAATGTAGACTAATAGATTTAAATTACACGAGGCCTCACATGTCAATTTCAATAGTCCCCGCCCACTGACGTCAAACACAAAGACAGCCCGCAAGATTTACATGCATATTAGGCCTCCTTAGCGTCAGACACAAAGACAGGCTCACGAGAATTACATGCATATTAGGCCTTCTTAGCTCCTGACCTTTCGCTTGGCGAAATTTACATTCCGGTAGAATGATCAAGAAATCAATTCAACTAACTTTCAAAGAGTTATCAATGAGAAAACAAATAGAAATGGAAATATATGTACACATATTTCATAGAATTTTGGCGATTATTGTTTGTATTTCCCAGGAACAGGATCTTCTTCACCATTAGCTGTGCCAGTTATCTTCAGCATGCTGGGTCTGATTGTCATCATAGCTGCCGCTGCATACTTTGTAAGACTGAAGAAGAAAAGGGATGTAGAAGTGGCAGACTTTGACTTCCATCCGGAGATTCAGTCAACAGGTTCCAGAATATTTAACAAAATAAAGGGGAGTGTTACAGACTTTTTCCAAAGAAATGATTATCTAAATAGACACAGACTTGCCAGATATCACCAGACATCTGCAAAATCTTATGGTTCTTTGGAAGACTCCAATGAACACTTATGAACAGTGTTTTTATATTTTTTTGTTAAAAAAATGGAAGAAAACTCCTGCACAAATATTACCATTGAAACATTTTATTTATTAGAGTTGAGTTTTATAACTGTTTTTGTTCATTGTTCACTTTTTACATGAGAGAGAGAGAAAAAAAAGAAAAACCAAAGGGACAATATTTTATAACCGTCTTAAAATATTATTAAAATAGAAAAAATGAGGCCAAGCCCCAAATGTCTAATAACCCTTACCTTTTTGTATATTTGTGCTTGGTTATTTTTTTTTAATTTGATTCCCTGTCATTTTCAATTAAAAAAAGATAAGTTTATCATATTTCTGTTTTCAAGCATTTGTCTGTAAACTTGTATAGTAATACATAATTTTACCAAATAAATGATAAAGATAAAGTTTCAGCATTAATTTTGAATGTATTGTGAACTTATATACTTATTCAAATTGTAGGTATGTTGTTTATTTATGTCATGAGATTATATATTAGATACACAAATTTACTGTGATATAAGATTTCATTTGTGCACAACATCCAAGTTTCTATACATTTTGTCTCTGCATGTGCAATAATACATACATACATTTATAATTCTTAACATTGCCATAGACAAATTCTTTAAATTTGTTGTTAATTAAATGTCTTACTGTACTGAACCACAAAGGAATATATGTTGGTCATAAATATTTTTGTAAGAATGTTTTGTTAATGTGCAATGCAACTCTTGTATTTATGAAGATGATATAAAAATCTTAAATATATACAATGTATTGGGTTGATTTTTACCTGTACATGTCATCCTCCTACAGATTTTTTCTGATATCAATAAAACTTAGTACAGAAGAAACTACACAAATTTACATATTTCTGTGTATTGGATTCTGATTTCAACTAATATTGCAATGGTTTATGAAAATAATGAAAATTTTTATACACCCCCCCCCCCCTCCTGGCCTGCAAATGAAGTTTAGGGAAGATATGTTGGGTATGTTGGAATCAGTATGTTGTCTGTCTGACCATATCTGTAGACATGATTTTGTCTGGACACATTTTTAGAGACTACTGCATGGATTTGTTTGAAAATTTGTACACTCCTTATTTGCAGGAAAAAGAAATGCACCTGGTATTATCATCATGATTGGATAACTTTTTAAAATTTTATTGATTTTATGAACTTTTTCATTTTTTAGCTCACCTGAGCTGAAAGTACATAAGCTTGTCTGATCATATTTTGTCCATCTGCTTTTAAACTTTTAACGTTTTATATAGCATCTATGGCTAAAGGAGAACAAAAATTGTTGATTTCATGGTCTCTGCATCCCCATTGGGCCTGTGAGGTGCGGCCAAAACCATCAAAATCCATGCAATCTTTTAAAAAACCTCTTTACTCCAGGACATCAAGCATTCAAACTGTTGGCTTGGTTAATTGATTATAATGAGGCTTTTACCAAAATTGTGAAATTCATGGCCCCAGGTTGCAGGGGTTCTATTGGTCATATGTAGTGAGAATGCATAAATTCATTAAATTAAAACCTTTTCTCCCCCCTGTATATTAAGCAGACAAATTAAGTGCATGGTTATAATGAGCAAGAATACCTCTTCCAAAATTGTGAAATTCATGGCCCTAGAGCCAGGGGATCATTTGTTAGGACAGGGCTTTGTTGAAAATAAGGAGAAAATTTGCATCTTCATATTTCAAGTTTGTTCAAATGGCTGCCATAGGTATGAGGGTTGGGTCACACTAGAGAACCAAAGTTTAATTTAACAAGGAAATATACATATAGGAAATAATTTTTAGAAATCTTCATTTAATTTTGCCTGCAGGGCAGGATTGCCATACAGGGAAATATGTACCAAAAGATTCTTTGATAAAAAAATCCTTTTCTCAAGATCTGAGTGAGTAGAGTCATGATAGTTAATTGTATTATAAATATGCAAGCCTCTTAATTCATGTAATGCACATTCAAGTTTTTATAAACCATGGGGTCAAAACTTTTTCTAAATATGTGGAGGGAAAAAGTCTTCTCAGAAAAAAATCTTTCAAAAATGAACACTGTCATTGTCTCAGGTGAGCATTCTGGTCCATGGGTCTCTTGTTTCTTCATGAAGTGTAAAAAGAAATATCTTTACTCATTAAACACCCTAGTTATAAATTAAGAATTTTTTTAATTCATTATATGAGGTAAACAAACTAGAATGCGTTATTAACAATCTGAAATGGTCTTGGCGCAAATAACCTAGCCACCGTTTCCACTTTCGTTTTCTTTCAAAATGGGTGGTGTGGACATCGTTAGCCTCGCATACTCTGTGACAGTGGCAGCAGGAGGCCTGATGGGATATGTTAAAGCAGGTGTGTATATCTTGAACTGTTTGTAGTAATATTCAAACAACAGATCCTACTGTAGGTGCTTGCTATCTACTGCATATTGATTGCTCCTTCGTCCATGTGTTCATTGAAAATAATTTTTAGCTCACCTTTACCGAAGGCCCGTATGAACTTTTCTGATAGAAGTCTGTCATCTCTGAGTCTGTTTGTCTATTTATTTTTCACAAATTCAACTTCTTCTCAAGAACCACAGTTCTAAACTAATTTCTACCAATATTTGGCTTAAATATGTTAAACGTGTTAAAGCAGGATGCATGCATACACATGATGCATGCAATATTCAACAGGTCCAGCACAATCTCTTGATTTAGTTACTGTATGTGTACTTAAAAAAGTGGGATTCATATTTTAGCGGCTTTGACAACAATGCGCTAATTCATAAATACTGCTTTAATCATTTATTAATGCAATATACGTGGCACGTTAGTGTGTAGCGCTAATTCATGAATATGCCAACAACTCAATACCCAGTGATTGCGCTAAATTTTAAATATGCCAATTTATGTACTCGTACAGTATACAGCTTTATTGAGCTGTTCAAAATAGCTTGATAAAGCTATTCATTTGCAGTTTTTCACAAAAATTGGGTTTTTTTTGGTAAGACATATAGACAAAACATCGCAAGTATTTGACTATTTATATATGTACTATGGACTATCAAAAAAGCAACCAATATCAATGATGTCTAACATGGTGCGTATCATTACCGCTACATTTTTAAAATTGTCATTACCATGATTACAGCTATATACTCATTACCACTACAAAAAAGGTTACATTACTACTAAAGTATACATTACCACTACATTGCCTCTTTTGTTAGCCAGATCAGGCTAATGCATGTACAGATTGATTTAAAGTACAACAAATATATGCATAAGACCTGTTTCTCCTGCTCACCAAGGGGACTGGTGAAATAAGACTTTGAGCAGGATGTATTTTTCACTTTTTTATTTAAAATCTATTTTATTTAATAAAACATTATAGAAACTTTTAAAACCGAGAACTGTTCATGGATAAAACACACACTAATAGAAGGCCATTTGCATGGCGTACTGCTGTCTGAAAATCTCACCATTTTCATATTTGGCTTTCAGTTCATTTTTCTGACTCGTATTGTTATTCTCTTTCTGGCCTGTGGGAATCCTGTTTCTGGCAGCATGCATTTTCAAATAAATTTTGGTCTGGACTGATTGAAGCTTTGCTAAAAAGTCAAACATGTAAGGATGAAAACTGTAAAACAATTTGTACTGAATTCTTTCTGAAAGCTTTCACATCCGTTTGTCTGACATGTTTACTCTCTACATCCACATCTACCCAAATTGTCAGTGGGAATGATGATGACTGCTCTATGTAATTCCTCCTGACTTAATCTGCAAACTCAATAGCTTTTTCAGACTTTGATGCTTCGGAGAACACATCAAACGCAAATCACTCTTCAACTTCTTGAGAATCCATTTAGAAACCCAATCCAAAAAAAGATTTTCAGCCACTGTCCCACTGCTAAATCAAACTTTATAGCTATTTAATCAAGAGATTGTGCTGGACCTGTTAATTTTGTTCAAATCATAATACCCAGGGTTAGGGTATTGCCACAATATGGGAACAAATATATTCTGCATAAGCATAAAAGAAGGGGGTAAATCCTTTAAAGTCTTTTTCTGGAGAACAGCAATACATGTCACAGTTATTGTCAAAGCATTTCCTACAAATGTTAAATATCATGGATAAGGAAGGGAGGTATGAGGAGGATTGAACAAAAATTAAATAGGAATTAGTATACACTTTCTCAATTAAGGACATATGCAACATACCTTACCTACTGATAATTTTTCAAAATATTCTTAATTTAAGATCATAATGCCATCATATGTTCATAGACAAAAAATCAGCATGCATTACCAGGGGTTTTGAAAAGATATCAATTGATGAAAATTCTTGTATAATTTACTAAACATATATTTTAGATGTTTTGTTTATCAAAATTTGTTTTAGAAGAAGAGTACAACAGGATATATAGACATTAAAATCTAGTACACAGTTCCTTTAAGTATTGGAACTCTTCAACACCAGGGAAGAAGGCAATAAAGTTCAAACTACGTTGCGTATGTCCTTAAAGCGTTATGCTGCAATATGTAAACCAGTTTAACCTGATAATAATCAAAGCACATAGAATTGTTTAAGTTTAGAGCCTCAATAAAAGGTTATATTATTTATATTTCATTTGTTATAGAATATAGATTTTCTGTGAAACAGTGATGTCTGCTATGTACCAGTGTATATGTACCTCACTGTTCAGTTTAATGTTTAAATATTAGGGATATTGATCATTTCTGTCACCCTTTAGTGCTGTTAGGAATAAATTGATTCTGACAAGTTTATAAATCATCTTATGATCTTTAGGCATGATTCTCATTTAAGATCAGGTGTTTTGAACAGATTGCCTGAATTAAGTTTACATATACTTGTAAAATGAAATATGTGGCAAAGAAAAGAAGCTTGGAACTGGGATCATTGATCTCTCACTGTTGTTGTAACTGGTTATAGGTGCCTCATCAACCTTGTAACCCTACACTACTATAGAATACCATAAGACTAGGTATCTTCTCCTCAGCCCTATTTTGTAATATCTCAGAGAGGTAAAGATTTTGTTTTTTTAAATTGTTGGTATTAGTCCTATCATATGACCTAATAGGCCTAGGCAAATGACAAATATGTTATACACTTAGGGAAGTTTAATTTTATGGATATACTATATCTCATGATTTTTTATTGTGCAATACACATTGTAATATGTAGACTAAAATATTGGTATTTAGTACATGCATGTAATAAAAAATTCTGGAAATGGTTTTTTTGTTCAAACGTTTTACAATGACCAGAATTATTGTAAAACATTAAAACAACAGCATCTTAGCATCCAAATGTGCCTTATTTAATCAACATATAATAAAAATGAAAAAAAAAGAAGTGAAGTTATATTTTCACAATACATATTTGTTGGAAAAATTATGGAAATTCATTTAAAATCATACAGTGTAGTAAAAATTGCATGTAAAAATATGATATTATCGCAATACAAAATTTTGGTGATAAACATCCGTATTTATACTGTATGGTCTAGTTAGCTATATTTTTTTGTCTCCTCATAATAGGAAGTGTCCCCTCCCTGATGGCTGGTCTGGCATTCGGAAGTCTGATGGGATTTGGTACATACCAGACCTCTATGGACCCACAAAATGTCCACCTATCACTAGGTAAATAAAAATTAACTATTAAAGTTCATATAAATCAAGGAGTTTATTCTAGAGTTATTAAACATTAACTAGAAATATGTCCATAGGACATGAATGCCCTGCCCAAGGTTTATTAGTAATGCAACATGAAAATTTGTATTAGTGTATGAAGTTTGATGAGAATATCTTAAATAGTTTCTATAAAATTGAAATTGAAGTCTAAAAAAAATGGATATAGATGATAAATTCTCACCAAATTATGTACAGTATCAGTGCTTAAGCTTACATAAAAATTTGTAATATAAATGTTTAAAACTGAGCAAAATGCAAATTTAAGAAAAGTGAGGTCAAGGTCATAGGAGAGTTCAAGGTCAAAAGTTTTTGATGCAGTTGAATAGTTCTCACCAATATGTATCAGCATATTAAGTATGATGAAAATATCTTGAATGGTTTCTTTAAAACTTAGCTAAACACTAATTTAAGAAAAGTGAGGTCAAGGTTAAAGCAAAAATATTGATGCAGTTGAATAGGCTACACTAATACGTATCAGCATATGAAGTTTGATAAAATTATCTTGAATAGTTTCTTTGAAAATTGAGTTTTGAACTGAGCTAAATGCAAAGGGTGATGAATGGACAGACGGAAGGATGGAAGAAGGACATGACAGGGTTAGGGTTAGGGGGGGGGGCATAAAAATGCTTTTTTGTAAATCAAATGCTGGGATATTGGGACCCAAGCGGGTTATGTATATTTTTGTTTCAATGATTGCAATGTTAACAAACAAAGAAAGAGTTTTTACTGTATATATCTGTATAAATTATTCCTATAAAGTGTGTGAAAGTATATAAAAGTAGCCTATGTAAAGTATTGTTTTACTGGTCTGTACGTTACATTGATGGAAGAACCCACTTCTTATTGATAAGAAATCTTTCAAACAGATGGCTTTAAAAAACTGGTCCTAGTTAGTTTTTAATGGATGGATAACGGCAATCAATTTTTATAAGAAATAAAGCAAAAATTATTCAGTGGACATAAATATAATTAAATATGATACCGATATATGTAAGGATGTTTTAAAATTCAGATCATAAACTTCTTTATGAATTTAATAATTTACTTCGTTCTTGCCTTATGTACATCTACATGGCTGGAGCTAACATGACAGTAATTAGATGTCACCATTCTGTTGTAATGAGGGGTCTGTTTCAGTGACCAGTGGGGTGCTGACCGGTGTCATGGGTTATAGATTTGTCAACTCAGGGAAGTTCATGCCAGCTGGACTGGTGGCCACACTCAGGTAACAGCCCAGTCTGCTTAAATCTCTGCCATGAATGTTTTATTGTAAGAGTTTATGCATACAGTAAGGAAGTTTGGAACAAGACAACACATACATGGGGAGAGAGATCTGAGGCAGGTACAGGAAAAGAGGAAATATGTACATCCTGTTTACTGAGTGAGAGGGCACAGGAAATTCCATAGTTAAGGGGACATGTGTGAATTAGTATTGTCTTTATGTGAAGTGGTTTAATGTGTACCGTACCTATTTCCAGTAGTACTTTAGCTATAATCATGTTAAACATTTTAATGAATTAAGACTATATGGATCTTTTAAATAAATGGTGTCAACTGATGGTTAGATATTTTATAATTTTTATTTACCCCGCTAGGAATATATGAAGTATAAAATATTTTTATGATGAAAGTTGCTCTAAAATGGGTCAACCTCCAGGTCATTTATTTTATTAAAGAAAGAAACAAGATGTGTTTGTGAAACACTGATGCCCCCATATGGCAGCTCAAGGCCAAGGTTGAAGTTTTTCAAATTTAGGTCAACTCTAAGGTCAATGTCAAGAGTTCAGGAATGTTGGTACCCAGAGAAAGGTCTTGTCACAAGAAATATACATGGAAATATGAAAGCCCTAGTACCAACCTTTTAGAAAATATGGGCAAGGTCAAAGTTTTTCAAAATTAGGTTATACTCCAAGGTCAAAGTCATGAGGTAAAAATATTGGTACCAAAGAAAAAGTCTTGTCAAAAGGAATACAGAAGTGAAATATGAAAGCCTTCACACCAACCTTCAAAATTTATAGGCAATGTTAAGGTTTTTTTCAAATGCAGGTCAATTCTTAAAATCAAGGTCAGGAGGTCAAAAATTTCCAAAGAGTCTTGTCACAAGAAATATACATATGATATATGAAAGCACTAGGACCAACCATGCATAAGTTATGGCCAAGGTTAAAGTTTTTCAAAAGTACATCAAACTCAAATGTCAAGGTCAAAATTGTTTGTACACAAAGAATGGTCTGGTCACATGAATATGCACATGAAATATAAACATGATAAAAGCCCTATCAACCAACTGTTCAAAAGTTATGGCCAAGGTTAAAGTTTGGTAAAATTTTTGCAAAAGAAGGTCAAACTCCAAGGTCAAGGTCAAGAGGTCAAATATGTTGGTACCCAAAGAATACAAGAAATACACATGTAAAATAAGTAAGCCCTAGCACAAACCATTCAGAAGTTAAAAGTTTTGCGAACAAACAGCTAGACATACAGACCAAAAACTATATTCCCCCGAATCTTTAATTGTGGGGGCTTAAAAAAGAGATTTTGGTATATAATGTATTGCCAGTATATTTCAACCCATTTCTCAGAAGCAACTTTCAAATACCTTTTTCCTTGATTTAAACTTGGTACACTCAGTTTGTCTCTTGATTAAATCTTGTGTTGGTACGTAACATTAATTTTCAGTTCTAGGTAATGAAGTGAAATGACACGTAAGGGTCTTTCTTCGTATATCATAACATTTTAAAACACTGACTGAATAATTAATATTGAAGTTTTATACTGCTTTTCAGCATTTTTCAATCAAGCATTTACAAAAAATTTCCTTTTTTCTTTTCCTTTTTTTTTCACAAAGCTTACATAAAGCAAAATCTGTCTCATTATAGTGACAAAATATTCATTTTCTTTGCTGTTGCACCATTCTTTTAAAGGTTATTGCAAGCTAAAGAAATTCAGTTGATACAGAGTGCTGCCATTGAGTAACAATGCTCATCTAGGTATTTTTTTTTTTCAGTTTGTTAATGGTTGCCAGATTTGGATACAGACTTGCCATGAAAAATTAACTCCATCATTCATTTGAAAGGACTCTACACATTAAAGATTATCTGAATCACATGTATGAAAAGTTTGTTTTTAATTGTAATTTCATATGAAAATACTAAATAAATATGTTTCTTTGTTGTGTACAGTCTGATTTCATAGTGATTAACAAGCACTATAGCATCAGTGTTGGGTTTATTAGGGCCCCGCTCTGCGGGTGCCCTATAGTGATCAGTCTGTCTGTCCATCCGTCCGTTCGTTCATCTGTCCATCCGTCCTTCCATCCGTCTGTCCGTCAGACATCTCTTGTCAGGAGCATATCTTCTCTCTCCTTGCCCAATCTGGCTCATACTTCACCCACAGAGTGTCTTTGGGTAAAGGGTGTACAGTGACCTTGAACCATGTTTCAAGGTCTAAGGTCTTGGTCCAATGTGGCTCATACTTCACTCACAGAGTGCCACTGGTCAATGGATGTGCAGTGACCTTTAACAAACTTTTTAGGTCAAGGGTCAATGTCAAAAATAGCCTCTCTGTTTAAATTCTTGTCCGGAGCATATTTTCTCTCTCCTTGGCCCAATCTTGCTCATATTTCACACACAGAGTGCCTTTGGGTAAAGGGCATGCAGTGACCTTGAACCATGTTTCTAGGTCTAAGGTTAAGGTCATAGCAGAATTATATGAAAAATCCTTGTCTGGAACATAACTTCTCTCCCCTTGGTCCAATGTGGCTCATACTTCACTCACATAGTGCCACTGGTCAATGGATGTGCACTGACCTTGTACGAAGTTTCTAGGTCAAGGGTCAAGGTCAAAAATAGCCTCTCTGTTAAAAATCTTCGTTCGGTGCATAATTTCTTTCCCTTAAGTCCAGTCAGCCTCAAACCTTACCAATTGACTTAGGGTACAGAACATTTGTGATTTTCCTTCCATATTTCTGATAAAGGATATGCAACAATTTTCATAGAGGATATGCAGCATTCGTGATTTTTGTGCCATTTTTTGATAGAGGATATGGAGCACTCGTGATTTTCGTGCCACTTTTCGAAGCCCTTTAGACTCAAACAACACATTCCTTAATAGTACACAAATGTTCCTCTTCAAAATAAACCCTTTTCAGCTACCTTACATTTTCATGTTCGTTGCTGAAAGCGGGGCCCTTTGAGATGGCCACCATCTCAATGATATCTAGTTTAAATTTGTTTATACAAAAGGCCCAAGGGCCTTAATGGGCACCTGAGTATAATATAACACTGTAAAGGATCCACAGAAGTATAAGATAAAACAAATAAATTGATAGAAAAATATGTTTGCTAAATACCCAGCAGCAGAGAAGATTTTCAAAGAAATAATGCATTTTCACTATTTAATGAGTTAGCTCTGTCCTAACACCAGAACTCCTGACAAGGGCCATGAATTTCACAATTTTGGAAGAAGCATCCTTGCTTATCATATCCTTGCAATTAGTTTGTATGCTAAATACTCAGCAGAGGATAAGATTTTAAAGAATTTATGCATTTTTACTATATGATCAATAAAACCCCTCCCTGACACCAGAACTTCTTACCCTGGGGCCATAGATTTCACAATTTTGGAAGAGGCACCATTGCTCGTCATAGCCATGCACTCAGTTTGTTTACTTCATATCCAGGAAAAGAGAAAAAGATTTTCAAAAAAAAAAAGATGCATTTTCACCAGATAATCAATAGATCCCTTCGCTAACACTAGAACCCCTGACCTAAGGGCTTTGTATTTCACAAATTTGGAAGAGGCACCAATGCTCATCATAACCATGTACTTAAGTCTGTCTACTTAATACCCAGGAGCGGAGAAAATTTTCAAAGAATTTACGTATTTTCACCATATTATCATACAGCCACTGACCCATGGGCCATAAATTTCACAATATTAGTAAAGGACTCATTGCTTGTTAAAAATCATGTCAACAGTTAGACTGCTTTATGTCCAGGAGTAAACAAGATGCTTGAAGAGTTTATTAATTTTGATGGTTTTAGCCCCAACCCTCGGGGGGGGGGGGGGGGGGGGGGGGGGGACAATGAAATTCATAATTTTGGTTTCCCTTGACCCATAGATGCTACATACCAAAATTGGTTAGAATTAGTTAAGCCATTCATGAGAAGAACAAAGGTAATCAGAGATTACAGAGCTCACCTCAACGAATGTTGTCTTTAAGTAAGGCAAAGTCCCCAACTAATAATCTAGTAGCGTGCATCCCTAGATGTAACATTGATGCAATTTTGGTCCGATAGGGCTTGCAGTTGCTTGGGAATGAACTTACCTAAAAATTTTAAACTAGTCACTTATCTAGAAATTGCAAGTCATATCCAGCATCTGAAGCAAGTTTGAGAGTGTTCATCCTATGATGCATCATCCATGCAAGTTTGCTTCAGATAGCCCTTAAAGTTTACTTTAACCTGGTCACTCATCTGGAAAATGTCGGTCAGATACAGCGTCCGAAGCAAGTCCAGTAGTGTGCATCCTTAGATATATCATCCATGCAAGTTTGGTCAACATAGGGCTTTTAGTTACTTGGAAATGAGACTGCTCCAAAAACTTTAACCTGGTTACTCATCCGGAAAATGTAGATCAGATCCAGCATCCAAAGCTAGTCCAGTAGTGTGCATCTTTAGATGTATCATCCATGCAAGTTTGGTCAACATGGGACTTTTAGATACTTATAAATGAGACCTGCTCCAAAAACTTTAAACTGGTCACTCATCCGGAAAATGTAGGTCAGATCCAGCATCCAAAGCAAGTCCAGTAGTGTGCATCCTTAGATGTATCATCCATGCAAGTTCGGTCAATATAGGGCTTATAGTTACTAGGAAATGAGACCTGCTTAAAGAACTTTAACCTGCTCCAAAAACATTAACCTGGTCATTTTTCAGCTGGAATTGCAGCATCTGAAACCTTGACTGGTACAATGAAACATACCAGAAGCATCCTCAATGCATCGCTGATTAATATAGGGCACATAAGTACTTGAAAAGAAAACTGCACCAAAAACTTTAACCTGGGACACTGACATCGAGGGTATTACATAAGCTTCCCCAACTTTGTTGAGGTGAACTAAAAATGAAAATGTTCAAAAGTTTATGACCCATGCATGACAGACAATGCTTGATGCACAAAGATAGCTAAACAGAGTTATTCATGTGACATAAAAATGCTTTGTTAGTTTATATGGGAAATAAAGGTTGCGACATTGCAAGTGCATAAAATATTGTATCATTAAATTTACATATTTTGATATATTTCTCAATAGAATGTAAAGAGAGTACCTTGGCATTTACAGAACCATGTCAGCCCTTTTGTGTTTGTGACATCATAATATATTTCCCTGTCTTTCCATTTTAATGACATCACAAACGAACATTTGATGTCACAGATATCCATTTAACAGGCATTAACTAATGTTGTAAGGATGTCCATGACCAGAAATTTAGATTCTATTCATATGAATTGGGAAAAAGTATTGGTACTCTTGAAACATACGTAATAACAACCGTAATAACAAGAGGTCCAAGGCCCACAACACTCACTATAGCCCTTCTTTATCAGCAAATTTGCCCCCTATATATTCCTTTGTAAAACTGTGATCTCCTATTGTGGCCCCATTCTAGCCCTGGAGGTCATGATTTGAACAAATTTGAATATACACTACCTGAGGATGCTTCCATATAAATATAATTAATCATGGCTTTATTGTTCTTGAGAAAAAGATCTTTAAAGATCTCTACCTTTATATTTCTATGTAAACCTTAAAACGCCCATTATGGCTCCACCCTACCTCCCGCGTTGAATGTACACCACCTAAGATACTTCCACATATGGCTACTCATGGCTTTGCTGTTCTTGAGAAAAAGATTTTTAAAGATATTTTCCTATATATTCTTATATAAAACTTTGACCACCCATTGTGTGACCATCATTAAGTTTCATCTTTTCTGGCCCATTGGTTCTTGAGAAGATCTTTGAAATATGCCCTTATATTTTCACAAATTCTTAATTGAAGGAGGTTGTGGCCCCTCATTTGAACAAACTTGAATCCCCTTAACTCAAGGATGGGCTGTGCCAATTTTGGTGGAAATTTTGTCCAGTGGTTCTGAAGTTTGAAAAGTTTATGATGACAAAGCCATTGACAATGACAGACAATGGACAAATTTTGATCAGAAAAGCTCACTTCAGCTTTTGGCTTTGCGCAGATACGGACCTGGCAAGCTGCTTTACTACGCATAGATCTCAGGTGGGCATATTTCCTGATATTCAGTGAATATGCGATAATTATTGATCCGTACATTGAGGGAAGGGTAAAGAAACAGTTGTCCTGTAACATTTCTTAATCATTCATAAAGATGGCTTATAATAACCAATCTAACTAGTAGCTAATCAACTGATTACCAACAATTGGTTTTCATATTATACAAATATAGCCCTTTTATGAGGTCGATCCATAGATATATCGACTTCACAGAAAAGCATATCGACTGAGCACAAAGTTATTTTTAGTAACTCAAGTCATTATCATAAAGTATAATTTTGCATGTGATATCATTCAAACCAATCAGATTCATTGAATTACACAGTAAAAATAATATGAAAGATTAAATGGAGAAAATGTTCAGTGGATGTAAATACATCCTGTTTTTAGCAGAACGTGTGGGTGTGAAGAGTTGAATAAAAAGATTTATGATAAAAAAAATTGAATGCTATAAAACAGTAAAACTTAGTTATAAAAAAGTCACTGGGACCTCAAATTTTGCTTCCTTATAACCAAGATTCTTTATATCTGTATAAAAACATCGGGAAAAGTCTTCTACTGAATTGTAAAAATGTCATTATAACTGAGACTTCCCTTTAAATGAGTTCTTTTAAGTTTATAACCAAATTTTACTGTTAATAGAATAATAGTCCTATATGTTTAACAAATATTTTACTAACATTTTCAACTTGGCAAATAAAACTAAGAAATGATATATCTTAATAATCTATTTATTGTTCAGTAGATATATTACTAAACTGACTTTTAAAACTATACACAGAAGTAGTTTACACATGTACTTTGCAAAAAGTTTTTTTAAATTGTGAAATAGGTATGCTGCAATTATGAATTTGTATAGTTTTTTTTTTTTTTAAAAAATACACATTATAAATATAATTCACAAAGTGACACTATTTACTGGACGGACTGTAAATCAGTTAAAATGGAGAAGTTTGCTGTACTTCATATCAGATCTGTCCCTACATACATTAAGTTAGTAAGTCTCTAACAGATGATCATGTGTCTTTGGTCCCTCCACTTGTACCCCCCACTGTCTCGGGAATCACAGATGTTGACATTTCTGATGGAATGACATCATAACCTAGTTTTTTCATGTCCTTCATCACAACATTAAATGACACGGTGAGAAAACCTTGAGATCTTACTCTCGTCACTGTAAAGGAAAAAAAAGAGAAAACTGAGTATCTTATGTTAATGTATTATAGGTAGGACAAAATTTTAATTTAATAATATGTTAAAAAATATATAGGACGTATATAGTGCCTCTGTATATTGATCATCCTTATTGAATGAGGCAGATCTGATATCGACCGTCTTCCTCTGGTTATTTCAAACACTGCAATTCCCTTAGCGATTGTTTGGTAACTGTTTTCTTGCTTGACAACTTGCAAGACCAAAGTCAATACATCTTGTGATACATTGCAATGTGTTGCTAGTGTACAATAAATTGCTAAGGTATTTATGCTACAATTCTTGATAAATTAATAGTGTTGCTAATGGTTGTACTACTTAACATTTACCACTCTGCTGCAAATATAGGAACATATATCCTAGCTTTACTTCACGCCTTTCAATGTTGAAATAGTTTCCATGAGCCTTACCCTCTCTTCCCTCCCCCTGGGCTAAAACGCGTACATCCACATATTCAGGCCGACGCCCCAAAATCCACGCTGTTAATTTCTGTAACTGTGATGAAGACTCTGGCACAAACATAGGGAGACGAATTTTATGTCTGAAAAATAGTTCAATATGTAGTGTAAACAAGTAATTATTCATTGGTTATTTCAAAGTTATTCTCTAACATTTCTTATAGATTTACAAATTACTAGTAATGAAATCAATCATGCACATGTCTAAAATACCAACTTAGGTGAAGTACAATGTACAGCTAAACTTAAAATCTAACTTTACCATGCTATATTTGGTAGTGCAAAAACTGTACAAAACATTTTCTTGCATTGTAAGGTCTCAGCAGCTACCACCTCATATATGATAACATGCCAAATTTCATAAAATGCAGTGTAGACGTTTACCTTCCAGGTGTGATAGGTACATGTGTTACTCCATATCCTCTAACAACATCAGTTCCAAAAGCATCAATTCCATAAGCATGTACTATTAATTGGGGCCCTTTGAAATAAGTATGTTAAATGTGAATAAGTTTTAATGTCAGGAACTTCAAAATTGGGCTGGGACAATATATCGAGATATCAATAAAATCGATTCATTGTGAGGATGATATGCATATTGATACATATGAAGAAATATCAAAATATCGCAAAAAAAATTCTGACTTATGTTTTTCTTAGTTTACTTAACATTTTAGGTTAACTATATAATATAAATATGCTAAATATTAATATAAATATAAAATACATAATAATTAACATCACTTGTGTAAAATTATTTTCTTTACAACAGGTATACAACTTCTTTGAAAAGTTATTCTTATTTGTGAAGAAATGTTTTGTTCATTTCAATACAGAAAAAGACATTTTATAACCAATTCAACATATCGTGATACATATCGTTATTGTGGCTCAAATATTGTGATACATATCGATATAGAAAAAGTTGTATCGTCCCAGCCCTACTTTAAAATAGGGTTGTTTTAAATTTCATTAATTAGTCCCTACTGATGAAACCAGAAGGGACTATAGGTTTCCTCATCTTCTGTCTGTCTGTCCATCTACATGTACCTTAGGGCTGTCACGAGTACCCGAAATAACCGAGAACCGCTATCCAAGTTGTTCGCTTCGGTTCCGGTTCCATTTTTCCGGATTTCGGTTCGGGTCTGGTTTATATATTAGAGTCTGTTCAATACAAAAAATGGCGACGAAATCGAAGGAATGATGACGATAACGTTTTCAATGTAAATATAATGTAACAAATAAAGATTTTTCAAGTTAAATTCATGAAATTAAGGTTTGAAATAGATGTAAATACCCGACCCGTAAAACCCGGAACCGAACCGAAAATTTACAGAACCGACCCGACTCGAAAAATTTTGGAACCGTGACAGCCCTAATGTACCTCCATCTGTCTGTCAGTGTGTCCCTGTAAACTTTCTGTACTTTTTTCTGATTGCTATCAAATATCGAGCTGATTTTATGTATGTGAGTGTACCTTGATGAGCTACACATTAAGTTTGCAATTCATTTCGCTTTGATGATTTACAGCCTTATTACATTTTTAAGCACCAGATTTCCCCCATGGTTTTCCACTCTTTTTTCCTAAATGCTTGCAGATATTGAGCTGATTTTTTGTATGCGAGTTTAACTTGATCAATTATAGATAAGTTTGTAGTTTGTCTGCTTCAATGATTTTTTATGCAATGATGGCCCTTTTAATGCTTCTTTGGAGTTATTTCCCTTGGTATACAGGCATTCTGAGATTATTGCATATGCAATACTAGTCCCCTACTGGCAAGTGTAATCTGGTTACCCTTAAAAAGACCATAATTTCATCCAAAATCATCAAAGGAGAATAAAATGCATCAATGGGGAATGAAATGCAAACTTGACATGTAGCTCATTAAGGTACAATCACATACCAAAAATCAGCTAAATATCTGCAAGCTTTAAAAAAAAAGCTAAAACCCAAGTGAGACAGACAGACAGACAGCTAGATAGATGAGGAGGAAACCTATAGTTCCCTCATGTTTATAGGGGACTAATAACATGCATATACTGTACAGCCTATATGTTTTTCCCTGAAAAAAAAAAGATACTGATTACTAACTCATATTACACTAGAAGGAAAATATACGTACAACCAAAGGGATTGGTACTTTTAAATGTTATGTCCAGAGGAAAGTTCCATACAAACTGCTGCCTGTCATCTCGACTTTTCTTTGTGACTTGTGTCAGGCCTTCATCTAAACCCTAATAAAAGGGAATGAGAAATGTTATATCTCATCCAATTAAGTAAAGGTAGGAGTGTCAATGAGTTGATTTAATCCAAGATCTACACTGTAGTACTTACAGAGGTAACCAGCCAATCGGGACCAAATGTAAAACAATATTTGCAGTAAATGTCATCAAAATCTGGAAACTAAAATAAAAAATTTCAATTTTAATCTAAGTATGGATAATTTTCATGCATACTCTCCCCCGTCATAAATGTACATGTAGGCTCTTTCCCCACTTAAATCTAAAGACCAGCAATATCGGTTTATGTTAATGTATAGATAAATATTAAAAGTATATGTATATATACATAAACACAAGCAATACTGAATAAATATAAGTATTTACTAAAATGAATGATTTAATCAAAAAACTCAAAAACAAGTCACTGCATGTACTATGCCAAACATTTCTTTTTTTTCAATGAGACTAAGAGATATTCTTCTTTTAAAAAATCTTTTTAAAAAATGGCATAAGAACAAACCTCTGCAGATTCAATCTGCCCCCCAACCATCAAAAGGAACACCGAGCTCTGTGACATTCTGTAAATTCTATCCTCTCATCATGGACCAAAAATGTAAATATGAAAGGTGACCCTATTTACACCAAAACTCTTCTTCATAAACTTTGTACAGCTGTCTATGAGTATCTATTTTGGCAAGGGATATACTTTTTAATTTGGACAAATTATAGAATTGTATTATTTGTTGAAATGAATAAAGACAATTAAAATCATTTTCCCCTTTAATTGTGAAAAGTAATTGAAAATCGGGATCGCTCAACTCGTCACGCTAATAAGCGCAAACAGACGGAAAATTAGAATGGATATTTTTATTTATTTATTTATTTTTATAAATGAATAAAAGAAATTAATATTTTTGTAAGTAATTACAATTTTTTAACTATGGATAATAGTATATATAAAATTTGATATTGACAACAATTTAGTAAGCCTTGTTTGTGCTATGTTGGACCTAAAGATCGGGATCGACAGTAAACAGGTAAAGGAGTCCCAGCTTCCTGAGTCGATTCTGTTGAGTGTGTGTTGTACAGGAAGAGAGAACTTCTAACATTAAAAGGTTTGTGAGATAAGGAAATCATTTATAAGACTAAAGTAAGTTTATATATAATCCGTGTACAAATGACGTTTTCTAAGACAAAATGTCAGCCCAAGATTAATTGAAGCAACTTTACCTGTCTACGACGTTATTTGTGGACCTTCAGTTTTTTTTTTAGCTCACCTGAGCATAGATAGAATGTTCTATCGTTAAAATGATAAATTTCCTACAGACCTGGTGTGGTGAGGGCCTGTCCAGAGACGCAGTTAGATTATTCTAACTGACCTGAGCAGTGTAGTCTAGTCGAACCCCCCAAACTTCGAAAAAAAAGTAGAGGTTTACAAAAAATGCTCATGGGCTTCTGGCTAGAGTTATTATTAATTGTTATACGACAAATTCATAATGAAAAATGTTCATATGTTCATTTTATTACAGATTTCAAATGAGATTACAGCTACTGAAATTGTATCCCCTAGTACCCAAACTCTGTCACCATAAGCGGAAAACACCCCCGCGTTACTTACTCTCAGAAGTATTTTTTGATTTGTTTCTTGTTTGCTACACATAGTAACCAAAAAAATGCAGTTACTGGGCTTATATAACACCAATAAATAGAATGTGTATCACATCCTTGTACATTACGTCCAATGAACCCTAACTCGGTCACCAGGGCCTTCTACAGTATGCCAACATATTATAGACAATTTTTTCCCCTGTTTAGTTTTTTTTTTATAACTTTTTTTTGAATTTGTTAACATAAAAAGATTGTTTTTAAGATTTAAAATAGTATTAAATTGTATTTTAAGAATGGCATCAACAACCGAAACAAATAACGTTAATATAACATATTTTATTACATTTTTAACAGTGAAATACTGTGATTTATATATTGAATAAAGGTGATATTCTCTCACAGTGTGAAAGGATATCAAAGTTAGCAAAAAATAATTTCTGGCCAGTCATGAGATAGAGATAGTAGCTAAACCATCTTGATAGAGACTAAAACTGCCAATTTCTTCCCAAATATGTTAACTTACTAAAATCCATGTTACAATGTTTTCAATCTCACAATTGCTAAGCTATGACACCTCAATCACTCAACTATGATGTCACAGCCTTTGACACTGTGTTAAGAAAAGACAGAGGCAAAGGGAAAATCATAGAATTCAAAATGTAATAAACAGAAAATTCAATATTTTTGTAGTTGGATATGGAATTCATTTCACTCATGAGAAAGGATTTTTTATATTTTCACACGTGCTTCGCACTTGTGAAAATATAAATAATCCTATCCCAGGCGCGGATCCAGGAATTGAAGTTAGAGGGGGCACAAAAAGTAGGCAGGGGATCTGAGGCCCCCAGTGGGTCCAGGGTGAAGCCCTGGTGGGGGTCAAGGGGCTCCTGGATTCTAGAGATTTTGTAGGGTAAAAATGATGTATACCAAGTAGACAATTTTTACATTTTCTCGACAAAACTATGATATACGCTAACTTTGACCATTTTAGAGGGAGCACGCACTGGGGGCGCCCCCCTTAAATCCGCCACTGTATCCTACTCGTGAAATAAATTCCATATCCAACTACAAAACATTGAATATCCTCTATTTATATGTGATAATGTTGCACTGACGTTATCTCAATGTGTAGTGCATTAAGGCAAATGCAGACGAAAAAATACAATATTTTTTTGCTGTATTCAACATGGTATGTCAAGTTGAATGTTTGAAATAGACTTTCATAAAAAATAGCTGACATGTGAAAATGAGCATGTTGACGCACATGTCAGAGATACAGATGGAATAACACATGAAGAAAAAGGTGCTTACTGATTTCACATAAAATTTGATAGATACAATAAAGTGTAATTAATATTTGTTTTTGAACTTTACTGTTTTAGTATCTCTGCATTTGATTGTAGATTTTCAGCATGCATTGCAAAAAAATGATGTCACAATCGCATTCCTTTTCAAACAGCGCAGAGTTTCCTAATGTGACAGAGTTAGGGAAGTGACAGAGTTAGGGGGTTTGGCGATACCTAATGACAATCAATCTTATATGTTTAGTTTAACATTAGTACATACAGAAAGATTTAAGGGTCATATTCATGAGTGTTTTTAAAAGCTTAATTTTTATGTTTTAAAGCCTGATTTCAAAGGGTAAAATTTTCTAACCCCCCACCCACACCAATTAAAGGAGTTGTAATTAAGAGCAATTAACTTTTTTGCACTGGTATAAGAATTACCAGTCAGTTAGTAATGAACTTTTTTTTGCATTCAAAAAAGTTTGAATGACCAAATTGCCATTAATGTTGAATTATTTGTGTGTAAAATGTAGACAGGATTTGATGGTTAGTGTGCATAGTTCTTATATTTATAATGAATCAAAATTATTCATCATTGGCACATTGCTATAAATTTTATAGTATGTGGGGATATGGATACTTGTTAACAAATTTTCTTTTCTCTTCTGGATAATTGTCAGATTAATTGTGTAGCAGCTTCCTTCCCAAGTAACCATAGCCCTACCTGGATCAAACTTGCATTTGGTGACACATCCATGGGTCCTGATTGCATGTGATGACCAGTCTTGATTTATATATATATAAAAAAGGGGAAAAACTGTAATTATGAAATAAGCTTTTTTAATCTTACTGAGCATTCATTTGTGACTTTACTTCACTTATTATTATAGTTGGCATTCAGTCTACATATAGTTGGCATTGAGGTGAGTTATGCAATCTTTGATCAACAATGTTGTAGATACATGGTCAGATTAAATTAGTTTGGACAGCTACATTGTTAAGTAACAAAAAACCCTATTTAGACCAGAATTGGAAAGATGATGTAACTAGGGATATATACCTACCAGACTGACACTATTGTTCTGACCTTTTTTTTTTTTTAATTTAAATGAGTGAGAAGGTAGAGTTTTTGGAGTAGGTCCAATCCCCGCACCTGGGCCAGAGTTGTACAGATATTGAAATACAGCATAATGGGATATATACTGAAAGCAAAAGAAATGCAACATCCTATTTTAGGGGGAAATATCTAAATAGGACATAATTTTGTATCTAAAAAGTAAGGATATCTTCAAATTTGTAAATATCAGTAATTTAACGGTTGAATGATTTTCATACGATTACCGGAAGTTAAGTTTGAGTCCGCTTAATAGAAATAAAAAATTGCATGTTTAACAAAACATTTGGCAATAATATGGGGTTTTAATGGTTTGTATCTGTTCATCATTAGTAATGCAGCAACATTCCGAAAAATAAATTATCCTTTCTTTTCCGTAAGCTATGCCAAGGCTTCCTGAAAATGAATTAAGTACGCATTTCCATTGCTCCAGCTGGAAAATATCAAAATAAAGGTGATGGAGAGTTGCATATGCAAATATGCAAAACATCATGCCTCAAGAGGCTCTTCATTAGCATGAATGACAGTCCTTGGACCGGAAGTCAAAGGGTACTACACTGTGCTAGGCTAGAGGAAATTCGACCTCGTCATCTTAAAAACAGGCATTTAAAAATGACCAAGAATATTTCTTTCGCTCAGATCTTGAGATTGATGAACCTATTGCATTGTAGAAATCAAGCTGCAATTGTTGTGCATGGCAGTCTTGCACGCTGTTATTGAACGGCCGGGGTGGGGGGTGTTTTAACAGTCATGAGTTACTTTCTAAAGTTAAAAGATAATTATTTAACACTTTTATCAAATCTCCTATGTTTTTAAATTGAGTTTAACCTTACTGTATTCATTTTTGAAAATCATTAGATAAAAAATTCAAATATTTGTAGATTACTGCTTGTTGCGTTTCAGTATATTATATATTGACAAAATAAATTTGAGATTTACTATTTTCTGACAACTTTTGTTAAATGATAAAATGAAAACCTCTGTAGTTCATGAGTTCCCTGATCTTTAATTTAGAACATGAGCTATCCATATGGAGGAGGTGGATATGGATATCCTGGGGGACAGCCAGGATACCCACAGCAAGGAGGATATCCCCAGCAAGGGGGCTACCCACAGGGAAATGTAAGTTATAATAAGATCTTATACAAAAAAAGGTACAATTCTTTCATAGTACAACTTTATATAATAGTTTGGAAAACAATGGGAGAAAGTCACATAGTATTTTTCATTCAAATGTTTTTAGCTCTACTGGTCAGAGACCAGAAAAGCTTATACGTTAGTAAGGTATCTGTCATCCATCCATCTCCCAGTGTCTGTCCATAAACAATTCTTCAAAAATTACTCTTAAAGTTTGGGTCTGAATTAAGACTTTGTATTGTGGCATAGGTGCTATTGTTACATCAATATGTCTAAATGAGTTTTTCTGAGTGAAAGTCCGTAAGCATATCATCCAAGTTAATTTCTTTGATTCCCCTGTCCCTGTATCTGAAAATAGTTTATGAAGACTGAAATTGAAATTTTATTATACATTTTATAGCAAAATAAATCCTTAAACCAGGATAGATCCACTATATGTTTTTATTAAGTAATCAGGAATGTTGAAGTTCTCTGATTGGTCAAGACAATCTTTTCTGTGATGTACCTTTCAATGAGTTCACCCCAATATGAAGTAAGTTGACTAGGGAAAAAAGCCTGCACCTGTTCATTCATTAAAACTGAACATTTTTAATCTTTAATGATAAATACATGGAACACTTTTTAGAGACATAGTTAAGATTTGTCTGCAGTGACCAGGATATGAGCTGTTAATGACAGATAAGGATAGGTCACCATTTGACAAGGGTAAACAAGACTATATAAACAAATTGTACACAAAAAGTAGACAAGGAGATCCTGAATAGACAGGAAAGAACAGAGAGATTAGGATAGTCAGCTTGTCTTATTGTTAAAGATTTGTGAGCATGTGTAATAATACTCAGTGTTATGATGATGTAAACTTCCTGTCCTATCATCATGTCTAATGTCTTTATTCATCTGGATAATAAAAAGAGAAAATTATGACACTGGTAGCAGCTTCCGAGTATATAAACAATAATTCCTAAATCCTTAAGAATAAATGTGTGCATTTTTAAAATATTATATTTGAATGTAAAAGCAACATAGTATCTGAATTTGTTTCATTTTGATATGCCATAATATTCATATAGACATTCTTGACTTTTTGTATTGACTTCTTTGTATATAGAGGTAGTATACCTTTCAGCTCTTGTTTGTATAACAGCCATCAATTGTACATCAATCAGGCATGCATGTATAACTGTCATATTACACACAAATACAGGTATAAAATATGTATCACATGTAATAGCTATTATATTACTGTATTTGACCCAATAAACTTAATTCCTTCCATATGATTAACTGCCCCTCCCACAATTTGAAAAAGGTTTGAAAAAGGAACTAAAAATATATTTTAAAAAAATCACTTTAAATAGATCTTTAAATTTGTTTAATTTTCCAGAGGGCAATTTTGTAGATCTAGGAAAACAAAGTTTTGAATGTATAATTACTACATATTCAAATTTCCACCTGCTTATTGAGATGCAGTATAGTTTTAAACAGTAGATCTATTACCCCCCCCCCCCCCCCCCCCAAGTATAATGCAATGCACTTTAGGTGCTAAATGGGACAAATACAGTATGCTTGTGTATCATGTAACAGGTGGCCATGCCAACACCCGAGTCAGCTAATGCAGCAGCCTATGGCTCGTCTCCTGGGGGATATTCCACTAATCCCAGTGGTCCTGGACAAATAGGATTCGGGGTAATTTCCAAATATATTTATATTCTTGCTGCATATTCATGTATTCAAAAATTGTCATGTTTGCAACAATTAACATTATTCTTTGATTATCAACATTAAACATGCATGTCTTTCATCCTTGATTTTTGCAATTCACTCAGGTGATATTCATTAGAAATTCAATCTTTAGGTTGCTTACTGTGTATGTCAAGAGGGCATGTACAATTCTTGAACAAGGCCATTAAAAAAGGGCCAAGGGCACAAAAAGCCATGTCACTGTAATGCAGGAATGGAAATTTAGTAGAATATATTTTATGGACTTACAGCAAGACTCAGGTATAAAGATGTGGAGTTAAAAATGGAATATTTTATCATATTAGGACATGCCATCATCTCAAGGATTTGGTGGTGGCCCTGGATATGGAGCACCTCAGCCAGGATTTGGTGGTGCCCCGCAGCCTGGAGGATATCCACAACAGCCCGGGGGATACCCTCAACAGCCAGGATTTGGTGGGGCCCCACCTCAGCAGTCATATGGAGGCCCCTCTCCTCCCTCCCAGCAGAATATGTATGGTGGTCCAGGATTTGGTGGCCCACAGCAGCCACCTGTTAGTGGTGCACCAGGATACCCTCAGCAGGGAGGATATGGAGCACCTGCCCCACAACAGCCAGGGTATGGGCCACCACAGAGTCAACCACAAAGCTATGTAAGCACAGGGATCATCTCACAATTTAGAAGTTATAATCTGTGAATACTGAAATAAATTTTAGTGAGAGAATGCATGTATCAACAAATCTTACAAGACGAATGATGTTTTTCAAAAAGTTAACAATTGAATTTCAATGCAACTTTAAAATGAATACATATATAAACTATACACTGTAACAATAACTATTTTATTTCAAAACAGTCAAACACACCCTCCTATGGGGGAACTCCAGGGATGGGTCAGCCCCAGGGTCAAAATTATGGAGCCCCAACACAGCCATCTGGACAGAGCTACTCTAATCCTTCAGCTCCAGCTTATGGTCAAGGTCAGCCCTCACAGGCTCCGAGTGCTGCTAATGCCTATAAGGCCAAAGTAAGTCTTAGGTGTAAAGGTTTATGAAATATAGAATATTTACTAGAATGAATCTGCCATTTAAGAAACTTCAAATACGACAGGCTAAGCTGTAAGTAGTAAGGAGCAGAGCCTTATAAGTCACTGTGTTGTACATATATGTTTATTTTACTGTTCAGGAAGAGCCAACCCTCAGACCAGCTAGGAACTTTAATGCTGAAAATGATGCTAATATTCTTAGGAAAGCAATGAAGGGCTTTGGTAAGGAATGTTGTTGTCATGTTTTAAAACTCTTGCTGTAAACATTACCAAAGGATTGTGCATATTTACAAATTTCAGGTGTTTTAAAATGATGGTTTATATTTTCCTTTTTGCAGGAACTGATGAGAAAGCTATCATAGATGTTCTTGCTTACCGTGCATGTGACCAAAGACAACAAATCAAAACTATGTATAAAACCATGTTTGGAAAGGTACTCACAACTTAGTTCTAAGTAGACACATGAGAGACACCAGAACAGAGTTTATATGTTTGCTGAACTAAATTGGTTATTTTTATTGGTTGACAGGATCTAAATTGATAATTTTGATTGGTTGACTGGATCTTATTTGATAATTTTGATTGTTTGATAGGATCTAGTGAAGGACTTGAAGAGTGAGTTAGGAGGGAGGTTTGAAGATGTTATCATAGGTCTGATGATGTCAGCACCAGAATATGATGCTTATGAACTCAAACGAGCAATGAAGGTACAGTAAAATTTCTCTAAACCTGCCAGTTGCCAGACTGATTAAAATGACCAGATTAGAGGGGTGGTTGGTTTACTGAGAATTTATTTTATAGTGATGGATTATCATGATAAATATTTGATGATAAATTTTGCATACCAGCAATAGTTATGTAGAATTTTAGCTAATTTAGATATTGTAATAAACAATACACACAAAAATCTACATATCAAAATGTTCAAGCAAAAAATGTTTGTTGATGAGATACATTTTGAAAAAAAAAATACAAGGTGTATTATTGATCCTGCAAGTAGAATAGATGCACAAAGTAGGCACTCTTCACTTTGATCATGGTGATTCAAGATCAGTATCTTGTATGGGGCCATTAGAGTAGGGCCATAATATGGGGTCACAATTTTTCATGGGAATATAAACATGTTTTTAAAAATCTGTTAAAGAACAGTAGGGCTAAAGTTGCTCAGGTAAGCATGGCCCATGGGTCTCTTTTTTTTTATATACAATGTATAAAAGTATATAATTTAATTTTGTTTGTATTCTAGCCTCTGATTGGTTAATATCCAAAAAGGAACACAAATTATTTCTGTATAACCTGGTTTGGTATGGGGACACCCCCCCCTGACAACCAGCTGAATCATCTGTATGCTTACAATCCTCTCATTTCCACTCCTCGGGATTCATGGAAAATTCCAGATTTAATAAATATACCTTTAACTTCAAACAATAATTCGATCTTACCACATGTAAACAAGCTGCTAGGCCTATGTATCAGTTTTTACCTCCCCTCGCTTCCCATCACTTCCGTTACTTCCGTTACTACAGTTGTATTATTGAGTGGCAAATTTGAACTAATAAAAAGCAACAAAATTTTACACCCATATTTATTTAATGATTTTAAAATTAAATTATAAGGAATGACTCTAATTCTTGACCAAATTATTCGAGTATAACCTGGTTTGGGTCAGTTTACGCTGTTTTATAATCCGCTTCGCGGATTATAAAGCGTAAACTGACCCAAACCAGGTTATACTCGAATAATTTGGCCAAGAATTAGAGTCATTCCTAAAATACATTGTATGCTGACCACTTTGTGGCTGGACATAATACCCAGTAATCATCTAAAGAGATACAAAACCCGAATTAATGTGATTAATGCATGAACCTTTATATCACAATTTTCAAAGTTTGTGTCTCTTAGCAGGTCACATTGTAAAAATTTCATAGTAGTAGAATAATGCATATGTACTTTTGGCCCATGGGCTTCTCATGTTATTGAGATAGAGAATTTATGTTTGACATGTTTTTGTGACAGGGTCTTGGCACAGATGAGGATGCAATGATAGAAATACTGTGTAGCCGTTCCAATACACAGATAAAGGATATCAATGAAATCTACAAACGAAGTAATTACGCTATCTATAATTAAAATAGCAGAGCTATTGTTTTAAATGAAATAAGATCATGTTTGGCGACTCAATTTTAATGCAATAGGAATATATTAAAATGAAATTTCTAAAAGTTTGTGTGCTGTTAAATAATTTATGAGGAATTCTATTTAATTTCAGTGTATGGTAGAACTTTGGAACAGGATATAATTAGCGATACGTCCGGGCATTTCAAACGACTTATGGTGTCACTAGCAAATGTGAGTAAATGAAGTGATCATTAAATGCATTGTGCTAACCCATGTCTATAATTTTCATAATCTGCATCAGTAATTATTGGCAATATTAAATCTGGTCATATACATGTATAAAAAAAAAAAAACATCAATATATAGATTAATATAAAAAAAAATATAGTAATAGCACTGTTTGCAAGTATATTATGTAATACATTTGTAGAAGCTGGCAAGTCAGTCATGACAGTTATTGATTATGATCTACCACAGCTGTCGTATATAATATTACTGTCTGTTAACAATTTGATTTATAAGTTATAAATAATTCAGCTCATTCACTCAATATAAAGCTGATCAATTATATAAAAAAAACCCAGGAGGGCTTCTGTATCCAATGAATGGAAGCTGCTAGGAATTTTTGTACTAGTTTACAAGAGTGTTGTTTATTTTGAGATTATTCACATGGGAAATCAGTGAAATGTACAAATAATCTATGTAACTTAAACATGAGACAATGATTAGTTCTTAGTATGGGGTAGTAAAATCGAGAACACCTTTAGTTATGACAAAGCAAAGGGCTAGAATATATGTAGTTTATTTTCTTTCAATCTATTAGTTAAGGACATAGGGTATCAAAAAAAAATGTTATAGAAATTTATTAAACAGTTTTTACAGGCTTTATTATTGCTAAAACACATATCAAACCAGCCATATTTTTTCATTCTTCCCTAATCTGTAATTTTTTGTCTACATTGAAATTCATTGCAAATACATGAAACAGTAAAATCACCCAAATGAATTATAAATTTACTCTAATTTTACCATGTATCAAGTTAATTTGAATCTAAAAACAATGAAATACTGAAAGCTTTTATAAAAACCCCACTTTCTCAAGATTTTGTGTATCCTATGACCTTAAATGACTTCTGATTAAGTTTACTACATGTATTTTAAGCTTGTGCAATTTGCATATTATATGAATGAGAAAAATATATTTTCCATTTACAGAGTTTGTTAAGAAAAGTTTAAAAATCAGGAATCACCATTCTCCAAAAGCATAAGTGATATAATTATAAGTAATTATATTATAAGTAACGCACAATTAATTCAGAAATAAAAATTGCTGATATTTTAACACTCCATTAGTTAATTTAACATCAATCTACTATGACTTCACACAGCAAGTTTTTTTTGAACATCTCTTAATGGGATTGTGTGTTTGAAGATAGTTTCCAAAATTAATAATAATATTGCGGCATGAGAATATGTCATGCAGGCTAGAACTCGACCTTGCATGTAGTGATTGGTCTGAACCAAATTTATATGTTTGCCATATTATAAAGCAGCAAAAAGCTAATGATCTGGTTTTGTGTTGTAGGGAGGACGTATGGAAAATCAATCTGCGGACATGAGAAAGGCTCAAGAGGATGCCCAGGTCAGTCACAGAGTCACAGGTTACAGAGTGGTGACTGGTCCTAAAATAATATTTTTAAAAAAGTCCCCTCCCCCTTCAAAAAAAAAAGAATCTGTAAAAATACAAATTTCCAAATAAAAGTTTAACTGCTTGTAGAATAGAAGCCCAGGTATAAATGCAGAACACAATTAAAATGAAAGTATCCTTAGCCAAATAGAAAAAACAAAATGATATCAAGTTATATAATGTAAAAGTTCCATTTTAAAAATAAAACAACCCTTGTATAAAGTCTTCTGTCACATTTCAGAGACTTTACTCTGCTGGGGAGAAGAGACTTGGAACAGATGAGTCCACATTTAATTCACTGTTAGCCTCGCAGAGTTACGAACAATTAAGGGCTGTGTTTGATGCGTATCATAAGATTTCTGGGAAGGACATAGAACAGGCCATTAAGAGTGAAATGTCAGGAAACCTGGAGATAGGGATGGTAGCTATTGGTAGGTATAGAATTTTGTATAAAAAATTGACACTCTGGTGGCCATTAGTCATTTTAGTCCTTACAGTGTGTAATGGCTATTAAAAGGTTCAGTACTGTATATAAATGCTTATAGTCTGTAGTGGCTTTTGATCCTTAACAATCAAAAAAAAATCTGAGAAATTTTTTGACGAGCAAAAAATAGGGGGAAAGGGGAGTTGGGCTGTTTATGGCCACTACTTAAGGCAATTGACAGGTATGGTAGAGTTTAAAACTTTGACATTATATGGCTGTCATTCATATAAGGTGTACATGCATATATAACTTAGTGTATTAGTAGGCATCTTTTCTGTCTGTCACACACTATCAATGAATTTAATTTTATTATCATAGATCCCAAACAAGATAAAATCTATTTTAAATGATTAAGAATTGTTCTTTGAAACAGTGAATTTTGATTCTTTGTGTATCAAGATGCTGTAGCCCATTTCAGTTGATCAACTGATTAATTTATCTTTTTAGTTCACATGAGCTACTGGAGCTAGGGTGAGACTAAAAAGAGAATTCAAAAATTTATGCAAGAGTATATAGAAAATAAAAAAAAAAAATCTTTTTCAAGAGTAGCAGGGCCACACCAAATCCTACTGATATGTCCACATTAACAAGTTATGTGAACTCAAGTTTATTCAACTTTACTGGATGCAGGGGTGAGGGTGGGTCATAAATGAGGGATCAAATTTTACATAATTTATGTACATGTATTTAAGGAAAAAATCTTCAGAATAGCAAGGCCACATTATTCATATTGATATTCAGCTACTGCATGTACTAGTAGTGTAGATTCATGTTTGGTAGAGTTCCAGACACCAATTTTAAACTATACTTATTTTTTTCCAGTTAGAATTGTAAAGAACAGACCAGGATATTTTGCCAGGAAACTTTATCATTCTATGAAGGTAAATCTTAAGTTTTTGGCTGCTTTTCTTACTGTTTAAACTAAAAAATGATGCAATCCTTTACTCTTATGTCTTTTACATTGACAAATCCATGATACAAACTGCAAAGTGCTGAAATGACTTATAATAAGATTCTTAGCATAAAATACTTATAACTAAAAAACAACTTTGTAAGTCACTGGATTTCAACAGAAAGGGGCTCTCTCAAAATACAATGAATTATTTGAATGTGTCTAGTTCAGTAAAAATGTATCATACCTACTGCAAACCAGAAAACAATTATAATTGTATACAAAATCCAAAAAAAAAAAATGTGTATGTATTGATCAGAGCCTTAGTTTTTTTGTGCATAATGTCTAATGTGAAAATATCATATAGGAAATTTGAACAGGGGATCAGAATTATGTAGGCTGTTTTTAAGATGTTAGAACTCACATTAGAATATGGACTGGTGTTCATTCTTTTTTGGAATGGGATAAACAAATAGCGATCTAATTAGAATCAATATATTCTGCATTTTATAGGTAATGGGATCAGTATCCTAACTCCTGTGTTATAATCAAAGAATGGGATCAGATTCCTAATTTCTGTGTATTATCAGAATCCCGACTCTTGTGTATTATTTAGGGAATTGGATCAGAATCACAACTTCTGTAAATAAATTATGTTGGGAATTGGACAAGAATCATAGCTCTTGTGTATTATGTGGGAAATAGGATCAGAATCAAAATTGTTGTGTATTATTTTGGGAATGGGATCAGAGTCCTAACTCCTGTGTATTATATGTAGGGAATGTGAACAAAATCATACCTCCTGTGTATTTTGTGGAGAATGGAATCAGAATCATAACTCCTATTATGTAGGGAATAGGATTTGAATCATAACTCCTGTGTACTATGTGAAAATGGATCAGAATCATAACTCCTTGGTACTATGTGGGGAATGGGACCAGAATCATAACTCCTGTGTATTATGTGAAAATGGATCAGAATCATAACTCCTGTGTACTATGTGGGGAATGGGACCAGAATCATAACTCCTGTGTATTATGTGGGGAATGGGATCAGAATCTTAACTCCTGTGTACTATGTGGGGAATGGGACCAGAATCATAACTCCTGTGTATTATGTGGGGAATGGTATCAGAATCATAACTTATGTGTCTTATGTGGAAATCGATCAGAATCATAACTCCTACTATGTAGGTAATGGGATCAGAATCACAACTTCTGTGTTTTATTTGGGGAATTGGGTCAGAATCATAACTCCTGTGATTTAAGTCTTTTTAATGATTCTGGGGCACATACTCTCACTAAAATCATTATTTTTGTTTATTTTGAGGGAAATTGGAACAAATGATAGAGAGCTCACTACAGTTAGAAGAAATGCAGTCAGAGTTATGATTTCTGTATATAACAGAATTTGATCAGTTTGTAGAAATATCGTCATTATTGTTTTTTTTTTTTTTTTTTGGTACGAAATGGGGTCATTGATTTCCATGTATTATTTAGGGAAGGGAGTGATCAGATAATTGAACTCTTAATAAAATCATTATTTCTATGTATTTTATGGAAATAGGACCAGATGATATAATTTCTCAGAAGGGGAAACTGTCAATATGACAACAAACCAGGTGTTCTTTTGTGACTCACATGAAATACAAAAACTTTCTATTCTGAAAACTGTATGAGATGACATCCCAACAAAAATCAATGTATGCTGTACTGTATTAGCATATTTTGCATAAAAAATGACTAAGTTCAACAAATGGTATTTTCCCCATATATGATCAAAATTCAAAATCCAAGTACGTTGCACATCTCTGATATGTGTACAATTGATCTGCGAAATAAAAAAGTTCCCGTCTTGAAAACTAAAGGAGGGGTTATCAGAAAAAATGATGCACTCTGTGGAATATTTTGCAAAAAATTTTAACAGCTGGTATTTTCTCATAAATGATCAAAAACAAATCCAAGCAATATGCACATCTCTGATATATTATGTACAATATTATGTATAATAGATGCAAAATTAAAAAGTTCCTATCTTGGAAACTGTAGGAGGGGTAATCTGGACAAATGATTTACCCTTTTGGCAGCCGCCCACCCACCTACCCACCTGCTTACCATTTTCACTATTTCAGTAACCTGTTTTTTTTCTACAGAAAACCTGGTTAATGATTTGTGTATAATGTTCAGATGATAGAAGTCCTACTAGAGTAAGAACTCTGTTTATTTTGTAGGGAATGGGAACAGATGACAAAACTCTCATTAGAATTGTCATAACTAGGGCAGAGGTGGACATGGTTCAAATTAAGCAGGAATTCCAAAAACAATTTGGAAAAACTTTAGATGGCTTTATAAGGGTAAGTTCATGAACATGTAGGTTTCTTAAATGTAACAATTACTGTGCCTTCATGTATGGTTAAATGAGAAAGATGTGCACAGAAAAGTGATTGTATTCTTACACTGGCTAGTCATTGTCATTCACTAGGTTTTATTTTTCAATAATATAAAGGTACACATGAAATTCTTCCCATTGTTTATGTGATGCTATATTCCACAAACAGAACTGCACCCTGTCTGATTATTATATTAGCTTACTCACTGATTTCTTTAGAACAATTTGACCAGGAAGTTGAATTGTTTAGAAGCACCTTTATCTTTCAATTTCATATTCCTATGTGGAATTTTAAATTCAGTAGCATATAGGGGTATGAGTGGACACTAAAAATTAAAATTGATTCTTACATTTGAAACATTTCCCTTTGTTGATGCATAATATTACTTTTAACAAGAGGCACAAGGGCCACAATGCTCACATGAGTCACTTTGGCCTGCTGTCCTTCAGAAAATTTATGTATAGATTCTTTCCCTCCATTTTTCCATGAACAAATATGATCCATATTGTGGCCCCATTGTAATGCAAAAGAGTCATTACTTCCACACATGATGGGAAATCTGAATATCAATATGACTTGTATAATACCTGAAAAAGAGAATTTTGCTTTATTGTGACATGATGGGAAAAGAAAATTGTCTTCTTTCTCTCAGGTGTTCTTATAATAGTTAACATATTCAGAACACAAGATGTTTTCTGCGACAGTGATCTGCCTTTTCTTGGTGTCACATTTTTGTTACTTCCATGCTTTTGCCTTAGGATTTTTTTTTGAAACAATGACTTTACAATAATCATGTTTGAGTATAAATTGTAGGATTCATAAGAGATATAAAATCAATTTAATAGCATGAAAGGAGACAGAAATATATGTAGAGACAAAGTGAAGTAGCATTTTAAGTTGAAAAAAACAAAGACTTGTATTTTGTACCCAAAAAGGCCATCAGTGGGTACACTGTTAACTGAGTGCCGTACCTTTCTTTTTTCTTATGTATAATCGGGGATTTTTGTATAAAACAATTGTCTTGGGGTTTTCCCATATTTTCCCTTTGGTATGCATATATAAATAAGTCTAATAAATAAAATTTTGGAAAAAGAGTCCCAAGATTTTTTGCCTGGTGTGTGTGTGTGTGGGGGGGGGGGGGGGGGGTATGTCTTCTCTACAAATACTTGTGTCCTAGTGTCCATAATTAAACATACTTGGATCAGCAGGGAATGTTTGCATATGATTTAGTGTTACTTTTTTACACTTGAATTTTTTTTTTAATTTCCTATATTTTTTCCATTTGAAATTTGAATACTTATTTTAGCCTCACTCTAGCACCAAGGGCTATGATATTTAAACAAACAGGAATCTGTGCTACTTTAGGATTCTTGTATATCAGTATGAGTAAATTTTGTACTACTATCTTTGAGAAAAGAATTTTAAAGATTTTTTCCTGTATACTTTATGTGAGTATATGATTCTTCTTGTGGCCCCACCTAAACCCTGGGGCCATAGTTTGAAAAAACTTGAATCTGCACTATTTTGGGATGTTTGTATAATAATGTGCTTTATATTGAAGTAATACTTTTCTTGAAAAATATTCCCATGTAAAATTTTGATCCTTTACCACATGGTCTCACGCTATCCCTATAGTGTCCATGATTTAAACAACCTTAAAGAATCCCTTAACTCAAGGATGCTTAAAGTGGCAAGTTTGGTTGAAACAAAGCCTTTTGGTCAGGTGAGCTAAAAATTAAAAAAAAAACTAGCTACTAGATAAAGAAGTGTAAATGTGATCCAAAAAAAAAAAAATCAAAAAAGAAAAACAAAATACACCTGTATTTTTTTTCTTTTTCTTTTTTGCTGAATGCTCCCATTCTATCCAGAGATTTTCTGTCAAGGTTGTGTCATGTTGCTTTTTTATAACAGGCAGTTTATCAAACAGATTGTGCAATTCAAATTTCTGAAAATAGTTTTTTTTTGTTATTATTTTCTTTGTATAATCAGAACTTGAGCTGACATAATTTTCCCCCCGATATAAAGTCTTTACAGTGTATTATATCCAATAGGGTCAAGGTTAAGGTTATAGAAATGCAGACAGCTTGTTTTCATTATGACAAAATGTTATCTTACTTGAAATTTCTGGAGAGCCCTTGTTGGGGTATACATTATACAATTATACAGAGCCTTTAGAAATATGATGTTTACAAAGACTTAAAGATCATCTTCTGGTTGACTGGGGGCATAGATTGTGATTCATCAACTAAAGTGATAATTAGATCATGAATGCTCCATATGGTTGGTCAAAAACCAAGGGGTTGTGCAATGAATTAACTAAAAGAATTCTACTCTTAATATGGTTTGTACCTGATTTGAATATATTAGGTACTTGACAGTAGATAATTCTATGAATTCATTCTGGTAAGCCATATGGAACGCCATAGCTGCCTTATGTGGTTATTTCATGAGAAGATGGTGCTTTTTTATATTATGCTGTGGTTATTTCATGTGAAGGTGGTGCTTTATTATGTTATGCTGTGGTTATTTCATGTGAAGATGGTGCTTTATTATGTTATGCTGTGGTTATTTCATGTGAAGGTGGTGCTTTATTATGTTATGCTGTGGTTATTTCATGTGAAGATGGTGCTTTATTATGTTTTGCTGTGGTTATTTCATGTGAAGGTGGTTTTTCGTGTGAAGGTGGTTTTTCATGTGAAGGTGGTCTTTCGTGTGAAGGTGGTTTTTCATGTGAAGGTGGTTTTTTGTGTGAAGGTGGTTTTTCATGTGAAGGTGGTTTTTTATGTGAAGGTGGTTTTTTTATGTTATGCTGTGGTGATTTCATGTGAAGGTGGTTTGGAAGTTATATAATATATATGATAGTATTTAGGTGCATGATTATTATATTCGGAACCCCTTTGACTTCATCTCTCATATTTGAAGAACTACAATCATGGCAACTTTGTCAGCAAATTTGCAACAGATTCTTCAAAATTTAAACTTACACCATGCAGTTCCAAATTTTGAGAGGAAGAAAATTAGTATAGATATTGTTTGTAGATTATCGGCTTTTCAATTAGAAAGTCTGGGCATTTCTAACAGGGCAGACATGATGAAATTACGAACTGAATGCATAAAATATGGAACAGTTATGCCCCCGAAAGTGTATACAAATTGTGGTGCACCAAAATTCGAAATTCCCAAATCATTTCTTCAAAATGCCCTAGAGAATGACTTAACTATTTCAGATATTTCCAAGTTACTGTCAGTGTCTAAAAGAACTGTTTTTAGAAGAATGTCAGAGTTTGGTTTGAGCAAAATGACTTTCTCAGAAATTGATGACTCTGAATTAGACCTTAAACTAGGAGAAATTGTGAAAGAGTTTCCTTCGTGTGGGGAAACTATGTTGCGGCAAATGCTTATATTAAAAGGAATAAGAATACAAAGATGGAGGCTTAGAGATAGTCTTCATAGGATGGATGATCAAGGCGTGCAAGATAGACGCACTGGAAGACTTCATAGACGGGTGTACGATGTGCCTGGTCCAAATTACTTGTGGCATATCGACACAAATCATAAGCTTGTCCGCTGGAGATTTGTTATAGTTGGGGGTATTGATGGTTTTAGCCGCTTAGTAACATTTTTAAAATGCACTGACAATAATACGTCAAAGACAATATTAGATTGCTTTTTGTCTGGAGTTGAAAAATATGGGATACCAAATAAAGTCAGATCAGACAAAGGGCTTGAAAATGTTTCTGTGGCTGACTTTATGTTGAATCACAAAGGAGAAAACAGTATAATTACAGGGAAGAGCACTCATAATCAGAGGATTGAGAGATTATGGAGAGATGTATTTGAAGGCGTACTTAGTTACTTCTATAATCTGTTCTATTTCATGGCAGATCAAGGTTTTCTTGATCCTTTAAACTTGATCCACACAATTTCTTTACATTATGTTTTCTTGCCTGAAATAAATAGAAAACTGCAATTCTGGAGAGAAGCGTGGGCTCGACATAAGTTACGAACTGTGAAATCCTCTCCAATGAGTTTGTGGACAAGTGGTCAACTTCAAAACCCCACTGGAATTTTAGAAGAACCAAATATGGAGGACTTTGGAACTGAAGGGTACATTGATGAAAACAGCAATGAAGAAGAAAGTAGGAGGCCAATCTTCCAGCCCCTAGCTCACAGGATAAGTGATCAGTGCTGCGCAGACTGGAATTGTCAATGGAGCCACCAAGGCATACGATTAACTTTGGAATAGATTATTATCTTAAATGTTTGGAAATCATTGGGAGAAACACCCAGACAGATTAAATGATACAAGCAATTGCACCATATCTAAATCAATTTCAAATGTTTGTTGAAATGATCAAAACAATTAATAGGAGAGTTTTGGTCTAGGTTGAACTTCTTGTCATTCTATATAAATGGTTGCATATTAATTCATTACAGTTTAGAGAAAAAAATATTTTACCTTCATTTACTAGTACATCATTTTTTTCATACATTTCTATTACCTACTTTGATCACTTTATTACCCTGGTCAAGATATGAGCAAATATAAAACTTCTTGTATTAATCATAAGAAATTCACTTTTCTTCTGTGAATCTCAATTTTTCTAATCTCCAAGAACTTCTTATCTCCCTTTAGAAAAAAAAAAAGTTTAAATAACCACTCATTTTTACAATTAATTTTCACTAGAAGAAAATGATAAACAGACTGATGCAAATCAAAAGGATCATAAAATCTCAAACTAAGAAAGTAGTTGAATTTTTATTGAATGTGAAAGTTTTTTACCTTTAACAATAAAACAAAATTACCATAACAAATTACATGTCATAACATACATGTAAATTTCACTTCTCTTTGAAGTAATACAGCCTAGAAAATGTGTTCACATTTGAGTATTGGCTAAAACAAATAAATCAAATTCAAACCCCAAAATGACTAGAAACAATTGCTTTAAAAAATGCAAAAC